TTGTGTTTTTTCCATCAAAAACTTTTCAGTCGGTGTATTGTCAAAATATGGATACATGATGCATCGACTTCTCAACTTATTTATAGTTTTGATTCTTCCAGAAAAATGAACGTTAGTCAACGATAAGAACTTACAAACTGTTCACAAAAATGTCAATTTGATTGTGATATTGCGTTCTGTTACATCGACCAAAAACTCACTTTTACATCCATTTCTTTGTATTTTATTCTTTTTCTGGTCAATCATCAAAATATACTGTGAATGCTATCATAATTTGTTACAATGTTGAGGACATCAAACAAAAGTTAAAAGTGCAGATATGTTATTTATTCCATGCATTTTGATTAGACGTGGTGGTGTTCATAAAAACAGCCAACTAAATATTAGGGGTTGAATAACAAAAATAGAATGAAAATATTGTTTGTAAATGATGACTAAGTGCATCGAAGAAAGAATGAGTTGTACAACAACTTTAGACTCTTCATCCAGTGCGAATACATGAAACAAGCATTTATATTTTTCTCGAAGGGTTATATTTTCTGTTTCACAGAACCAGACAGTCATCTTTCGAGTTGTCTTTTTATTCATATGAATGATTGTTGTTAATCCAGAAATTGATGAGCTGCATTAATAAATACATGTTGGCACATTCATGTTTGTCTACTGCCTGACTGTATACGGATATACAGGAGAAAATGGTTGTTCTGTGAAAAGTATAAGAGAGAAATCGCCTAGCATCTCTTCTGAGAATAGTAACAATAGGTTGAGTATTGAGTACGTTTCCTTGACTGAGTGTTAGGTTACCAAGAATCACATTTATCTGCAGATCTGAGAAGAAAAGTTCCTAGAGTGCCTGTGAGAGGAAGTGTCGCACAATTTATGGTTGGCATGTTAATATTACTGTTACGGTTGCAAAATAGCTTTTTATTGTAATGAAGGTGTGTGTAATGGCGCCCCATTTTCCCATTGCGCTGAGAGCCAATAACCACAATCGGTTTAATGGACCAGAAAAATGTTTTTTTAGATTTTTTGGTATAAAAAGATATTTAAATGACTTTTAAGAAAAAACATTAAGCGTAATTTTTGAACAAGAGTTGCATTAACTACCGGTTCCGGTGCTCTTTCATAAGACCTTAGGATTTTATTACACGGTTCTGGCACTAGGCTGTACAAAACAGACCATTGATAACAAAGGCTAACGTTAGGTGGTGCAATCACATTGAGAGGTCCTGTTTAGTGAATATTGAGTAAACCGTGTGATATTAGGAATTAAATGCGTATTATATGAAAAAGGAGCGTTTAGGATAGAATCTACGATGCAATTTAACCGATTCATATTTTATGTATGGGATATAAATTATTTGGAATCTTAATCCACTATCTTAGTGCAATTATATGTCATAATACATGATGATTTAAAGCTCATAAGTCTAAGCAGATCATAATAAGTACAGATCCATAATTTAACATGTTATTACAGGAACCTCTTGAATTAGGATTTGGTTCACAAAGTTGAAAGAGCTGTTCATTAAAAACTGTTGATTTTACACCGAGGATGGGCACCAAGCTTTGAATATAAGAATTTGTTTGTAAAACCCTATAATTTGATTGTGTGAGGAGATAGATAAATATATTTCCGTTAAAAAATCTTCAATTTGTCAGTAACATCGTGAGATAAGGAAAAGTTTAGCACAGACCAGTTTATTCGCTAACATTCAAACCGTAACTGGAAAACATGTTCATGTCATTTGCGTATGCGATTAGATACGCGCTGTTTCTTTTTTGTTTTTGGCACAAATTCTTTTTATCCCTTAGTCATGTCCGATCCACTGTTGGAATGTGCCTTGTACTCCTATACCAAAGAAATTGCAATGCTCCATGACAAACTTATGGATTTGAAATTTAAAAGGAAGGAACTGCATATTTACCGGCAATTCTACAGAAAAGGCGGACATACTATTGTTCATGATGTGAAACACAAGAAGCTCATAAACAAGTCCGAACCTGATCACAATAGAAACCGAAGCGTTACAGCCTGCAGAATTAATGTCATGGATATAATAGAATGTTACGATGTAAATACTTTTATGCAGGAAATGGATTACACGCGTGGGGATGAGCTCACTTTGGATGGATACAAGTACCACAGGGGCGACCTAAATATTGATTTACTTAAAGTCGAGGAAAAAGTTGGATACATTGTTCACGCCTATTTATGGACTAGCGATCTTCAGGAAGGCGAATTTATACTGACAAATCTCTCCAGAGAGGTGGATGATGTTATACAACTTACCAAAATATAGAACAAAATAAAATTATTAGACCACATGGCGCAGCATTGTTCGTCTCCCTTTATATCTAAATACTGTACTTTGTTGATCATGATAGACGATATCATACAGGAGGGATGTTTGATCTCTCCATTACACCGTAATAGTTCCTTAATGCGATGACATCGACTTGTCAAACGACAGTTCAATTCGTTGCCTGGTAATTGGATGCAGCATTTTTTGTACAATCCCCCATACCGGATAAACAACCAATTTTTGATGATCATCGTCGTTAACAATCACATATTGTTTCCTATTCTTAGCAAACGCGTTCGTTTTTAGCAAATTAACTTAGATGAATCGATTTAATGAAGAGCCTACGTTTAGTAATGACATGCCACAGCTATTGAAACGTATTCGTCTCTTCTTCGTTAATTTGAGTACGAAAGTAACAAAAAATTTTTAGTTTAGTTTCAAAATGCTCTAAAATTTAGTTTAGTTTTTGCCGGAGATCTAAAAAATACACTAAGGAATAGTGTTGTGTGGTTGTTTTTGTGCTTATTCTTAACTACAAAGAACCTACCGTTGGTTGCGCATTTGATCTCATCTCTAGCTTTGTGGAGTTACATCGATAATGAGGTAGCCTGCTTCTATAGTTGACATCATTAAGCAACACCAGTCAAATGCTGATTCGCTAAAAAAATAGATATTGTGAGCAGCTATCATTTCTAAAGTTTTCGGCTATCATTTTTCAACGGCTGCCAGCATACTTTCGAAATATTATGTCTGTATTGCCTCTTCTCTACAATATAATCGCGATTTACCAACTGTGTTCACTGCAAGAATTAGTGGTTTAAAATGGTACTTTGTGCCTGTAAACTATAAATTTTGCTTTGAATATTTGAAAATCAAGTTGTAATTGCAAAACAAAACGAACACATGCATAATTTTATTAACAACAAGTATGATAAATGATTATTTACATTATTTGTAAGCGATTGCTTAGCTTACCACTTTGTTAGATCAAAAGTATATGACGATGGATTTTCTAACCCCTATCGATGCTTAATGAAATTGCGAGAGCCTTTTGCATAGCTCTAAGGAAAACACTCAGAGAGTTATACTGGAATCATTCCATCATGGATGGGAACCAGGCACGTGATATTTTAAATATAAATAGTGATTGCACTAGAAATGAAGTTGAAAAAGCCTATAAAAATATGCATGCTCGAAATTTGGCACCGAACAAAGGTTCTCCTTATTTACAGGACAAGATTGAAACAGCATACAGAATACTGTTGAAGACAGAAGATGCGCAGTGATATACTTTGTTGATGAGGCGGAATTATTATTCCTAGTCAACAGACAAATGCTATTCTAGTTACGGTTGGTAGAAAACATGTAAAACCGAGCGTAGTTAAAACATGATTTAGACAAATGATACTGGCTTTTCTCATATATTCTGTAACGTATTCGTTACCAAAATATCTCGAATAAAGCATCATTTTGGTATAACACGTGCAGAGCAGAAGAAAGAGATGTAAACATTTTTATTTATTACTGTGCAATAATTAACATGTCATTTGCCCTTTTTGTATCAGTTAGGCATTAGATTGATCCATCCTTTTCTTCCGACCCGGCATTAAGGTCTGTGTTTCTCCGTAAGACATCAAGGACGTATACAATCCCCAGTTTATTCTCCCGAAGCAGGAAAAATAATTTGCATGTATATCTCAATAAAACATTATTTTCAGGTAAATGATAAGGTATTCCATCTGTCTACGTTTCCTCACTCCTTAGCGCTCAATTTTATCGATGAAACCAATCCTTATACTAAAGCGTAACGATTTCTTAATTGAATTACATCCTGCAGTTCTACCTACAATTATGGTGTCACGAAATTTTTGTTATGTAACTCAATATTCTAAATGATTAATCCATTTAATTTTCTTCGAAAAGATCTAATTCATTACAAATGTTAAAGTGAACGTGTTTTTTGCTCAATGAAATGCGGTTACGGATTCAGTTCAACATGTTTTCATGCTTGAAACACGTTATTACTCATATCAAATAAATTTCAATACGCGGATGTCACGACATGTGATTCATACTTCTCACTATAACGTGCCATGTATTGCACAAGCTTACCTTTAATAGGTTATTTAACTGAGAGGTGAGTAACAATTTGTCGTTTTTAAGGTTTAACTGTTTCACGAACCGGTGACTGGACCAAGCACGAGTTAGAATTTGCTATTTAAAAATTTATCATTCGTGAACTACAAAAGGAACCCTTGCTCAAAAAATATGAAGCCGCAAATAGTCGCACAATGCGAGGACGGTCTTATACTGGATGTGTTTAGTTCGATGCCCAGAGTATTTTCTTGCTTGCAGTACAATATCAAAAACAATATTCTCTGTTATTACACTGGAACACATCTCATCGCGTATGATTTGGAAAAGGAAGTAGAGTTGAGAAACGTTGCGATGGAAAGAGTTAAAAAAATGGAAATTGATGATAATTGCAGGTTTATCGGAGTATTGCTGCAAAGCAAAGTATTAAACATCATGGCACCCGGGACAATGTGTGCGAGGAGTGTGAAAGAAAATAATAACACAGTCCTTGGTTCGACGGAGGAAAATGAGGATGACAAATGTGCGACTGGCATTGTGTTCACCCTCAGCGATATTTTCGACTTTAAAATGAGCGATCAGTATCTGCTGGCCCGTAGTAATAAAGAGTTGAGAATTTTTAAGGCAGTCAATTCCAAATTTTCGTGCGAGGAGTCTCACAAAAATGTCAAGGATTTCTATGTGTACGGCAGCGTGGTGGTTGTTTTGGACGAAAATGGCTTCTTCACGATATACAAGAATCAGCAAAAAATTTTCGAACTTTTTCTGGACAAGGTCGATGCGATAGACGTCAAGAGCAGCGCGAAAGGCAATTTTGTGTTGCTCTGCACAATAAAAACCGAGGTTGGCAGTTACTTTGGTGCAAAGGAGCTGACGCTGTTTGATTTCCATTCCAAAAGGTACCATACGCTCGATGTGGCATCGCCGAACTACTTTACATTTGTCAAAGGAGGATATGCTGTTTGTCACAGCAGTCAACCATCTGTTGTGAGCATATATGATTATAGCCGAAAGGAAATTAAGAGGTTTCCGAAGGGAATACGCAACAGAATTTACTATAACAGACATGAAAACATCGTATGCTTTGCCGGATTCGACAATCTGAGCGGAATGATTGAAATATATGATGCACAAACATGTTTCTTAGTCAGCAGTTTGAAAATGCTTGGAGCTTCGGTGGTCAATTGGTCGCCGTGCGGGTCGTACTTTTTGGTTGCAATAACAAATGCACTGAAAGTCGATAACAAAATAGTAATTTATGATTATTTTGGGAGAAAAGTCAACGAGAAACACTTCAATAATTTAGTTTGTGCGGATTGGATCGGAAATACTGCAGGTTTTCAGTATTTAGAGAAGCCGGCACAGCTCAATATTTATAAAGAGGAATCGTATGTACCACCATCTTTTTCAGGAAAAAACAGGAAGGGAAATAATGCTCGTAAGTAGACCTCTTTTCTCTTTTAATCACCAAAGACATTTATTAAATCCTTTATCGCTGAGTTCAGATCGATACCACTGTTTTGCTGTTTTCTGCTGGATTAGTTACTTTTGATCATTTGATGATTGATCACCTTTTATGGACATGTCACCGTAAATGCATGCTCTCTACCAATGAATAATTCTTCCAATTGCAGAACGTTTATTATCGGCGTGTTATTTTATCTCTGTTGTTTAGGAGAAATACTTCGCTAACGTTGAAATAAGGAGAAGAGATGGTTTAGCTGCCGTTGCGATCAATCTAGTCCAATGGGCGAAGAAATGCTCTTGTATTGTGGTGAATCACTCACAACATCATGTGATAATGATGTATTAAAATTTAATCTATGTCGATATGTTGTTTGAACACTCTGTTTTACCAGGTAGCACATTTATTTTGCAACCTATCCACTCTTCGATAATATTCTACTTATCAAATAAACCGCAAAATGAAATACCTTACATAATAGGTGTGCTGTTATGAGTTCCATATTTACGACGATGGTATCTCTGAAACGAACGTGATAGCAAGATGCGTAGGTCTATGTTTCGGTGTTGGGACAAACGGGATAAAATGTTGATCAGAACTGCTACATAGTCCATGTGAGTACATGGCTGATTAATAATATTTTGTTTGTGTAGAATAGAGATTGTTTCTTAGCTGCATTTATTGTGAACGTACTTTGCGGACACCTCAAAATAGATTTTAGAAGGTAAAGATATGTCAAGGCTCGGTGCAGTCTGCGGGCAACTTCAAGCAGTTGTTATCAAATAGATGATCAAAATTTATTTCTGTTTCTTTTTCAGCAACAAATATTTGTCTAGGCTCACCCGCTTCTCGGAAGTTAACTTCGTCTGGTAGTGTAAAACCTTCATCGTTACTTACGTATCCTGATAAAGCACTCCGTACTCGCTCCCGGTTACCGTCTCTTATCCATTCATCCACCATGTCCTTCTTTCTCATAAATTTCTTAAAATTTACAAAAAAATTATTTATCGATTGCACATTCAGCCTTGTATTGCCTACCATGTCTATGAAAAAAGATGTTTTGGAAATGCATAAGATAAACTTCTCACATCGGTAACAAAACGCATCCTTAATGCAAAATTCGTTCCTAAAAAATGATTGGATTTTTCGCTTACACGAATCTCCTTCGAGCTGATTCATGGCCTGCTGGACCTTCTCGACCAGCAAATTAAACAGGTTACAGACCAACAAACTTCTAAATTTATCTTCTGATCCAAAATCTTCCACATATTCCCATACGTTATAAAAACGACATGTGTAAATCATAGCATATAATTTTCTTTCTACGAATTCCGGTCGTTGTGACTCCAAAAAATCTATAAAATCATCCTTATAACAACTATTGTTGAAAATCAAGCAATATTCGATGTTGAACTCGTACTTATCATAAAAAGTCTCCATTATATCCACTTTGCAGATGTTTTTATTCGTGGTAGCTAGGTATAAGATGACAGAGTCCTTTAAATTCGTATTTTGTATGTGCTTTTGCAATACCTCATCGCACACATCAATGGATTGGTCACTATTCACTTCTCTTATTATTTTGTAACTCATACATAGCAAATTGTCATCTTTGAACTCACTCAAACTTTTCAAAACCAATAAAATGTATTTTCTGTGATTTCCTATGTATTTTATACATTCGTCAGCGAAAACATCGTAATCCGCTGTATCAACATGGTTATGAACGATGTTCAAATAGTTGAGCAGATATTTCTTCATGGTGGATGGCCTAAATAAATTATTTATACGATAATGACAAGCTAAAACTTTTTAAACACGCTAAGATTGTTCTTAACAAGCAAATTTCTCGTTTTTATCATGATTAACTCTTTTTCATTTCTGTTGGTGAAGAGTCGAAGAAGACATCAACGTTATCCCATTTCGATGAAATTTCTGAGCGACAGTGCTCTGATGCTGGGTAGAAATATGTGTGATCCAACTAAACACTTTTTCGCAGGGCAAAGAGCAGCAACAATGCCTTGCCATAGCCGTCTATTCTTGAGCCATTAATGGGTACATTGTCATAGCAGTCATTGATCACAGAAAATGGTATGATTATTGTGTCTGCATTCTGCCTCTGGTGATCATCTGGATGCCCATTTATTATTTTTTTGGTTTCTAAAGCCCTGCGAAATGTTCTTAGATTTCAGTGACGACCAAATTAAAATGTTGGAGCCACATTTAAAGAATTTGAGCAAGAATACGAGAGAGAAAGTAATCAGCCTTTTGAAGCAAAGGGAGTTTTTGGAAATAGAAAATATTGTCAGCAAAAAAATATCGGTTCAGATCTTTAATGTTCTCTTGAAAATTACAAAGGAAATGAACGAAAATACGAACGTAAACGTTCCAACAAAAGGAAGTAAAAAGAAGGGTGGGAAAAAAAGCAACAAAGACAGCGAAAAAAAAAACGAAATAGAACAAAATGTTCGCAAAGACGATGTTAAAGTTGATGAAATTGAAGTTATCGATGTAGATGCCGATTTTAATGGAAAAACTCTAGAGTTCATGGCTGATGCAAGCGAATACGCAGGCTTCAATGAGAAGCTGCGAGTTCTGAAGGAAACAACGGAGAAAATGCTGATCGACGCACAAAAAGTGGAAAATATGAATGAGTTAGCAATAGATGAGGGTATAAAGCATAGAATCAAGAATAAGCTGCCGATACATACGTACGAGAATGAAATTATTGAGAGAATACGAAGAAACAAGATTACAATTGTTGAAGGCGAAACGGGTTGTGGAAAAACAACACAAGTGCCAAAAATGCTGCTAAAGTATTACAACAAGATAATAATATCGTTGCCACGGAGAATGGCTGCAATTAACATAGCCCGGCGAGTATCAGAAGAGCTGTGTGTCAAGGTGGGTACTTTGATTGGTTATAAAGTTCGTTTTGATAGTAATTATAGCGATAATACGCGCGTGCTTTTCGTTACAGATGGAATTCTAACTCTTGAATGTCTAAGCGGCGACATAAAAAGCTACGATGTGATAATTATTGATGAGTTCCATGAAAGAAAAATGGACTACGACTTTATTATTTCGTACTTTTTGTGCAACAATCTATCCAAGCTTGTGTTGATGAGTGCAACAATCAATTCAAAACTGCTAACAGATGTTTTCAAGGCTGGTTTGGTACAGGTGCCGATACGGCCTTTCACCAACACGATATACTACCTGGAGAAGTCCACTGTAGCACTTGTCAAGAATGTGTGTGAAACCATTAGCATGATTTGCAATGAAACCGATAGCGGTGATATTTTGGTGTTTCTGCCCGGTATAGGTGAAATTTTGGAGATTGAGCGGCAGATCCGGAATACCACAGTGAAAATTCCCAAGGTGATAAAATTATGTGCATCTGTGTCCTACAAGGAACAAATGAGCATATTCGAAAAGAGTGAGAGCAGAAAAATAATATTGTCAACTAATATTGCAGAATCGAGTATTACTGTGAACGATTTAACTTATGTGATTGATAGCGGTCTTGTCAAAAAACAATTCTTGAGGGGAAGCGCAGAGTCTTTGGAGATTGTGCGAATTTCTAAGTCACAAGCGAACCAAAGAGCCGGACGCGTTGGTCGTGTGGCCCCCGGCTTCGTTTTTAGAATGTACACTAGCAGTGAGTACGACATAATGGAAGACGATCTCGATCCAGAAATTGTCAATAGTGATATCTCACACCTGCTTCTAAAATTTATGAAATCTGAGCTGGACTTCACGTTATGCATGAGAATACTGGGCTATCAGAGAATAAAACTGTTCAAAATGTCGATGGTGAAGCTGCTCAAGCTTGGATGTATCAATGTGGACGGGAAAATCACGAAACTGGGAGAAGATGTGCACAGAATACCGCTAAAGGTAGAAATGTCGAAGACTTTACTTAAAGCGATAGAATATGATGTTTTCAACGAAGTTGCCATAATATGTTCGGTGCTGAGTATCAAGAAGTTATTTTACGAGGATTCAGACAAGAGAAAGAGCATCAGCGATGTCATGGAGAGCAACTCGAAAAATATCGGTGATCACATCAGTTATCTGAAGCTGTTTGTGATGGCGCTCCAACAGAATTTTTCGCAGGACTTCTGCAGGATGTATTACATAAAACGGCAGTCTTTGATAGAAGCGAACCAAATTTTTGGCCAGTTGAAGCGAATGTTTGGAAAGGATAGCGATAAGACTAAAATCAATAAGATAGCGAAAAATTGCAGCTATGAGAAGGTGGTTTTGTCCTTTTGTGAAGGATACCTGCTCAATATAGCGAAAAGACATAAAGATTTCTATCTGTGCATTTTTAACGAAAATGAAAAGCTCAAAGTGCATCCATCGAGCAGTCTATTTAAGAAAGAAGTCGATTTGATACTTTATGAAAGGTTGCAGTACACGAACTCATTCTACATGGTGAATTGTTGCGGGGTGCAACCGTCCACATTACTTAAGTTCGAAAATTTTTTCAAACTTAGTAACAAAAAGGATAAAGTTAGCGACCGTTAGGCTACAAGAAATGGACAATAAAATTATTTATACAATCTTTTGTGTTCACTTCTCGAGAATTACTGGAACATTCTACCGTGTAACATTGTATCTATTTTCTAACCAATGTTATTAGTACAACCAAACGATAAACATTTGATGCTGTTCTTTTGGTTGTCACGAATTATACCGAAATTACGCTGCGTACGTAAAAATGATGCACCATTTGTAAATATTTGTGTACGAATAAGCATTCATTTTTGCTAACAATATTTGAAGCAGCTGCCAGGTGTGTTTTAGCACTATCTATTCTCTTCGTCTCGCATTTATATCAATTTCTACATCAATCATGGGCTATTTTTGTTCTTATTAATTCTTAAATCTGAGTTTACTAATTCGTGGAATATAGTGCGAGAAATTCTTGTTGACTAGCATTCTTAGTACCAAATTTTCAATATTTTACCAGTCTACAAAATACAACAAATCAAGAACTAGCTTTGTCAATTTTAACAAATTTTACAAAAACAAAAAACAATCGCCCCTAGAATAATCTCAAAAGTTCACAGTAAGAAATGTCAAGCCAAAAAATTTACTATGCTAATCTACGAGGCATTCCGGTGGAAGAACGAGAAGATCGCATCACCAACCTACGAAATTATAAGTATGTTGCGGTGGACAAGTCGATACTAAGTAACTACGTGCTGAACAGGCTGTGGGAGCGTGCTGTCAATTTATTTCCTGCATGGCTTGCGCCCAATTTAATCACAGTATTTGGTTTTCTATTCATTGTTTTTGCATGCTTGCTTAATGTTTACTACGATTACGAGATGCTCGGTGTTGCGCCCTCATTCGTTTATTACAACAACGCTTTGTGTCTCTTCATATACATGATGTTTGATGCTGTGGACGGAAAGCAGGCCCGCAGGACAAAAAGCGGATCGCCGCTCGGACAGCTTTTTGACCATGGAATAGATTCTGTGGTGGCCACTTTGTCGGTGATAATGTTCGCGTCTGCGATGGGACTGGGCCGATCACTGGAATCCTTTCTGTTTTTGGCATCTTCCAAACATGTTTTCTACTTCGTAGGCTTTGAAGAATATTTCACGCATGCATTTGTGTTGGGCCATGTCAACGGACCGACTGAAGGAATCCTGTCGGGTATCCTTGTTTTCTTGATATCCGCTGTTTTTAAGCCGTCATGCTGGTCATGGGTGTTACAGTATGATCTGAGTTCGTACGTTTCAAATATTTCGCTTCTGGGGTTCTTCTTTGTCATAGTGGTTCCTATATGTGGCGCCATTTCATCCATCAGAAACATGAAAACCGGTGACAAGCTTACCATTTTGCTTCACATGCTCGTACCATCGATATTTTACATATGCTTCTACATTTATTTGAGGCAGATCAAGAATACTTTCAATTACTATGTTCTGCTGTTGACAGAGGCTCTCAACTTTTTCATACTAGTGCTTGAGATGAATTACGCCCATCTAACACGAAGCGAGATTCCTATAGCTTGGCCATCAGTCACTTTATTCGTATTCGGTGTGTATTTCACGTACCGAAATATCTACCTTTATGGCCTGTTCGTCATTTCACTTATAAGCAGCTGCCTGATCGCTTGGTGTATTTCCAATGAGATTTGTGATATCCTGCACATCAAGTGCTTTACCATTTCAAATGAGGAAGTTAAGAATAAAAAATGTTAAGTCCATATTTTACAACTTTCTGTATTGCCTTTACAGAACCGGTACGATTTGTAAAGCTAGTCGTAATAATTGATGCTCTTTATTTTTTAATATTCCCTTTGCCGGCAATTCACGTAATAACGCATGATTCTGATTTCCAGAGAACAATTTTGGGTACACTGGGGCAATCAAATTGATGAAGGGCAAATTGGCACGGATCAAAGGCCGAGCTATTTTGATTCATCTCCTGCTAGCACTCGCTCATTTTGTACAAGCACACCCAGTAACTTCGATTCTTGAATATCTATCTGCATACGATGGTACGCAATGCCACACAAAAGATCGCTATCCAACAATTTACTACTCGTTATGAAACTGATAACCAGCCATAAACGGCAATCTGTGCCGAGCAATAAACAACACGGTAATTCGTAAAAATGTCTAGTAATCCTAAAAACTACAAAAACATATAAAAATCAGTGATTGTATCAATAATCAAAATTTTATATATTGTGTACCCTGATAAATCATCTGGCAGTTGTATTCAGCCAAAGGATCCCTTCACCACTTCACGAATGAACTGTCATTTTATACCCGCATTTACATTCGTAGAAGATGGTCTGCCCCTCATCAGCACTGCGTAGTTGCACCGCCTTATAGTACATCTTCTCACTGCCACACTTAGCACAAACCTGCGCAATCATTGCACCTCTATCATCCGTGTTCACCTTTGGTTTGAGCGTGTAGTACTTTTCATATGTTATTGATTTCTTGACGGGTCTTGATTTGCACACAGTGCAGATTGAGTCACCCGAAAAGTATGTACCACATTTGCAGAACATAAGGGGAATAAAAATTTACGGTAAACTAAAAATGAATGGACAAGTAAGCAGCTTTAGAAAAACTAAGAACGAATTTGTTCTAATCCACAGCGCAAATTTATGTTAAAAGCATCCTTTCCAATAAAATGGTGTTTTTGTTGAAATTCATTTATTTATCTCCTCACACTGCAACACCCAACAAGACACTTTTCTGGTCTGCTAGGATCGGGCTCCTTAGGTAACAGTAAAATCAAAGCACATTCATTATATATTAAGAAACTAAACCATCTACAAGATACTTTCTCGTACTTTTGACCGTAGGGGATGTAATCTCTCTGCCATGAGGATGAACTTTTGGTTCATCTGAGTTCCACCATATACCGCCCACAGATATCAAACATCTCACACTCTATCCGTATAACAAGCGTATATTTATCATGTTTTACGATCCTCGTCTTTACAGTTCGTGTAAGCGAAAAGATTCTCCCTGTGCATGGACCCACCTTACCGCGCTTAATCCCTTGTTTTTAATTCGTACCCATGAGATCAGCCCTACCGGATGTATCGCTCATGATCAACCAAAAAATAAAAGTTAACCTGCCGCTAAACAGACACTTCATCGGTACACTCAAATCAACCGATGCTTTTCTTAATTTAAACATGACAGATGTTGTGGATGAAACAAATATGGAATATAGCAATGTGATAGTGAAAGGGAATTGTGTGGAAAGTGTGTATTTGTTTAAGTAGTAAACATTTTAGTAGTTAAAAGGACATTTATTGATTCATGGGTTATTGTGTGAATTGTTGATGGCAATTTTTCATGTATTGATGAATAACACTGTATATGGATAAATTATAGTTTGCGGGATGATAGATCAAGAATGTAGGAGGTTCTGTGGCATGGAGTTGATGAAAGGTTTATTTATTTTCGGTTCTATCTCAGGAGAACAAAAACCTTTAAGCCAGTCCATTTGTTAAGCATTTAAAGCTGAAGGCAGTTTCAAGAAAACCTGCTCCACTTGGCCATGAATCGTAAGGAACTCAAAATTTACTTATTTTTGTTATGAGCTGCATCCCTGGCACCAAAATGTATGGTAATGCACATGCTGTCGTAGCCTTTTAAAGATAAAAATCTCAATCAATAATCTCAAGCTATAAAGGTGGAAATATCCACAATACATCGGTATTCTTGGCAATAATCGTAATAAATCGTAGCTGTTCAAGTGCTATTGACCTGAGCAATAAACATACTGTCCTTCCAAGCAATCAAACAGATGCATTTGTTACGGTGCTGATAGTTATGAAGGTGTTGAACAAACTTAATATGTGGTATAGGTGCTTTTGAACATCTTGTGACAGGAAAAAGAGATGCATTATCACAACAATATGGTGCCCATAAGATTCTTAGACCAATTCAACAGATTAAAAATGAAAATTCAGCCCTTGGTTTAGAATTGCTGATACGGTGTCCTTCCAGAATAAAACGTTCTCACTGCACTTACCCCCATGATTTTGTTACCTTTTGATGAAAAGAAGCTCAAGCTTAGGATAAAAGAGATGGAGGAACAGTTAAAAATCATAAAAAGCAACATAATGAAAGATTCGTAGGTGTTGTTATGATGGTATCATATGGTAAAGCATGTTGAGTAACACGCATATTTATTTTTTGATTCCATTTGTGGAAGGGGTGATACCTAATAACAAAATCCGTATTTCCTACACTCAAAACGTATTTTTTACCGCAAAATAGCAAAAATCTTCTTGCTCGGTTTTAATCTCAGCATGAAGAACGTCCTAATTGGATCTGTCGCGTATAAAACAGAAATTTATTCAAAAAGGGGTTGTTGCCGCTGTAGCGGCAACCAGAGGAGTGTTCTAATAACTGAAGTAGCAAGTTAAATTTATTGTTCATTCACTTTCACGGTTCTTTGGTTGTGCATGGTGCTGTTATTGATACTCCACGATTTATTGCGATCGTATTGGTGGCGCATCGATGGGTATCAGCGGCTTATACAGTGCTTGGTATTGTGTAAGACAATGCACCGAGCCTGGAAGGTGCAAGATACGTCATTCAGCATTTGTTCAACTGTTACGAGGTATTATGAACCAATATTTGTAAAATGATGCAGAATGAGATACTGCGTAGTTTTTATCCTTTTTACTGAAAATGCACTTATTCGGCATTTCTCCGGTTTTTTGTTCAATCATGCTAAACGGTATGTCCACTGTCGTGTACAATTTTGATAAATAGAACCGCCTGCTCAGCGTACATCTAAATTAAAACGCAGCAAACTGCAATAAAAAGATAAACCATCCGGTCAGATATACCAAGACCAGAAATCGTTAGTATAAGTATCACTATTATCAACTTTTATTACTGTTTCAAGAGTTAGTACACCGTGCCAGCCTGCCATTCAACTGCTTGCAGCCGTAAGCACAAATGCTATTCCTCGCTGTCCAACACCGGTTCTATGACGCGCAAGCCCTCGGCGCGTTTCTTTATGAAGTAACGATACAGAATGTTGCAGAAATCAACCGCAAAAGTTACCATAGCACCTCCTAGCAATGTGCCTGAGTAGGAAGCCTTTCTACGCACAGAAAATCCTACGATGGCCGCAACATATGGCGTAAGCAACGCAATACCTACGTCCTTCACAGGTATGTTAAAATCGTTGAAGATTATTTCTGTTCTGCTGTCCTCATCATGCCTGGACCCGTCTGAAGTATCACTTACTTTTTCTTTGATGTAATTTATGACCACCCGGTACAGAAAGTAGAGGATGGGGAGCGAAGAGAACAGAACGTTGCTGATGGACAGCTTGGGAATATCAATGATGATAATTACAGGTATAATGTGCGATAGAAAGGAATATGTCTTGAAATTGCTGTACAAAATGGAGAGCGGCAGGAGCGGTATGCCTAGAAGTGCCCGTGCTATTCCGATATAGTCAAATAGGAACACATCGTTCTCAACCTTGTAAAACAACGACTTCGTGGTGTCCAATCCTGTGGCCGCCAGCATAACGCTCAGGCCATACACGAATAAAATCAGGTATAGAGATATAACAAGAAAAAGGAAGGAGAATGCAAGTATGACATTCATAAAAAAGCTGTTCAGGAACTCAAAAATGTGTATGAAAAGAAAATCTCGTATGATTATGTTATACCTTGTCTGGCAGAATATGCATCTTAGCTTCGATTTCGTTTGGTTCATTACGTATTTGTAAAAACATTTGGAATGCACCCACTTTATGCTACCTCTGCAGTGACAGGGACGTATCCACTCATCAGATGATGACCGTCCCAATATTTCATCTTCCTCTTTATCATCTGTACTATCCGTGCGCAAACAAATCCAGCATGTTCTTGATTCCATCAAAAGGGCTAGCAAATCAAAAAGAAATTGATTTGTGGAATAAATCTGAGCTGTAAGTGATGAGAATGGGAGAAGGGCGTTTGGTAGAACCATTGTGCGTATTCTTTTTGTAAGAATGCAATATGAGTGTGTAGACCGGTTATAAGCGAATTATTAGATGTGAAGAAATAGGAGCAAGATTTGCCCATAATCTTGGTCTGCGTTAGCAAGTCAAGCGTCCTTTTGTGCAAATAATAGGATACTACACGATGTATGGTTATTAATCAGGATAAAAATGCAAAAAAATTGTAAAATGTACATCTAGCAAATAGTTTTGCAAAAAAATGGAACGAGACTGAATAGGTGAGTATTATGGTAACACCCTCAACATTGCTATAGTAATGTTTTAAATATTAACGGCTATTATACATCGTTCACATATTACCGCTTTATGGTCTTTTGTTTAATTGTAGACCTTGATTTCTTGCTAAGAATTCGTTGTCCAAGTGTTTTTTACCATAAGATTTAACCATAACGAACTCTGTTCGTTTCAGAAGCGAAAATTCTGTTATCTACCCCGCAAACCCGCCTTCAGTTCACGTGCTGTTCCATAAAAAGTGCGCAAAAATAATCTACATTCCAAAAATATATTTTAATCTACAATTAAGTACTTGTCTTTCAACTTAGCACATGCTACTATAACAAGCACGGTGAAGTAATGGGTCCTTTTTTTCTAAAAATGTATTTAATTTACCACCTCACACTCAACACCATTCAAACAAACACCTTTCTAGTCTGCTAAAATTGATCATAGTTACGTGCTTTTGTCTAATGACGCGACAGATCAAACGCGAACGGTGCTCTGTTTTACTTTTCTACCGTTCAACTCCAAACAAAAACTTTCATCCATGAAAATAATTTACAACCAGCCACTTGACTTTTCGTGCTCCACCGAGATAGTGATAGAGAGACCAAAACGCAAGAAAAGACGGTCTACTACCGATACATACGATTATGAGGATCCTCTGATCGAGCATATGGACAATGAGGACGCTCCTGTGTATATAGAGGCAGATCTAAGGAACTTTTTCGTATATAGCGGCAAACTGAGAGAGACCACGGCACAAACACTCAAAAAGTATGAGCAGCGACTCAGGAGAAAAGCAATGAAAGAACAAATGAGCAAGAGTGAGGATGTGGCGGCGAATAATATGGCTAACATTGCATTTGCAGAGCAATTCACAGAGAAGGTGCTCAAGTTTTATTTAGATGAAAGAAAAAGGATCATTGGCGAAATGCAAGAATATTTTAAGGAGAGAAACACTGCTGCGGATGTAAATGAAACGAGTAAAATGGGAATCAGCGGCGCAGCCAACAAAGTGCTAGGATCGGTGTTGGATATTGATGGCTTGATCGAAGAATACGTTTTGCTGGAAGCTACGTACACGGGCAAATCATTCTACGATATTTCACACGATATCGTGTCTCTGAATGGACCATCGTTGAGCACAGACGTGTTGATAAAAATAAATCAGAAGATGGAGGAGGCCATTAAAACACTCACGATAACATTGAATGCCAAAGTGCGTGAGCTGAGCGGTTGCAATAAATACGATAAAAACATCGTTTTTGGTATTTGCGATCTCATGGACAAAAAGATACGGAATTATTATCTCAGCTTGCTCATTAAACCGGAACAGAGAAAAAGTTACCGCAGGATTAGAAGGGACATTTTTGTGGAAATTTTTGGTGGGTTTGATGGCGGTAACTTTGATCATCTCAAAAAGCTGGTGCACAGATTCGATTACTACAAGGAAAAACGAAAATTACTTACGAAATGTGTGTAATGTTCCCAATAAAGCATTTTTATAGTTAATAACTAGCATCATTTTCATACTAGCTCGATTAACAGTATTTTTTTAATCTTTGGAACAGGCAAACTTAGTGAGGGTTTTTACGTAGGGCAATTGCCCTATGCATCAGTACTGATCATTTATGAGTTCTGAATGGTGAATTACCCACACTTTCAGTTCATTAACCACTTTTTTATAGCCTTGCAGTAGAAAACACTCAGATTAACGTATGCACAGCAATGAATGCAACGTTCCATTTGTACACAAAGTGCAACAAAAAAAGATAAAACAGCGCAAATATAAAATTAAACAAGCTAGAAACCACCTGTGCCAGCAATTCTACGTTTATTTGAATTCATTCTCCACCGTATCTTGGGCAACAACCAAGTGATTAGTGAAATTCACAAAGCACACAAATTCATCAAAATCGATTTTGTCCCACCGGTTTTGCAGTTTGATTGCGCACATCAGCCCAATGAACTTCAACTTTCCCCACAATTTACATCGTGCACAGTTCACACAGTTTAGTATCTGTAAACATTTCTGCATGTCATCAACTCTTTTCTCATCCAGTTTTACCAGTGATGCATTTTCAAGGCTCTTCTTGATCGATTCCAGCAGCTTTAGTTCCTCCCTACGAAGACCTAAGGAGTTTAAGTTACAGAATCCGATAGTTTTGAGCATGCTCTCGCGCAGCAACAGGAAGTCCTCATGTTTTTCTTTTGAATATTTTTCCTGGAACAGTTTTTTATTCGGCAAGTACGTGTTGTCACCTTGATCGTGATAGTTTTTACATATGTAGACGAATGTGCTGAAATGCATGCCATTGACCAGTCTTGTATGCGTTGTGTCCTTTCTTACATCATAAATTGCTTTCCATATCGCAGAGCCTTCCAGGTAGTTTGTGTTAACGTGCGGATTTGCGGGAAGTGATATCGGAACAGGTATGGGGTCGTTGTGGGTGGTGTGAAATCCATCATATGCACAAGTTTCGTTTAAATTTATACTCGTTGAAGAGAATCTTGTGGTGTTACACAGTTTTTCTAGCAAATGCTTGATCTGATTGTTATCTACGGTGAGAATAGGAAGAATGAATAGCCATAGGAAAGACATGCTTTGTTTATTACACTGTTTATTTTTAAATGCACCATTAGATCAAAATAAGCCCGCCTCACAAATCATCACTGCCAGTTCTTCCCACCTTGCAGTGCATACGATATAAAACCGCAACAATAATCGCTCAACACTCAGCTCAAAAATTGTTTTAATTCGTATATATTCGCTTATTTGTTGTGTTGACTTAAATACGATCAAGACTTAACAAATGTCACGGTAAATTTTAGACACTAGCGGACCTTCTGTGTCGAAAGATATATTGTAGCAATCAAACTGGTGGCAGCAACAACCGCGGGAAACCAAAAGTAAAGAAATATCGCATAAATAACAGCATAAGTGTTATAACTCGCGGTTCAGAAAATAACAAATTAAATCATTGTACGGGTTATTTATCAAAATGATCGCTGCAGCAACATAAACATTTCTAAAATGAAATATTTGGATTGTTAGCCGTATAACGAACTAATTTGCAGTATTCTGTTTGCGATCAAATCAAAATGATCGTCTAGCCGAGTATTGAAAGTATAAAATGATTGCAATTAGCACACGATGCGTTTATCAAATACAAGCTTTGCAGGTCATCAGTACCTGATAAGCAGTTCCATAATAATAACGCGTGTGATATTTCACGATTTTACTATTTCATGTCGATAAATAAATAGATAATTCGAAAGCTGATTGGTCAATTTTTTAATGAATAAACTCGGTTCAAAAAAGTATTTCATACTAAAAATACGATATAAAGAATAAACACAAGACCAGAACGTACAAAATCGTTTAGCATTGAATTACTCAGTTTGAGACACTCATTTTCTAAGCAATTTTCACTTTCTATGTGCAAATATTACGAGCATTCATACGTGGTTCTATTCAGAATAATTTTTATCTGCTGTATGTTTAAGGTTATCGTTTATCATCGCGCATGGTGTTCTAGCCGTAAGTGTGTGAAGAGAAAAGTTTATAACGAAGCGAAATACCTGCAACATACGTAATTTGATTTAATCTTTCTCTTTAAAAATAAAATAATCATTATACTGTGAAATTTTGCGTAACTAGTACATTTTGTGGAACAAAAGATTCTGCACGCTGCTTTTACCGAGCTGACCAGTTCACCGCAATACTGCAGTTCTCCAATCCTTCATGTTTGAAACACCCTACACTATCAAAAATGTATCATCCACTACAATTGGTAATACTTAGATAGAAATTATTGAGTTGAAGCAGTACGAGTGATGATGCTGTATCACAAATATGTCATAGACTGTTATACGCGCAAATAACACCGTGCAGCGCATCACTCAGCAATGATATAGCTGGTCGTTTATTTGAGATGCTAACCAATTAACAATCACAAACCATCTTTAGCCTAGCACGAAAACAAACTTTGGTCTACAAAGTACGTTCTTGATGACGAAAACACTAGTTCTCAAGAATGACCAGTTCTGGTTTGTTTGCCAGTGCTGTTACACCACACACTATTGGCTTGCATTCGTGCAGCTGATCGCATCGAAAAAATGGTAGTCTCCAAAATTTTTCGGAGGTAAAAAAAAGAAAAATGGTACAAAACTGTTTGTGCGAGCACGTGGTGCTCAATTGAAGGTCCACATTTCTACTTTACACACAATGTGCAAGAACAGTGCTTAAACATGAACACGTGCTACAACAGGGGTAGTGGTACGCCAGTGGTTAATTCATAATAAAATTGTTGAAGATCGCACTGATCTGTTCCTATTGATCGCTTTTGACCACAAAAATTTTTAAGGTTCCACTCCTTTTGAAACCTAGATTTGCAAAAAAGACTCGATTGGACTCAAACCAAAAATATCACAACACGCCCATGACATCCATATCGTCTGAAAGACTATCCTCCAGCAGGCTTGAGAATTCGTTGTTCATACTCACCAAGAAGTTTTTCGTGTATCTAAAGCAGGTGTATCCACGTGCAATAGACACCAACGATTTGGCACATTATCTATGTGTGAGTAAACGGCGTGTGTACGATATTACCAATATATTGGAGGGATTGGGTCTGCTCAGGAAGAGGAGTGTAAATAGTTTGGAATGGATTGGTGGTGATTTCAGCACTTTTATGGGCGATGAAGCGGAGAACTGTGTGAACATGGATGTAGTCTACGATCGGGAGAAGGAAAATATCGACAATTTGTTCGTAGGCCAGTACGATTCGAACATCTCCGCGCTTGACCAGCTGAGCAAGGAGGAGAAGGACCTGGATCAAAAAATATTCGTTCTGAACAATAAAATACAAAACACACTGCAGTTAGATTCGAGCATTAAGAATGCGTATGTAACACACAGGGACCTGCTGGGCCTGCCAAGTCTGCAAAATAAACTTATATTCGCTGTTAAGGCACCACAGGAAACATTTCTGGAAAACAAAGACTCCAAGAATGAGTACATGATGGAATTTAATGCTAACAGCGAAAAGATAGATGTATTTTATGTTTCTGACGAGAATAAGAGGATGGAATAAACGCTCATATCGTTCTAGCATTTTTTGGTATTGATCCTGTTTTTGAGGTGGCTGCAAGCTGCTCGGCAATTATCACTGTTAAAAATGGCATTAATGTGCCCAAAACACTCCTTCGTAATTAAGATTGGCAAGCGCTACGTGGCAGGTAAGCCTTTGCTACCACCCATTTTTTAGTGCTGTACGTGTAACACGATACTTTGCCTTAGTATCAGTTCCACCATTTTGTGTGTCGATGGAGCAGTGAACTGTCGTACAGCTTTCTAATAGCTGGTAAAGTTTGTGTGAAATGAATGACAGATATGGCGTGGTACTGCTAATAAATGAAGATATCTGTGATAAATCAATCACGATTGAGTGATTACTACGACTCAAACATTAGGTTGATACCTGATCATGTTTGTTTAAGGCTCCGTTACCATGTCATTTTCTTGTAACTGCATGTGAATTATTCGCTGGTTTGCTTTTTGAAACTACTACGGTCATGATGCGGTAACTGCTCATTTCTTGGATTATTCACGGCATTTAATTGAGAACCGTAATTATTTTTGTAAACCAAGCTGCATCTTGGCGATATAGCAGGTTTATTGGACTGTGGATCTAACACTGATGTATTCATAGTTATAATGATGAGTTGGTATTTATGTGTCTATACATGCTTATGTTTCGTACTATACATGTTCGTGCCACGGGGATGGAAAGTTTCCCTTTAATGGCATGATACGTATGTTAAGTAAGGTTTCTGTGCCTGTGCACTCCCAACAAAGAAATGTTAAGCTGTGATGCAAACAGAGAGCATAGGAATGCAAAATCTGGTCAAAGCTATCGCATTTGAAAAACCGCTCATCCTTTTATTTATGGCCAAAAAATGTTACGTTCAGTTGCTTGAAGGGGTAAAATGAGCGATGCTGACCACAAAAAAGATCGTAGCAATGCAATGGAGGAAAATGCACAAAAAATATCGGACATTGGCAAAACAAAAGTTGAAAATGAGCGAAAACGGGCATCAGAAAGATATAACCCGTGCGCAAAGTTTGACCTTGCTCGGTGCTCAAGAAGTCTGTGCGGTTGCTCAACAAGCGAATACATCAAATACGTAGATCTGTCAAGAGATGAACAGTACTGGCTGGCGATGCATTGCATACGAACACTCCTGCAGATGAAGAGCAAAAAGAAGAATGCGCTGTTTATGATCATTGAAAAGATAGAGAAGATGTTTTTGGACGAGGATTTGAATTACATACCGCGAGAAACGGTGGACTCGCGTATTTTTGAGCTTTTGGATCATTTCGAGGTGTGTGGAACATCGTGCATCGGTTTTTTGAGGCTGCCTGGCAAAACGGATGTGTACCATAAAATGCTGGAGCAGATGAAGGGACCAACAAAAATAGACTTTGGCAGATACGAAATGCGTGACAACTGCTCTTTGTTCAAGCTATATATGCGCAAGGAGCTCAAGGGCATAATATACCCCTGCTTGGCACCTACCCTGTACTATTTGCATGACAGAAACAGAAGGGATGAGCTGTGTAAGATAAAAAAATATCTGCCATTCGTTTTCGTGGGTCTCAGGAGAAGGCTGCTTTTGAGAATTCTGCACTTGTACAGAAAAATTAGTGAAAATGAAGAAGTTACCAAAATGAACATAAGGAGCTTGGTGGTGTGCTCAACACCATCATTTTTTCCAGCATATGATACGAACATGTCCTTGCCAGCCAAGCAGGTAAAAATATTTGAAAGTCTTTTTGATATGCAGTTCAAGTACGTGAGCAGGGATTTGTTGGATGAGAGCTGGAAGCTGAAAACGATTTCGACAGGAACAGATGAGGACGAAATTGATCACGGATACGACTTTGTTAATCCGGATGAGTTCAGATGGTATTAGTAAAACAAGATGAGCATGATATAATAGTAATTTATACGATATGGTTTGCGCTACAGAGTCATGGAGGAAATGAAACGTGTTCAGTAATCAATAAGCATCTTAATAGGGAAATAAAAGTTTGATGTTACATAAATTCTTTTTGCTGTGGCACCAAGTTATCACAATAGCCATAGTTACTAAGTTTTTGTGTATTCCATATTAAAACATTTACTTAAATTAACCAACACTTCAACGTGTATTAAAGCTAGTACAACACATTTTACTTGTGGTTAATTATGTTATGCTTTGGGCAAAATACCGGTAAAACATGTATGGTAGTCTTTTCTTTTCTCCTACCTTGCTTACTTATAAAAAGTGCATCATAGCAGCAATTTAAACCATATGTGTAGATTACTCGTCTAATTTAACGAATTCGCGCAGTTAATCGGCTAAACTTCTCATAGTAAATCTCCTCACAACAATGTTATCATCCTAATATAACCACGTTCAGCAAAAGAAAAGAGGCTGTTCGTTGCAATAGTTGTTATCACTACGCAAACACGTGGTATCATCATGTATTGTAACATATTTTGTTTTGATAGTTGATATCTCTCGTCTAATGTGAAGTAAATCATCAAACATGTTCCAAACTTGCATACGAACAGTTTTATAATCTGGTATGCTATATCTTCTTCTATTGTCCCATAAAAATGTAACTACATCATCCGTTCAAAGGGCCGTATCGATTTAATTGGCATTTTATTGGTAATAGTGAGCAGTTTCGGACCGCAATGTATTCTTTAAACGAATTTGCACGGTCACTTAATTTTTGATGAAATTTGAATAACTATTTCTGCACGTACAGATGCACAAAAAAACAGACGTCCATACTTATTCATTGATGTGCAGTAATATCTGCCCTTTTTCACGTGTAGTTCGCAATATTATCCAATATCACACTTTAATGGCCCTTTTATTGTACAATCCGCACTTATTCAACTCAAATCAAGCATAAAATACGTTAAAAATGCGATTTAACCCATCAAATATAACACTCCGTTCAAATGCGTATAGTTACGAAGTACGGTGCAATACACGAATTAAAATCGTTTCTTCCTATATTAAAGGATATTGATAAAATCAACTCGCTGTATCCTATTGGTACAAAAATTCGTAGAAATATTTTAACTGTAAGTGTACGAAAACTGTCATCACGGATAAGCTTTGGTAATGAAAGGAAAAAAAGCCGAAATTGAAAAATCTGCACTCTCCGAGGAAAACCCCGGAGACGAATGTATACCGGTGCATGTGGATATGGATTCGATGGAACGGGTCCAGAACTGTGGCAAACATGTTGTGAGGGTGGATGAAACAAGTGTTAGTATTCTGGATTTTAATCCTATTTACCCGTACTATAAGGCTGAACCTATCATAAAAATATCTCTGAATGGAACGAAAAAAGACAAACATGGAAAGAACGCTAAATTTTAGATACGAAATAAAAACAATATTTTATGATATTGTATTTTAAGCGTATTTTACATGCCTTTGTTCGTAAGTCGGTCTTCTAAGCGATACAATTGTTTCATTTAATATGGTAACACACAATTCGCTGCTTCAATGTCTGCTCTTCATTCGAAATTTATTTATTTTATTGTGCTAGTGATGGAACTGTTTTGAAGAAATACAATAAAACTTATACTTCCGGTTTGACCGATTACAATTTTACTTACGGTTGGTCTACGAGTTGTTCAGTGAAGCTCTTTGGAACTTTTCTGTCTATCAATGTTAATGTGGCCATAAACCATTCCATAACTCTTCTAACTGCGTAAAACACTCGCAAACACTATCTTTACGTTTTGAAGATGTCCATTGCTCGTCACTTGAACGCAAATAAAAGGTAATTACAGGCATCAACCATGCAATAACGAGGTACTATCTGTTTCATTGCAGTTTATTGATCTTTGTACAAAATATTAGTTTTACTTGTGTTATTTGTTATTCTTTTTAGTCCGGTTCTAAGCAATAACCAACGTACAAATCTTAAACATTCAGTGATCCGCAACATAGCGTTAAAATGTACAAAAAAGCCTGTGAATTGCTTAATAGCAAATAAACATGAAATTGTTTGAGCATTGTACCACTAAAAATGTTTTATTCGAAACTTGAACAATTGTGCTGCTCATGTGTGTTGATGATACGGCAGATACTCTATTTTCATAACTTGGAATTGTATTACCATTCATATAAGTGAAAAATACGAGATCATATCACGCTTTCTGTTTTATGAAATTCGGATCGAGAATGGCTGATTATTCCAAAGTGAATTTAATCTTTACATGATAAAACCAAATAATTCACAGTTCTTCATTAGTTATGATCTTTAAATGCTGGACCAATTATTTTTTCCTCTTTTATCAGTGCTCTCCGAATGGCAAACTATTTATTCACATTACTCCGTAGAATTGAAAGCATTTTAGCTGTCAAGTATCCTATACAGCATATATTAGACATGTCAACACGTTTTCGCCGCTATAATGTTGCATTCATTATGATGTGACCATAAAAACAAAAAATTTCATGTTTATTGAATTGAAATGATTGATCGAATTAATTCACAAACAAGATCAATCAAATCTTTCTAAAACATTGATACTCCTATTTTTTGAACTATCATGGTTCATGTTATTGTCTTTCCTACCTTCATCTTCATGTATCTAATATAGTAACTTATATTAATTCATCAAAAAATCACGCTGACAGCTATAAACATCGATAAATTATTGTTTTGAGCGCGATAATTGCCACCACAAATGACTTGAACATGTGTAACATGTTGTATTTGATTTAATGCTGTGATTACATCATATTACTACGATTTGATGAGCAGTTCCTGCAGCCCTTTATTTTCTTGGACCATGTTTAATATTGTGCTAGCCTCTGAAACAGCCATTCCACCTAAGAAGAACGCACATTCATACGTGCTCTACGCATCCGAAACAACGGTCATCAAGCCAAAAATCATAATTCCCATACCAACAGGTGTGTATCTTTCCTTTCCATCCGATTATTTTTTGTATATAAGCTCGCTATCACAGAAATTTGGTAGCAACGCGCATGTTATTGATAGCGATTACAGAGGTGAGATCACTTGTATAGTGCAAAGCAGGTGTAGTGAGCCATTTGTGGTTGAAAGGGGCGAGCCGGTAGCACAGCTAGTTTTCTATAAAATTGTTTTGCCAGTGTTTGATGTCATAAATAATTAAATGGCGGACCTAACAAAATATTTTGACGTGTTACTGAGATTTTCGGTCTGAAATGTTCAAAGAGGTAGCTCAGTTTAATGTTGCGATGAAGAGTACCATCTTTAACAACTCGAACCTATGTTTTACTACAACGGCGAATGACCAATACTAATCAGTTTTACCAAGTTATCATCAAATGATTACTTAAACGAAATATTTTGGGCGTAATGTGAGCGATAATTAAACAGACTTTCGAAAAAATATTTATTTTAAACATGAAACGAATTAAAATGAGTTTGCAGTTCTATGACAAGATTTTACTTATTAGAGTACATGCGGGTACAGACAGCTGACAGTATTGGAGCAAAATAATCGTTTTTCCGATCGTACAGAATCAATTATTTTATTCGAGTCCTTTTCATATTTTCGTTATTTGCTTGCTTATACATGCACTATTATGTAAGTGTTTGTACCAGTAATAGGCCCCTATATGAACATATACAAGAATGAAGAATAATCGTACTAACACAAATATTTGGCATATCGATCCTATAGTGCTAACTACATTCTTTAACTTTATAACTCATTTTTCAGCTTAATAATCCGTAATATAAAATTTATCGCTTTCAAACCAAACCCTTTTTCTCAAACCTGGAAAGAAATAGATCCCATCATGAAGATAATACGTCTCTCTAAACATCTTTTTTAACTGATTCTTCCTACATATCAGTCTTTCATTTCTAATTTTGCCGTCAAAGAGCAGCAAATTATTACCAGCTGGTATTCTTTCCACGTTTTTAATATTGTAAACGTAATAATCAATTTTCGGTATATCTATCACGTATATTTCCTCATTTGTCATAAAAACATCATTTCCTTCCAAATTACTATCCATGTTGCTAGCAATAACAGGATTTCCATAGAATGATCTCATTTCAGGTATTGTGGAACATAAATTCAAATTAAACGCGTAGTCACTTTCCATATCATAGTTCATCACGTTCAGCACCACATATTTCCTGTTAAAAAGATGTTTTGCTTTTACTGTGTCACCTTTTAGAATAGATGCTATGACAAAATCGATGAGTACATTCTTATCTGTGCTGTTAAATACCGCTCTAATGTTCTTTATTCTTTCATCCTCTTCAGAGTTCTCATCGCTGGTGTTCTCTTCATTTGTACGCATCGATTTTAGCTGCTTGTCATCCTCATCAGTTTCATAAGTTTTTTTATCCATTCTTTCGATCAATTCCCTGTAATACGCGCAGCTGTCGATTGAGTTATTCGTTATATCAAATTCTTCCTTGGTACAAAACACGATTGAGTTGTCTTCTAATCCGCTTATATCAGAAAGCGCGTTGTAACAGGTAACATTTTTGATACTCAATGGCAGCGGATCGTGTTGATCAATTTTGAACTTCTTGTTAAGCCATTTTCCGCATCCATTTACGGCTCTGTTTATTTCCATGTAAAAGGGAGACACCACGCAAATCTGTATGCTCATGTCCTTCGTAGTATTGAGAAGAAACAAAAACAGCTCGAGAAACATCGAAGACACGTCGACTGGTATTATTTTTATTGCGTTATCTTGGCATACCTGCAAGAAGTCGTCCAAGCCAAGCTCGTGTATATTAATCTTGTGCTGGTTAAGAATTATCATATGTAAGTTTGTAGGTGCCATTTTGAAAGATATCCTTCCTTTCAGCGAGAATGTCGAAATGTATGCTAACCTCTTTTTTTGTATGTGTAAGATGAAGTTGCACCAGCCAAGAAAAGTATTTGATGACACTACTTCAACCATGAACGCGTCAAAGTAGATTATTTCATTATAAGTGACGAATATTACGTTTCTCTCAGTTCTTGCTATATCTACTTCGTTAACATCGTACAAATCTGCTTTCTCTCCTTCTTCGTCGTAATGCACCAAATAACCCTGTAAATCCTTTAAGCGTAGTACAAGCTGCTCGTAGACCGGCTTTGTTACGTAAATTGGCACGTCTTTTTTCAAAAAAAATATTCCTAAGGCGTCATTGGAGCTAACAAAAATTTTTTTCGCGTTTACAGCCTTAACTTTCACCAAAATAGGCTTATCACCAATTCTGTGGTTTTTGCCGTAAATCTCGGCCGGATAATCAAATTGTATCCTGTCCCTGTGTATATCCATGCTAAGAAAAGACTTTTCTTTACATTTCGTAAATTTTACGGCGGACATTTTGCAGGGTATCAGGGGTAATAAGGAATAATGCGACATGAATTGTTGAATGAGCAGACCGACATGTGCCATCGTTGGAGTTCGAGATTCGGATACCTCTATGTAAGAAGAAAATTTGATCAACACATGCTTGACGGAGAAATAGATCTGGCCCACGACGCGTAAAGACAAACGGCAACAGCGGGCCCACACGTCTCCTCGTTAACTTATGTATATGAATTTGGCAGAGGCAAATTTGATTGGTGCTATACAGCCTTACCGTGTTGTGTGGGTTGAAGCGGATTTTCAAGGACTAAGAAGTACCATTCATTGCGGCAGATGTTGAAGATGGAAATAAATAATCTCTGCTAAACCCTAAATCTGTTGGGAACGAGCCCTGAACAAGGATTAAAAGTAGCTATGGTATCGACTCTCTCTCGCAAGAATTCTGTATGCTGTCATAGAATTCACAACCCAGGATAATATAGAAGGTTATTGGAACCGATAGCGAAAAGTCATAGTTGGATAGGTTCACAGGTGATAATTATGCTGTCATCAATCGTTTAATTCGATAGGTTTATATACATTCACACATTAAGACGTGTACATGACAGCGAAAAACTCATAACTTGTTGAAATAAAATGTTTGCTTTTAATATGTGATAAGAGGCTCATAAGAATGTCCAAAATAATCTTTGCCATAGAGTATGAATTAACTGCAGATAAATTTTAATAAAATGCCGTTCAAACACGGTTTACAACTTTAAAAAGTCCTCAATGATATGTAAAACTTTTTCGTAACTGTGACCCGATCTTTCGCAGATACTCTTTTGGTACTTTAACGGCTCATTGAAAAAGTTTAGTAGCAAATCCGTGTAAACACATTCCTTGTAACACACTTCTCTGTGCTGATATTTGAGATTAACACCAAAGAAGTTCTTTGTTTCTCGGTATTTCCTCAGCACATCATGGATCTTACCGTAATTTTTCTGCGTGTACGAAAGAGCTATAAGAAAATTTTGGCTTGAGAAAAAGGATGCATAACTGCGATAAGAAGAGGTCTTGATGGATTGAAAACAAGCATATGTCTCAAATTCTTGCCTCTTCACCAGCTTCTCACCACCATTACTGTACAAGTTGCTGGGCGAAAACGAGAATATCTGCACCTTGCCGGTTTTGTCAATCCCTGTGATAAAAAGGCTTTCCCCAGCGTTAAAAAAGTCCAAAGATCCGAGATTAGCAATTCTGTCAGATTTGCTCAGCAGGTGCAACTTTACAGGCTCAGACTGGAAATATACAAAGTGAAGGCCCATCATGATATCGCCAACAATGATGTAATTCTTGATGACCGCCAACGACACCGCATACATGTACAGGTCATAGAATGCAATGGCTACAATTCCTGAGTTCCTATCACATTCATACACCATCAATTTGGTAGCCAGCGATACAGCAATCTTGCCACGAACAGCTGCACAGCAGCTGATTGGGCCCTTCGTGCGCTCACTACCGAGAAGTTTAAGCGCTTTCTTCGTCTTCTTTGCCACCATGTCACCTATGACATTGATAACCTCAAATACAAGAATTCGTCCACGGAGTATTTCGTTGCTTGTGCGCTGCGAAAGAATCACAATAACGAAGTTATTGTAGTCGCCGTTTGCATCGCTCAGGTTCATAATTTTTAGATCGGTGACCAGCTCGTTTTCTGGCAGTTTGAAAATACTCAGCTTATTAAAGCTGAGCGTAGACATCACAAGCTCCTGTCTTTCCTTACATAAGGTGTTGTCCTCCTCGTTTTCATCTGTATTGTGCGTATCGTCCGTTTTAAACGTTTTGGGCAGGAAGGTGAAAATGTACACGCCGTTTGCCTCATCTCTGATTATTTTGTCGATGTTTTTTATGCTGTGCACTTTTTGGAGGCAGCCCATCGGACTAGCACCCGGTTTAAACTCAACAATGTTTTTCTTTGATATGCCGTACATCACACCAGCATCCTCTAAAACACAGTCGAACGAGTTTGTGATTCTCTGTACGCGGTTATTGCATGTCAAAATGACGAAGTTATTCCTTATGAACACAAAATTACGGGTGTAATACAACGCGTGGCCATGAAACGAAATTAAATTTCTTCTTTTCACAAAATAGAAAAGACTATTCGTGGTGATAAATCCCTCGTACAGCGCCACAACGTGTCCGCTTTTTAGAAGCATCGATACCACATCGTTGTATTGATACACGAGGCATTCATCAATCCTAAACACATCGGTACTCTCATCCTCCGATCCATGATCGCTTTGGGGGGTTGTCCTGCCGTTTTCCAAGGTATTGCAGAAATCGTGGATATCCGAACAAAAAAGCGTATTTTCACCGCTGAACAGTTTGATGCGAGAAGCACTGCCAGAAGATTCGCAAAGAAGAAAAAGTGGGCCATTCACACTGAAACTGTCAACATTTTCATAAGAAGTGGCACAATCCTCAACATCATTGAACAAACTTGTGAGTGAATATATCCTCAAGGTCTTACCTTCCCTAACAAATAGGTGTGCTTTGCTGTATTTCACCTGATCTGCATTAATAGGTACTTTTTTCTCGTTCAATACGTTTATGCATGTACGTGTTACCTGAACCAATCTGTCATCAAAATAAAAGAGTGCCATTGTTTCTTGATTTGTTATATATTCAGCACTGTTGCTCATATTCTGCACAGTCTGTGCTATTCTCACTCGTTTATGTTCAAGCATCTGTTCTTCTGCATTTTTATCCGTACCGGTCTGTGCAGGCACGTCTTTCCCATTCGGGTCTCTCGTGTACTCCTCCGTAACTGCTTCAACCATCTTTTCTTTCCGGTTACTGCTCAGCATTCCGCTATACTCCACCATGCTGCTGTCGATCCATCTAAAGAACAAGGAACTCTCCCCATTTGTGAGTACAAACAAATCCTTTGCCTTCATTAGCAGCTTGTAATTGCCTATTTTGTGGCTCCTCGTAAATTTAAACGTAAAAGTATCGAAATATCGAATTAACCGGTCTGTAACAATCAAATACTCCCTGTTAGTATCAGCATCACATTCAAAAATGTACCTGATGTCTCCAAACGAGTGATGTGTTTTGATAAGTGCATACGTATGGACACTCTTCTCGGTCTCCTCCGCTATCTCTGCAGACTCGTCTATCTGCACCCGCGTGTTGTACAGATCGATTTCATCATCCATCTCTGACAGAAGAATACTCTTCTTTGCTTTCGGGCTACTGTCAAACTGCGGCTGCAAGAGCAGTGCTGTATGATTCTCCAAGATCAGGAAGAGAAAATTGCTCATTTCAAAAACCTTTCTAATCGATCCGTACCGGTGGAAGGAACGTTGTACACTTGTGCTTATAGATTGTATGTGGTGGCCGGCGTAGCACAGGTGCAATCGGTATATTTTATCATCGCCGTTGAAAATAAAAATGCTGTTATTGACCACCACCTCTGCAGTGTTGAAGAGCCCTGTACTGTCCGAATTACCAAATTCGTCATCCTGGTCTGCCAGTTCATGGAACGGTATGCAATACGTAAATATCACGAAATCGACCCACAGAAAGTACAGCACCCTTTCTGACAGCACCACTACGGCCGTGTCTCTCAGTTTGAAGAGTTTGAACGCTGTGCTGTCCACTTTTATGTTCTTGAGCACCGCAAAACTGCACAAGTCAACGATCAGCACACACATGCTGCTTAGATCGGGCGAGTACAGGAAGTAAATCAGATCATTCACCAGTGCCACATCTTTCACGTTATTCAAGTCTGCATAAATCTCATGAAACCTGTGCAATCCCGTTTTCACCTTTCTGCCGCTTTTTAAATCGAAGTTTTCCAGAATTGCAGATTTATTTAAAGCGTTGGCATCACTCCTTGAAAGAACATGCATGCCAAACCTAAACCTGTCATAATGAATGTAAATGATGTCGTCATCAGCACGTATGAATGTGTTGATGCCCACCTCATCGATGTATATCAACGATACCAGGTCGATATTTCCCGCGTTGTAGAGAACCTCGGTAATGTTGCCGTCCATGAACAGAATGAAAAGGTGGTTGCCAAAGCTCAGGATATCTTTGATGGGCCTGAAAAGGTTCTTCTCCAGTATTTTGTGTACAGGGCTGTAAATCTTAATGATGCTGTTGTTGAACATAACCGTGTATGGCCATCTTTCACCGCTGTGTTCTACATTTGGATCGGTGTGTGCGAAGAAACACATGCCGTCGATGTTGTCGCAGAGCAGTCTGCGCTTGTAAATGAAGCTCATTCTCGGGGTGCCATTTTTGCAATTAATTTACGCGGCTCTTTTTTTCACTAAAAGCGCGTTTATTCATCTCTTCTGGTCGGCTGACCAGATAGCAAATGCTGCGACAAAGAGTTAGACCATGAATTAATGACTAATATTGGATCAGGAAAACGGAAAGGTGTTTGTTCCGTGGAGTGGTGAGTTGGTAGTAAATAAATGCATTTTCACTTAAAGAGAGTTAAGTTCTACGAGAGGTAACTGACTGACCAAATTGATAGCTTTAATCGCAGCACGCTCGTTCAACATCGTAGAATGATGGGGCTTGCCGTATTCGTTGCCTCTATTTTGGTAGCAGTACCAACGACAGATCGACAGCAAATACAAGTAATTGGAATAGGGGACGAGAAATTGAGCACCTTTAAAATTAACTCTGTAATCGGTGTTACATGCTCAATTTCCGTATTATATCCCTCGCCAAGGGAACTAAATGGTACCTACTATCATTTTCATTCAAATATTGTAGTATAGCAATGCTTGCTGTGCCTCTTCAACCAACTATCAGCACCATTCATTCGTTTAATAAAAACAAATTTGCCTTCTACTCCGATTGCATCATTTCTCAACATAGCACCCTCTTTTCATCAAAAGTACGTTTACTCATGTTCTCATACAACAACGCTCAAATAACGATGGCAAACTTGTTTACTGCTCCTGTTATACCACTTGACTCGTTATTTTCTGTGCACGTTCTTGCCAATTTATCGCTATGATTGAAATGGTGGTACAGCTATTAAATTTAGTGTTTTTACTTTTTGTAGCTTTAATACGCTTTGCTATGTTGCTCTTCACATATTTTTTGTTAAATTTATCGGTGTTTGGATAGGTGATCGTAATTGAGTGCTGTTGATTGATTAATATGGAAGAACACACAAGCACGATTGGCAGTAAATGAAACAAAAGGACAAGTTACAGTAATACTGTGCCAAGTTTTAAACTTTGGAATGTTGATCTTGGCTTGTTAACAACAGATATTAACTCCTGTTGAACGGTTGACAGGCACATATTTACCTATTTAAACCGTGTTTGCGTGATTGTATCTAAAGATTGTGTTGAACCCTTGGCTCTACCACTGCATCACCGCGCGTAATCAACAAAATGTGCGCACTTTAATTTTTGTCTTGACCTGCCCTTGATGGAGTTTACGTGTCAGCGCCAGCTTTTTGGTGTATTTGAATCACCGCTAGATTTTATAGAAGCATACGCGGAAATATACGACAACCAGAAAAAAGAGCCTATCAAGGTATTTTATGACGAAATTCCTTATTCTCAAGTCTTTGAACAGCAGATTTTGAACTCTCTATACGAGTGTAAGGACGAAACGATTTTCTTCAAAACTGAGAAACTAATAGACTCGATGAAACAAAGAGAGTTTTACGATCATAGATTTTACGACCGATGTAAGGATCTATACATAAAGGGAGTGGCAGTTCTTTTAGACAATGTTGAAAACAGCCTGTTTAATGACGAGATATTGCTGGGACATATCAATTACCAGGTTTTTACGGAGGATACAAAATTACAGAAGAGAGAATTTGTAGAGAATGTCTTGAAACTGTACAAATTCACAAATTATAACATCAACATAACCAACTTCCTTGTTTATCTGATGGAAAACAACTTTAAGAAAAGCCTTGGAAATATAAAAGCATTCGTTGATCAGATGTGCATACATAAGTACTATCTGCACGAGCTGAACAAAGCTTTGCTTGTTTTTCCAGAGAGCAAATTCAGGGATGAACGTGAGCTGTATAAGAAAATAAGTATATCTGAATATCTTCTGGGTGCAGAAAGAGTACTTGAATATTCATTTGATGAATATTTTGTTCGTCTTTTAAGCGCCGTAAAGGTATTCATTGAATCGCAAGAACCAGACAATGCGTATTTAATGATTATGAACCTGCTGAGCGAGCTCTCTCTCAGGGATATAGGTATCGATGAAAAGTTACTCGAAGGTATAAAGAACCTTGCCAAGTCCTTGCTTGTGTAATTACAAATCGAATATAATAGCAAGAACAGAGTAAATGAATAAAGTTGAACATTGCAGTAACTTGATATTAAATGAAGTGAGATACGGTCGATGAGCATGTCTTGCTAACCTATGAACATGTCTAGTTTTACGTAGAACACTCAATACACATCAACTGATGCGTATGAAAAACATAACTCAAAACCAAATATCAATTTTTATCCTCTTGTAGGATGTTCTGTATGCAAAAATGGTTGGAACAAAAAACATTTCATTGGTAAACTTCCTTTCTTGGTCATTGGTTTGTTCTTGGACATACTCTCCGTTCTCCCACTATTCTACTCCCAAATACGTGCTGTTTAGAACGAAGATAAATAAATTAATAACCTAAAGAAAAAATATATTTTATAGAATGAATAAATAGGTTATTATTACGGTTTGTAAGTAAAAATAGCACAGTTTTTACAGTAGAATTCTCATCATGTGTACCACCTGCAAAAGGTCTTCTGTCTATAGTTTGTAGAACGTGTATTTCCACCATTCATTTCTCTTTGCCCACCGAAGCTGTTAAAGTTTGAGAAAGGGTCGGATATAAACAACTTGTCCCACATCTTCGCATCTTTGTCGTGTGATAACCAAAAAACGATTATATCTCAAAATGGGAAAATTAACAAGTACTTCAACGACCTATCCGCAGGTAATATTGAACCACATTACAACTTGTTCTTTATTAAGTTATTTACATGCTATGCCCTGTTTATTCCTTCTTTACTTGTGCTATGCTTTTATCAACAGCTGTATCATTTTGAATACAAGAGCAGTAATTAGCGCAGTTTTCAAGCGTTAACCTATAACAAATTCTTTTTTCATCATTTTAAAATTTTTTATGACACATGATACATCAGAATCATGATATCTGCCTAAAAACCAAAATTTGATGGGTTTATAGTCGGAATGAAACACCAAGAGAGTTTTTGGTGCTTATATTTGCTGAATAAATGCGCTTTCATTTGAAATAATAGCCACATACATTTAATATGAATCTGAAACATACATAACGAGATTTAATAATGTAATTACGGTTGGTACATATTTAATTAAACTATAAATAACAAAATTGGAAGAATATGTGCACCCGTAACTGCCTATCTTGCTATCGCCTTTATCATTTCCAGCATTTAAAAGGACCAAAAAAATAAAAATAATGAAAGTTGAGTGGCAGCATGTTCATGTCAGACTGGTAGTAAAGCAGAAAAATTCTTCAAGACAGGCACTTAACATATTATCGGATATGTGTGGTTGGACAGAAGAGGGATTGCTGGCTGTTATAGGTCCAAGTGGATGTGGAAAGACCACGTTTCTGCGCATGCTGGCTGGTCGCGTCCCGCAAGATTCATTTACATCCGGATATGTTCACTACGACGGGAAGATGAGGAATATTTGTCAGTGGCTGGAAAAGATGGCTTACATAGGACAGCGCGATGTTGTTTACGAGCACCTCATAGCGAAAGACCATGTGATGTATTCGGCCCTGTTCAATCGGAACAAAATCGAAGACTTGGACCAGAAAATTCAAATTTTGTTTGACAAGCTGGATATGACGAAATGCATGCACAAAACGATGGATAAATTGTCAAATGGCGAAAGGAAAAGAGTGTTAATTGCCATGGAACTGATTAGGGAGCCGGACGTAATAATCATGGATGAACCAACAAGCGGTCTGGACAGTACAAGTGCGTTTTATCTTGTCAAATTTTTGAAAGAGTTCGCAATGAGCGGCAAAATTGTGATCTGCAGCATACATCAGCCAGATGAAAGGGTTATCAACCTGTTTGACAAGGTAATGGTGTTAAACATGGGGAAAACCGTTTTCTTCGGCGAAAAGAAAATCTGCGAAGAACTTTTGAGCAGACATGAAATTGTGAGAAATCCGCTTCTGTCATTTTCGACGCACATGATGGAACTGTGCTGGTTTGAAAATGATGGATATGATGCCGCTGCTTCTATGATCAAACTGGAAAGAATTTTCCGTGAGAACCAGGTCAAATATGAAAAGAGTATTGGCGAGATTTCGCATTTCAAGTCCAAAGATGATTTGTACATGAACATACAATTTAGTCCTTATCACGTCTTTTTTTTAGTGAAACGGTCGATGTGTGCGCGTTTCAATAACAAATTGTCTTTTCTGCATGTTATTGTGTTCAATTTACCGCTGCTTTTCTTTATCATTTTTGTGAAATTTTCGTTGGCTGGTATATCCGAATTTCAGTATAATTCTGGAAAGATCCTGTTCTACTGTGATGACTCTTTTCAAACGTTCGACAAATTCTACTCTTCAATGTTTACGCTAATAAGCACATCCATCATGTATCTAAACATAAATGATCTACCAAAGATATCAAACGAGCTTGCTGCGAACCGCTACTCTGTTATTTCGTATTATTTTGGAAGCATATTCGATGGAATGGCTATCTTTATACCGTCTACCATACTGGGTTTGCTTTCTATGTACATCTTCATAGACAGTATTTTTGATCTGAAGTTCGCGTTCCTGTCAATTTTATTTCTCTTAACCTCATGTCTTAACCTGTACTTTTTTAAGAACGTCTTTACAAGTCCGGTAGCCAAAATTCTTGTGTCGTTCGTATGTTTTATGGTTGGGTTTCTACTCCGGAAAGCGATGAATTATTTGGCGCCCCTGGAACAGCACAGTATAATCCGGCATCTGTTGCAGGGAATCATATGCGTCCTAGTTCCATCCTTTCTGCAGGTGAGTACCGTAATGCGTGTGCTATCTGAGAACCAAATAAGCAAGTGGCTGAGTAAGTGTTCTGGTAAAGAGAATTTGCTGCCGCTATATTTCATGGAGTGCAAAAGAATGTGCGAAAAAAACGAGCCCTACTCATCAAATGTATCTTTGCGCATTTCATTAATTTGTTTTGCCTTGTTATTCTACGTTGTAGCAGGCATTGCTGCACTGTGGAGGACAATTTGCCCAAAACTTAGGATGCGTTTAAGTAAAAGATAACATTATCGGGTAAGTATTGCATTCTTTTTTGCACGGCATCATTGATTATATGTTGATTATGAAAGGCGTATTCTACAACCTTATACGTTCTACAGGTACCACGATAAAGTTTCAACCGCTAATTGAACCACGTGGTCACGAAATACCACTCCTTAGGCCTGGTGGAGGTGTTCGAATATCATTTATGATAAGGAAAGTAAATATGGCATCAAAATGAAAGAATAGGTAATATTTGGTGGAGATACAATAAAATGCCAATTATTAGCTAAATTATCTTTGGAAAAAACTAAATATGGTGATTAGAACATTAGAAAGGTTTTAATTGTTTGTTATGGCAGTAAAACGTGTAGAATATCCTATTTAGTGCAATTGTCGCGTACAATGGCACATTGTTAATTGCAAGGGTACCTCAGATCGAGGTTAATTGGAGCGCTACAAGCGCACAGAATAAAGATAAGAATTTGTTGTTAAATGGCTCAGTAACAGTGCGTTATTCGTGGCAGACCTATTTGTTCACTAGCCATTATACCTAGCTGGATAGGTTCAGTACCAAAATTAAGATTGAAGACCTGTTAAATACAACGCCACCGCTTTGATGTTGCGAAATTGTAATTAACTCATAAACACACCATAATAATATGTAATAATGGTTTTCCTCCATTGCACTGCAATAACGCCGTCTCATGTTTGCTTTCGTGATCACCTTACGTTTCATTTTGATCTTCTTTTTCCATCCCTCATGGTCCGGTATATCACACAGAAAGAAGCAATCGCAATTGACGAGGCATTGTTAGAGACAGGTTACGACATCAATTCATTGATAGAAGTGGCTGGACTGTGTGCATTCGATGTGATAACTGCAATACTTAAGGAGAGGGAAGATGGTATACACGATATTCTCGTGGTATGTGGGCCTGGTAATAATGGGTCAGATGGGTTGGTCATCGCTAGGTGCCTGAAACTCTCAGGTTATAACGTTACGGTGTTCTACAAAAGGTTAAAACACCAAAATTTGGTTAATATAGCCAAAAATGTGGGTGTGGCATTCACGACCGACTGGCCAAAAGATGTACATCGATATGGATGTATTATCGATGCTATGTTCGGGTTTTCCTTTAAGCCGCCGCTGAGAGAGCCGTTTTCTTCCATCGTTGAGTGTATTTCTGAACACAGCAACGTTCTATCGATAGATGTTCCGAGTGGATATGAGATAGATAATGAAGATGCTAAATACTCGTTTGTTCCCAGGCATGTGGTGTGTTTTGTGGCTCCAAAGGTGTGCACAAAGATGTGCAGGTCGATCTTCATCACACGGTGCTTTGTTCCCAGGTACATTTACGATGATGACAACGATTATTCCAGATTTAAAAGAGTTTAACCTGTGTTTACGTGTCCATTAAAGTAACATGATCATAAATAGGCCTTTCTCTATTCTCAGATCGCATTTTGTTCGATTTGTGCGATACGCACGGTAGGTCCTTATTCATCTGCAGATAATCGTAAAATTGCAGGCAGCAACAACGACAGAACTTTTTCTTTGTTACGTTTTTTCGTGTATGCGCCGAACAAAAGCACGGATGACTGTGGCAACCCTTCACATGACATTCTCACATATCGATCAATTCATAAATGATTATCGCAACGAAAAAAATACACGCAAACTCCTGCCATACCGTGAAGAAACGGTGAGTCATTTGCGAGAGCTGATTAAATCTCAGGAAGAGTATGTGGGTTCACTGGGGGAGCACAAATTGCTTAAAGCGTTATACGAACAAGAACTGGAAAGGATAAAATACGTTTTAACAGACTATCTGAAAATTCGCCTGATGAAACTGCAAAAGAACTTTTATATCGACAGCGAGTACCTGTCAGAGTATGAAAGGGTGTTCTACCAGAAATTAGTTGATAAATTCAAGGAATACGATGTATTTGTGGAACAGAAGGAGGAATACGATGATTATGAATGCGTAGGTTTCATCGCATTGGTAGACATCGGCAACATAGTGATCGACAGCAATCGAGTAGATGTGCTTGCAGGTGATTTTTTCGTTGCCCAACTAGCGGATGTTAAGCATTTATTGCTAGATCGTAAAATCATGTTGGTGTAATCCGGCTTGTGATAAACTACCCAAAGAACGATAAATAATGCTGCCAATAGCACTTTAGAACACCTTGCATGTTTTGTAAACTCAATAAACACTATAGCTGTTTTATTAACAAATTCTTACTTTTTACAATTCCTGTTGCATACAAGGGGTATGTCGTTTGGTGTTGGTGTGAGAAGAGGTGTTTTCAACCGAGAGCTGTTGAAAACAAGTAAATTACGTCATATTTTATAATTAAAAGTAATTTACTTACCTTTTTACACCTTAAGTTGGATTAAAAAAAGAGAATTTATTTGTTCTGTTGCGCGCTATCAATTGAAAGTAAGTAAATCAGTTTTCGTAAAACTGACAGGTAGAGAGCATCATTACCGTAGCAGCTATTCACTATTAACAAAAATACCATAAAAAGGAAACAATCTCACAGCAAATTTGTTCCTCTGGTACTTTTGTATGAGAAGGAAAATAAACACACTTTGAACTAAAAAATGTAATTTGATCGTAAATCGTTATTTGGTCTTTTTTGTTCAGCATATACTTATAGTTTTGCTTTTTGTTGCCTTTTTCATATCGGAGTGAGTTGTTTTAGCTATATATTCTACAAATATACGGTTTAGTTCGTATTTTTCTTCAATTGTTTGTTATCGAACAGTACATCTCAAAGAATGCACTCAAATTTTTTATAAGAACTGTACCTTTTCTTCAGTATTAGACGGTAACTGCACCATTGCAGACGAACGTATCCAAACTCGTGTATTTGTATATCGGCGAAATACGGTTTAATGAACCGGTAGATTCATAGATACAACATTATTGGTCATTGTCTGTATCACAGGACAACAGAATTTGTTCGAATACTGCACTAAGTAAGAATATGTAAACATGTATCTGGTGATAACTGTCCGGAACAACAACGAATAGGTTTACCGTGTCACAAAGTGAGTTAAAAATAATTTGTACCAAAAATTAAGACAGATTATTGCGCTCATTCTGTGGCAATAAAACCTGAAAATTGAAAAATTCGTGTCAAAGAATGTATGTGGTGTAATGCCAACCTTGTTGGTAATCCAAATAATGTAATTTGTTTTTGCCACTATTACGGGCAAAATGATGTTTTGTTCGCATGTCATTTTTGGCAGACATTCCTATAATGATAAGAATCAACATTAAAGCAGGTGACAGGTTGATAAAAAAGCATTTTTTATGTGTATCCGTTACAACGCTTCTTGTTACACGTTTTTACAGACAGGTTTGCTGTTATTTTTAGTTTCGCTCGTTTTCAACATGGAGAAGATTTGTAAGGCAATCCGTTACAAGCCGACAATTTCCCACCATCTCACGTGCAGTACACCGGGCCAGGTGTGAATCGAAGTATTTAAAGATTTGGTAGTTTTCATTTTACAATTTAGCAGCGAATCTAGAACGTAAACTTTTATTTATCATGAAAACTTCCTTTCAAAATCAAGAAAAGTACCAACCCGATAACATCAAACGTCATATTCTACATCTGTTATCATTAAAAAAGTATAAAAGCAATGTCTTAGGTGCCGATATGGTGTTTTTAGTTGTTTTCTTCTTCACAGTTTTTTGTAGAGAAACTCATAATTTTGATATGGATGGCCTTCTGTACACGAAGAACCAGTTGGAATATCTGATCGCAGATTTTAAAGATGCTCTGATATCCAGCCAGAAAGATTCAAGAAAAAAAGAATTATTCCTTGACACGTTTGTACGCCTGCCCAGGAAGAATGAGAAGATATCGTGTAAGCATGTTCTGCTTGCTATCGACTTGGGAGGCACGTATCTCAAGCTTGGTCTGTACAAAATCGCAGAGAATGAACTAACAGAGCACAGGCCGGCCAGAAAAGTGCCAATTCCAAGGGCAGACGAAACCACAAAGAAAATGGATTGTTTTGAATGGATAGCCAATGAAACAAGGAAGTACCTGGACAAGACAGACTTTAAAAAATCGGCACGTGCTGGCATGACATTCTCTCATCCGATAGCACACGAGTCAATTAGTGTTGGTAAGGTACTAAAGCTTGGTAAAGATTTTCCCTTCAGACCAATCGATTTGAGCCGTGAAAACGACCCGGTAAAAATGATGAATACCGCTTTTGAAAAATTTAAAGTGCCCGTGAAGGTTGATGTGATTCTGAATGATGCGACTGCTACGGCAGCAGGTCTAATTTTCGGCAAGAATGACGAGGAGGCGGTGAACATAGGAATTGTGCTCGGCACAGGAACAAATGCAGCATACGTAGAGAGAACGAACAGATTAAAGCCTACCATTATCAATACGGAGTGGGCAAGCTTTGATAAAATGAGTGTGCATAAGTCTGAATACGACGTAGCTATCGAAAAAGCTGTAAATGAGCAGGGTAAGGTGTATAAGAGGATGGATGCAATGCTAGGAGGTAAGAGTTTTATGCAGTTGATACTGTTGATGGCCCAAAAACACATTGCAAGTCAGATTAGTTTGAAGGGCTGTGCACAGGAATCATTTATGATGATAAAGGGACAGGAAAAACATGAGGGAGAGCTGTTAAGGAATGACAAGGGAATTATGACGGAAGATATTAGATGTTTTAGTTCTGGTGAAACGAGTGGATATTTAAGCGAAGAATCGGTTAGTACAAAACAGCAAAGTACCGAGAACCAAGATAACGCGTATAAAACAACGAGAGAGGATTTACAGGAAAAAAAAGGAACAAAAATCAACCCATCCACATCACAGGAGTCGAATTACGTATTGGTGGACATTGCGTATGTGCTGAACCTGGTAAAAAGCTCTGAGGCAAGTTTGATTGACAACGAAAGATTTGTTCTAAGTTGCTATAGAACATTGAAACGAAGGACCGCACAGATATTGATGGGCATGATGGTGTCTATTGTTGAGTCTCAGACCACCAACATGGAGAACATAAAGGTGAACATCGCGGTAAACGGGTCGCAATTTGAAGTTGAGCACGACATGGCTGTTTTCTACGAGGTGCTGAGCGAAGTGTGCACGCTCACCGGTCTCAAATACCAGAATGTCAACGTCTTGAATCTGCAGGATGCATCCCTGGTGGGCACTGTGAAGGTATTGGCGTATGAACTCTCAGAACGATCGTTTTTTCGTAGTATGAAAGAACTCTTCTCTTAATTAAAGTGAAGTAAGTTGAGCTGTGCTAGGATTAAGCATTCATGGATGCGTTTTGTTACAAAATATTTTACGGCATTTTTGTTGTTTCATTTTGCGTACTCATCTGTTCTTACCCTTGAGCTTGCTTTTTTGCGCGCTATTTTCACTGCCCAGACAGAAATGAACCTGCCCGACCCACCAAGCGACACAATAACCGACATAAAAGTGCGAGAAGACAATATTTACGTTTCTTCGTTCGATAAAACACTGAGAATATACCAAGACGGTCTCCTGTCTCGCACGATCGCGCACAACCTGCCCATTTTGAAAGTAGAGTTCTTCAACAGCGAGCCAATTTTCACTGATATTGCCGGTAATGTCAACACGCACCACCTGTGTATTAAAACTGATTGCGGCGGCATCCAAGGCATTTCGGTGCACAACAATGCAATTATCGCGGCTGGTTGGAATAAGAAGCTGCAGATAATCCAAAACAACGAAATACAACGTACAATAGAACTACAGGAAAAGGTGTATGCAATGGACCGATGCGATGATGTCATCCTTATGGGCTGTAGCAACAACACATACATGCTTGTTGATATGAGAAAGCCCGAAAAAATAATGAGACGAAGCGTGGCTGGTCCTATTACCAGCGTGGTACTGAGTGAATATGCGATAATTGGCATGCTGAACGGTAAAATTCGTGTTGATTCCTCGGTGATGGGCAGCAGCCGAGCATCCGACACGTATACGTTCAACTGCCACCATAAATCGAGTGGCAACAAACGAATAAACTACCCCGTGAACGCCTTGATACTTGATGGCACGCTCATATCGTGTGGTAGCGATGGGTCTATAAACGAATGGAATGTTCTCGATAGAATGATGCTAAAGGAAATATACCGCTCTGATTTGAATGTCTCAGCCATTGAAAGGTATAAAAATAAGATTGTGGCTGGTTTGAGCTATAACTACGAGCAGGGTGACAGAGAAAGCTTCAAACCCGAACTTAGAATCCTGCACAGGTGATCACGTACATACGGTTGGATCTGTCAAAAATTATGTTGTTTAATGAATGATGCGTGCTTCTGTGCGTATTTCTCAGTAAATTTGGTTTTTCATCTCACAACCGTGCCAACAAGCAAGTTATAGCTATCAATACGTGCCTGATGATCGTTTGGATCAAGTGCTCTTGATTGTTCCGTATTGCTTTCTAAATGGGATGCCTTGCTCAATGTTGACGGAGAGGGATCGTTTTCAACGATTGTTGCTTAAAGAGGATACTTTGCTTGGTGTTGACATGAAGAATAATAATTTTGACATTTGCGATCATCAAGGAACCTTTACTTGTGCAGCTGCCATATACCCATCCCGCATCTTGGCATCTCCATTGTTACACACCGCTCATGGCGCCGTATTCTGGTAATAAACCGGCACTTGTACAGTTTTGAACTTCACATTAACCACTATAGCTTAGAGGGCGTCACCCCGATTAACAGCTTGACATTACGCTCTTTAATTCCTTCATTGGTAATTTCCAGCCTGTAGCACTGGTTTTGGCAGTACAGCACTCCGAATCCCTTTATAACCGAGCTGTGCCTGTCGTTGCTCAGAAGATACTTCACATCCTTTCCTCCCTCCAGGTCCCAAATCATTCTGTTATCGCAGTCAGCATCAAATTTAACATATTTTGAGCTGTTGCCCGCTAAAGACGTGACACATTCGATCACCAGTTCGTTCTTTACCATGTGCACGGGATGCTGTGCTAGATTAACGTACAATTTCCTGTTGCGTGGTGTCTTCGGCCTGATGCCGATTTTGATTTTGTTGCGTCCCTTCAGCGAGAAAAGAAACTGCGCATTGCTTGCTGTGACTATTTTGAGGTTGTTGACTATTTTTCGCCTGTCAGCCGTTATGGTCACGTAAAACTCGTCAGTAATTTCGCTGTGCACCTCAAGAAAAATTATGCTGCCTGTTTCGACCGGAAAACGGTACTCCAGGCTTTTGTTGTATACGGACTCGAACAAACTCTTGTTCTTGCTGTAGCTAAGCATACGCATGCGGAACATCAGCGAAGGAAGGAAATAATCGTGGAGATGTGCCTCCAGGTCTTCCGTGTAACTTATGTACATGCATCGTGTCGTCTCAAAGTCTTTTATGTTGTACACCACGGTGCTATTCTCATTGGTTAGTATTGTGTCCACCAGCACCTCTGGATCTGTGTAGTTGAGCACCATGCATTCAACATCCTTGTACCTGACCAGGTACACCTTCAGGTTCGTGCTAATTTGCTTGGAAGTAACGACTGATGCGCACATCCCGAACAGCTTTAGGCGCAGGCTCGTGTTCCCAAGCACATCGACCAACTCATTTTTCTCCAACTCCAGCAAAATGCTCTTCTCAACGTAGTTCGTGTTGGTCTCCCGTATCCCCTCTATTCGCTGCACCAAATCATCCACATTTAACCGATCGATCTTGTCATTGTTCGTGTTGCGCACCTCGTGCTCTCTCTTCTCGAAGAAGCACGCGTGCATCTTCGATACATCCTCCTGGCTAATAAAAAACGAGCGGTTCGTCAGATAATAGTACAATTGCACTTTCCCATTGTACACATGAACTGCCATAAACTCGGGCTCCCTCTGATCGCTCCGCTGGAAGAACATGGTATCCTCCTCCACGATACGTATGTAATCGTAGCACTCGTTTTGGAAGTACAACCGAACTCTTGACACTCTTCCGCTGATCTCCTCTATCTCTTTGAAGTACAGAAAATTCTTATACATCGCACCGAATACGTCCAGCTCATAAAAATCCATCAGTAAAAGAATGTCCTCATCGCCAATTCTCATCTTCTCACGGAGCATTTTGTACTTCTTATTTTCGGACATGTGTTCGCTTACGGCCATTTCCCCCGTTTGACTCGATTTTCCTACCCCAGTCTGCTTACCAAGCCGTTCACATCCACGAGTCCTGCATTCTGCTTTAAACGTGCTTGTTGTGCTATAGCACGATTCATCGTCCGTTTTTGCACCATTTTGTGTTGAACCTTTCTCCAAATCGTCCTCTTCTTTGTCTTCTCCTGATGTTCTTGACCTGACACTGTTTGATCTGCCACCATCAGGTTCGGTAAACTCATCCAATCTCATTCTGTTCGCAACACCGGATTGTACCACCCTCTTCCCATCATTCTTACCATCACATACTATCGCGTTACCCGTTTCGCTGCCATTTCCGTACCTATCGCTCAAAATGCTCCTAACCGCATCTTTGTCAAAAATGAGCTCTGCCAGATAAATCCGGTCTGTGCTGTTGTTTATATACGATGAGTTCCTTAGCAAAACGTAATGTGCTCTTCTTTTGATGGCCTTGTAGTTCATCGTCATGTACAGCCTTATCTTGTTCGCCACGTCCTTGCACCACGATTGGTAATCTGCGTTGCTGAAGATCGGCACGCTGTGATTAACAAACTTGAGGCTGGGGCTGACCATGGGCAGCGGGAACTGGTAAAAATTGGGGAACAGCATTTTGGTCATCAAACCGTATTTAAGAACTTTCTTGAGGATGGAGCTCACCACGCCCTCGAAGTAAATGTTTTCGCCTGTCGTGGTGCTTAAAAACGCTTTGACCGTGACCGTAAATTGAGGATCAGAAAGAAATGAAAGCTCCCAGCGAGTGTTGGACGAGATGGACGGAATATTGCACAGCACCTTCCCACTGAACCTGCCGAGTGTGCACACTGCGTTCACCTTCAGTTTTTTTAGCAGATTCACTGTTAGAAAGAATTTTGTTTCGCCGTTGTACTCTACATCAAGAATCGTGTGCACACGGTCAAACACGAATGTCTCATCCTTGGTGCCATCCAGTTCAAGAAATGAGTCACTCAGTGTGTCCGCATCCTCACGCACTGTGCCCTGTATGCTCGCATGATCTACACGCGCACTCCGCTCATCAAAATACCTGTTCAACTCGTTCTTTAAGACCGTAAGGTTGCTCTCTATCAGTTCATCAATCTTTCTCCGCGCATTTCTTCCCTTTTTCATCTTTTTCATGAGCAGTGCACACTGCTCATCATCGATAACACGCACGTTGCCAATCACTGGTGCTTCAGGTGATATTTTGATGTCCTCGATCACCAAATCGCTAAGTATCCGCTTAGTGCGCATGGATGCCATTCTTCTCATGAGACCCCTGCACATCCGGTCTTTGTGAGCGTATGACACGCTCAGCTCAACCCACAGCCGTTGCATGAGCAGGTTGAACCATGCCACATCTGTGCACACATGTTGAGAAGCCTCAATTATACTTGATTGGTTTGAGGAGATGCTCCTCTTACCAATTGGCCTGTTTATTGTTATTCGTTTTCTATTTTTTGAGAAAGTTCTGAGTATGCGCTCGATTATGAATGGAGAGGCAGTCAGGCCCAAAATGTAAGACAGAAGGAGCAGCAGGAACATTAAAGGGTGGGTAAACGGAGTTTAATTGTGGGGATGAAATTAAAAAATAAATGGAAATAATTGAGGAGTGTTGATGCAAGTGAAGGATACAGGAGCTGTGCACGTGCGAGGAGGTAATCAACAGCAGCAATGCACCTGAACGTAGAAGAACGGTATTCTAATCTGCGAACGGTGAAGTGCCATTAGGTACAATGCATCACACGGAGGACAGAGCAACCGAATGAATGGGAGTAACCGTGTTTGCAATGAAATATCAAAGCATGGAACGTATCAGATAATCAACAGCAAAACACTCCTGAGGTGTCTTCGAATCATATTGATGTATGTGATGGTATTGTCTACCAGAGCAGGTAGTAAAACGTGTCGGCTCAAACTATGCAAATTGACCGAATTACTGGGACGGCAAAGATAATTTGTTGATTCAATTATTTTTTGGTAATGTATTCTGCTCAGCGTATTTTTTGTTGCCAGATAGGCTGTCAAAATGAACTGCTGTGTAGAAGGTAAGCACGAGAAACGATCAGTGATAATAACAAGAAATGTTTATAACATGGCAAATAAATTCATTTTACTTGGCAATCTGTTACAACAGCACATTGCAGCACCTCATCAAACTGTTTGGGTTGCTGTCACAACCAATGATACACAGGGGAAGAAAGGATAACGAGGGTTTCATTATGAACCGCCTACGAATTAATCTTTCTCATTCTTTGAACTCATCTCTGCTAGCGCACCTCTTTGGACCTTTCCACAAACATAGCTGCTGAGATAGGTTCAATCCTGAGTTGTTGTGAACGAGAAGGTTGATCACCACACTCAACTGCTGAGTCGTTTAATTTTAACATCAAAGCTGCTTGGCGTGCTGCTCATCGTCATCTGAATGGTTGACTCGGGTAGCAGCGCAGTGCTACTCTAAGATAAGCAACAGGATCACTGCATGGCTCTGAAAAGCTAACATTACAACATAACATGTACATCTCTACGTGCTAGCAGGGCACTTACAGCAAATAAAATTTGCAGCACGATGAGAATATGCCATGCTTATCTTGCACACAGCATTGCTGCTTACAAAGTTTTACTTTTACTCATTGAGATGGTAACGAAGAAAAATGGTAAAAATCCTTCCCTAGCAAACCCTTGCTCGTCAGAAAGCTTGCATCAAAAGCATAACACGTGCAGAACAGCCCCGCTTGTCACCAAACACCGTTTTAATCCAACCTCATTTAAAAATGATGTAATAAATTATAAAAATTATCACAACAATCAACACGTACACGAAGTACTGCCTTAATCTATTCTCCATAAACATTCTTCTGCTTTCACTCTGGAACTTGCTGACCTTGGTGCTCAGCTCATCTGCTAACACGTTCAACTTGTCGAGCTCCTCTCCCCTGTTAACTAACGTGTTCAGAGACTTGGCGCACACATCGCGTGCCTTCAACACCTCCTTCTGTATCTCATCGTTGCTTCGCTCGGAATTGAAAGTGTTCATAAGCTCAGCCACTCTCTTTTCAAAGCCGGTCTCTCTCCCGTTTTCTTCCAGGTCCTTGGTGAGCATGTTGTAAAATGCTGTTATGTCCTTTGGTGCCGTAACATCATCTACGATAGAGGCGTATACGTAGAGCGTTGACAGCTGCAAGAAAAACACGTACTGGTTATTCGAGGAATCGTACTTGAAAAGCTGTTTATCTTCTGGCATGGCAGTTATTATTTTGCGCAGCTCGTTGTAAACACTGTCGTTTTCTATCGCTTTCTTTCCAAGTCGCGAATAAATGTTTGTTAGGATGCTGCGGTTTTTCTTGTCGCACAGCTGTAGGTAAAGAATGGCCATAGGGGTGCGTGATGAGCGAAATTAAAAGGAGATGTAATTAAGGATAGGTGGGTTTCGAGCAGCTGCAAGCATTTCGTGGGCAAAGGGTGCAAAAATGGATTATCGTATTTTTGGAATGTTGCTGTATGAACGGGAGCGGTGTTTTTGACACAGTCTAAAAAGGGTAAATCGCATTTGTGGAATCGAAAAGGAGAAAACGCACAAGAAACGAGATAACGGGTGGAGTGATGATAATATGAGCAAATAATACCAAATTAAACAATAACACTTATTATAATGTTACTGAACACGTATTCATTGCTAAACATACCTCAATGGTAGAGAGCATTCCACAGATTAACAAATACAGAAAAAGACAAAAAGAGACATTAAATGATGTTCTAAGGATTGGTAAGAAAAACGTGATTACGGCATCGTTGTAAACGAAAAAAGGTGTGCATCATCGAGTTGGACGGTACGTATCGCATCGATACACAACAACACAGTGAAATGTAGGTTTTCTCGTTATGTTTACACACTCATGTGGCCTGAACCACAAATAGTACATGCAACCATTTATACCATTCATTAAATGGCATCTATAAACTGCACGCTATACTAAACTCCTCAATTCTTACGACATAAACGGCTAAAATATTGTAAGAAAACCTGAACGCTAAGTTTAATCGAGCTGCAGTAGCACGTTCCATGTTATTAAGTAAACCTAATATTCACTTCATCAACGTAACGATCCGTTTGTTTGGTGGTAATTTAATGGCACATAGGTGTAGAATTAATTGTAAAGTATTGCCATCATGAGATGCATCCTTGTGTTCAACCTAACGTGAAGAGAATTATTCTATTTTTAGCGATCAGCCACTCTTTTTCATCAAAAATGTGCTTGCCTATCTCTTCACGCTCCTAAATTACTGATGAGCACATTTATCTCACACAAACCGGTCCATCTAACTTGCCAGACAAACCCTACTAGTGCGCTAGCACTGAATATAGCATTATTGTCCCTTCATTCGCTGGACTTATTGCACGTTATGTCTTGGTAAACCGGTTTTTCGTGAAGTGCCTGCAATCATCAAACATGCAACTATTGCACATTTTAGAAAACCGCAGGTTTTCCCAAGAAGTGCATCTTCAGCGGTTGGTTCAATCACATCATCTCAGGTCTTCTAAGGTATGCTAAACCTGTTTCTACACCTTTCATCACATTACCGTTCCTGATCACCAATCCAGAATTAGATCTCCTCTTCTGCTATGCTTACGATAGTACAGCACAATCGTGCAGCTTCATCTATCTCTTACTTGTAATCGATCACCGATGGAATGTATCAATCAATTAATCATGACTGGTTTAAAATGAAGGCCTGGCAGTGCAAGATTTACAAAGTTTTTCAAAAATATGTAATTTTTGGTGTTGGACGTTCTGCTCAACGCGTACAATCAATTATTCGGTCCTTGGTTCATAGAATCATATGAATATTTTATGAGGCTGACTCTTCCTTTGTATGTGTTTGAATCCTGAACCGGAGAACAAAGCATGGCACTCTGCCCATGTAGTCATTCAAGATCAACCACGTAATAATTACGGAAACGGTCACCTGATTACCTGAACGGTATTCGCTCAAACGCGTGTTTACGCTGTTCATCCGAATATGACACCGGCTCAATGGCGATATGTAAATGGATATGTGAGGTAATTTTTGATAAATTTGCTTGTGGCCGGGCTGTGCCACACACCACGTTCCTTCTCAGGCATACTTACAGCACAAGAATAGTTGTTGGTTCAACAAGTAGCAAACACTGCGTGATGTGAAAGATAGAAAGGCATGATGTGAAAAAGCAAAGGAAGCGTAGTGCACGAACCATACACGCTGTGCAGTTCTCCACAACTAGTACTATAAACGCAGAATGTACGGAATGCAAGGCTGTTCCAATGAGCGCGCTGTAAAGTCTAAAATATAACAAAAATGCGTACAAATAAAAGTACGGCACAGCTTCAGCCATGTGCTGCTTAGCTGATGAACATTTATGGACCCATTCATATTCAGGAAACGTATAAAAAACGCACCTTTAACACCGAAATTAAAAAGGCACCCTTCAAATGTCCGATACCACCGAGAAATCCTTCGATTGTCGCTTTTTCGAAAAGAAATATCCTGATGTAGGCGAGCTAGTAATAGGCAAGAACACGCGCATAACAGATCTTGGCGTGTACGTAAAGCTCTTGGAGTACAACAACATAGAAGGATTGATAGTGGTGGGCGAGTTATCCAAAAAAAGAATAAAAAATGTACAAAAAATGATTAAACTGGGAAAGATAGAAGTGTGCAGTGTGCTACGCGTGGACCATGAAAAAGGCTACATCGATCTGTCGAGAAAGAAAGTATTGGCAAGCGATTTCGATGAGTGCTACAAGCGGTATTGTCAGAATAAGATCGGGCATAACATAATGGTAAGTGCCGCTAAGAAGATGGACATTGGTGTTATGGAGCTGTACGAGTCTTTTGGATGGGAGAAGGCAAGAGAATATGGCAGCTTGTACGGTTATTTTGGACTGTTGATGAGTGCCCTGAGCCGGAAGAGCGATGAGAAGAAAGAAGCCGTGGCGGGCGTGAGCGCACAGGATGTGAGCAGTGCTGCCGATAAGGTAGGCGAAGCGAGCAAGAATAGCATGACCAGGAATCCGGTCACGTACGAGGACCTTGTGAAGAACATCAATCCATCAATGATCGATGTTTTGGTGGAGCAGACCAAGTTGAAGTACAACGTTCAAAAGGTGAAGATACGCGCAGATATCGACGTAACGTGCCCGGCAAAAGGTGGAATAGAGGCAATAAAGGACGCGCTGCGCAGCGTAAAATCAGTGCACGACAGGATCGAAGTGTCACTGATACGCCCGCCAACCTACGCCATAACGCTGCTCTTACACGATAGGGAAGAGGGCGTACGGCTCGTCAAGGATGGGTGTGAGCGAATTAAAAACAGGATTGAAGAACTCGATGGCACGTACGCGGTAGTCAACAAGGTCAAAGTGTACGGTTTTAAGGAAAAGAAAGACCTTAATCGCAGGTTTGGAGAGGCAATAGATGTGGAGAGCGACGAGGAGTGATCAATAAACGGTGTTCTAATGAACGAAGCGTTCATGTATAGCCTGTGGTGCCTTACAGCACGAAAAAGGCACAAATAATTTGGTGAAGATGCCTGAACTGCCTCTTTGCATGCGAATTGCTGTTTATTTACCGGTTGCGACCTTAGGAGCACACTTTTCAGATCCTGTCTGTGCTCTTCATTTCGTGCAAGCACAGTACCAAATACCACCTCTCAGTTCATCCCCACTCCTCAATTTTCACCAAGTTCTTCTCCACAACGTTCAGCTGCACCTCGCCAATCCTCCACACCTTCACATCACCCAACACAACAACATCACCCTCACACATCCTCATCTCATTCAGCACATCGTTCTCAATTACAGCACCTATCGTGCCCGTGTCATCCATAAATTTGATGTTGCTTACCTCAGCGTTAAAATACTCAATTTTAGCTACGAGCACTGCCAGACGGTGCACGGCGTAGCAATCGCTTTCTTTTATTTTTTGGATAGTGGTCGTGTTTTCGTGTGTTATGTCTTTCAAGCGCTGCATATTCACCCGTATTGATGGATCATCCTGGGTGCGTATGTTTGGGTGACTGTGCACTGAACTTATGTTAGGTGATGATGTGCGTGTTTCTACGGGTGGGTCCATCTCTGCGCGTTCTCCACGTGTACTAACCGGCAGATACATCTCTACGTGCCCATCCTCTCCACCCCCATCAGCAATCACTCCACCTAAATCGCGTTCACTTCTCTTTTCCTCACCATGCTCTTCTCCTTCTTTCTTCTGATTGAGCTCTTCGCTGTTTAACTCAGTAGCACTCAAATCATCCGTATCAATACTCCCCTCCTCACTCTCTTTACCACTCTCTTTACCACTCTCTTTACCACTCTCTTTACCACTCTCTTTACCACTCTCTTTACCACTCTCTTTACCACTCTCTTTACCATTCTCTTTACCACTCCCCTCCTCATTCTCTTTATCACACACTCCCTCTTCCGCACCTATGCTTCCTTCATTCACACCACTCCCAATGCTTTCACTTTCCATACCTCCGCTCTCTTCGTCCAACTCATCCATCACGTTCTCATCACTTATCATTGCTTCCAATTCATCAATTACCTCCCCTAAAGAACTCTCCTCACTGATTTGCTTATCCAATTCGATACTTTCCTTCTTTATCGCATTTTCTGCTGTAATTACATTCGTATTTTTCTCTGCTCTTTTCTCCTCCTCATCCCTTGCACCCGTCACTAATCCTTCACCTTTCACCATCAATAATCCTTCACCTGCGCTATTCTCCTCATTTTCATTCTTTCCCCGCTTTTGTCTCAAAAGTGCAATCAATTCGTTAATTTCGGTCATTGCGCATCAAAACGTGGAGGGTCCTTTAAAGACCGGTTTAAACAGCCAAGCAACAGCGTACACGTTTTACGCACGCATTCCTGATGAGCGGTGCACATCGTTCTATCCACAGCACACCACGTACAACACCGTTAAAATACCTGCGCGGTATGCCTGTGAACACAGGAATGTAGTCGGTCGTGTCTGCACCGCATGCACGTGGACGAACGTATTGGTAAACATTTCAGCGATTCTATCCATGCGATCGCTCATTGCTATGCGCAGCGGTGCAATCCACCCGTTCAATTCGTGCGGCCATCGTCCCGCATATTCCCACTATTTGTAGTTCTTGGTCCGCCATCCCTATGAACAAAAAATTTGAGGAAGGATACAGGGAAGCGTTTGAAGATGTAAAGAACGATTTGCTCTTTGTACGGGGCTTTGTCCTGAGACACACGGATTTGGTGCTTGAGGATGTGCTTGGCATGGATGATGAACAGATTGTGAAGATGTACAGGAGATTGAAGAGCGTAGGGAAGGGAAATCTGGACTGGTAATGGGCGGCCATTCGGTGATCGGCAAGAATGGGTGTTAGTGATTAGCAATGATCAGAACATGAAAAGGAGGTGCAACACGATACCATAACCGTATGGTACATTGTACTGCGGGTGAGAATGAAGTAAAACGAAATGTGGCGTGCAACCGGATCAATTCTGCCATTTTAACACGTGCTCTTAAAACAATTTAACTACAACCACTTGTAATCGCGCTCTTCACTACGTTGTAATCTTCAAGATAAGCAGCACTCTTCTTGACAAATACGCAGCAACTCGGCGTATTGACATTGCTAGCCTTTTTCAGCACCTCTCCATCAACATAGCAGTACTTCACTCCGTTATTCTCGCACAGCATCGGTAAATGTGTTATCAAATCGCTTGGTGAAATGTTGAACGGCAGTATTAAAATGCCTTTTTTTCTGTTTTTTATTGCCTTCTGGCACGCTTTTCTACCGCGTACTACCTTTCTGGACGCCTTGAGATGGTCTATTATTCGAACGATGTGTGCCGTGGCTTCATGTGGTAGAACGGGAGCGGCAAATTTTATCATAGAGGGGTCACCGATTAGAGGATTAAAACGGGAACAGAACAGCGATAGGGAATAAATAAGGGAATTTGTTCATAAAAGGACAGCTTTTAATTTAGAACGGTGCAAGAGTTCCTCAGCACGTGACAGAAAGAATGTGCCCGTATCTGTGGAGGGCGGTGAACGGTTGATGCAGTGAAGGAAGATAAACGGATCAACGTATGAAAGACGATCATTCGTAGGTAAAACAGCAATTTATAGACTGTGCGGCTGTGTGCCTACCTGCTTCTACATCTATACCACTTCACGTTACACCGCTTACGTTGCTGTTCCTTACTGTTGAATGGCTTTGCACTGTTCTGGTTGTACTACACTTTCTTTTCCAGCATCTTCGCTACGTTGCTGTCCCTTACTGTTGTCACCACGTACTCATCAGCAATTACCTGCCACGCTCTCACCAGCAATTCGTTCTAGTACATTCCATACTGCCGTCTTGACCCGAACAAAACTGCATTCTCATCGGCACCGTGCTCTTAAAATATTTTAAACCGTACACCCACAATGAAAGTGCTGCCACTAGGTGCCGGTCAAGAGGTGGGCCGCTCATGTATCATAGTAAAAATAAAAGAAAAGACCATAATGTTCGACTGTGGCACTCACCTCGGCCTAACAGGCGCATCCAAGTACCCTGCATTCTCCCTAATCAGCAAATCACCAACCATCCACACATCGGACTTTAGCTCATTCGATCTAAGCTCCATCGATCTTGTCATACTCACACATTTTCACTTGGACCACTGCGGTGCACTTCCCCTCCTGTACCGCAACAAGTACCATGGCAAGGTGGTAATGAGCACACCAACCAGGTGCGTGTTGCCGTTTGTTTTGGAGGACTACTGTAAGCTGAACGTAACAAATTATGGGATGGAGGATGTTAACGTGTTGATGAGGAATGTGGTTGTGATGGATGTGGGGATGGTTGGGTGGGTGGATGGAATTGGGATTAGGGTGTTCAGTGCTGGACACGTTTTGGGTGCTGCTATGTTTTATGTGTGGGTGGGAGGAGAGAGCGTGCTGTATACGGGTGATTACACAACGGGTGGCGATGTGCATTTGGACGGGTGCTGTGTTGATACGGAGGACTTTTTGGTGTTTGGGGAGGATTTGAGAAGGAATGGGGAAGATGTGGTGGAGACGGGTGTAAATGATGTGAGAAGGAATGGGGAAGATGTGGTGGAGACGGGTGTAAATGATGTGAGAAGGAATGGGGAAGATGTGGTGGAGACGGGTGTAAATGATGTGAGAAGGAATGGGGAAGATGTGGTGGAGACGGGTGTAAATGATGTGAGAAGGAATGGGGAAGATGTGGTGGAGAAGGGTGTAAATGATGTGAGAAGGAATGGGGAAGATGTGGTGGAGAAGGGTGTAAATGATGGAAAGAATCTTAAGGGCGGGAATACCGGTACTATCAGGAAAGATGTGAATGACACATGTGGATCAGATTTGGACGAAAATGCCCTTGGCATGGGACAAGCAACGGGAGATTTCGCTTTTGATGTAAGAACAGCTAAAAAAATGAAAAAGCAGGAAGCAATGGTGCTCAGACGGCTGAAGCGACCGGATGTTATGATCACAGAGTGCACGTACGGCTCGGTAGACAGAGAATGCAGGAAAACGAAAATACGTGAATTGATCACAACGGTGGTGCAATGCATTGAGCGTAACGGCAAGGTGCTTATTCCGGTATTTGCGATAGGACGTGCACAGGAAATGTACACGATGCTCTCTGCATTCTTCAAGAATGCAAATTTGAACGTTCCATTTTTCTATTGCAGTACGATTCTTGAGCGAGGACTCAAAATATACAAGAGATTCGATGACTATACCAAGAAATCGTTTCATTTTGACTTTGACGGCATTCGAATGTTCAAGAACGAGTATTTGGTATCGGACAAGCCGTTCATCGTGTTCTCATCACCTGGTATGCTGCACACGGGCAACTCCCTGAAAATATTCAAGGCGCTGTGCGAGGACGCAAGGAACCTGGTGATTATACCGGGTTACTGCATGAAGAACACGCTTGCCGAGAAGTTGTTGAACGGCATACGCACAATAACACTGGACAGAGAGTACACCATAAGAATACAGGTAAGAAATATTGGGTTTAGTGCACATGCAGATTCTTCAGGTATTCTCCGTTTTATAGCTAAGGTGAGACCGCGCAACGTTGTGCTTGTGCATGGCGACAAGAACAGGATGGTGAAGTTCAAGCGGATCATTGAGAAGATGTGCGTGGATGAGGATGGATTTGACTTCAGATGCCATGTCTTCATGCCGAGGAATAAGTGTCTGGTTGACCTGCCCGGTAAGAACGAAATCATCCTGAAAAGCAGGAACGAGATAAAAGATGATGAGATTGCAGTTGATGTTGAGCAGGACGGTACTACCTTTGTAGCGAAGAAGATAAAGAAGTACGTTGTGAGAAAATGAATGTCACTGTTGTGCTACTGATGCTTCCCAGATGCACTCAAATGTTCCAACACAAATTCGTAAACACGTGTACCAGGCTAAAAAACATTTGGAACGGTATGTAACATTACACAGGCACCACTCTCATTAAATAGCTTGCTTTCATCAAATTTTGATCTGCACAACTCCCTAAATAAACGAAAAAAGATCGGTGACACGAGCAAACTGAGAACATCGTAATTTACAGGTTGATTGATTCCCAGTTGGTGCTATGATCGTGCGAATGAAATGTTTGATTTATTAAGACCGTGGTACATCCTGCACCTCGCCATTCTTGAGTAAGTTCGAGGATGTGCTGCTCTAACAGCAAGTGCAACGGTTCGTTTCGTTTTTAACAACACTTCTATTTAACTTCGCTTCGCACACATTTTTTTCCTCTGTGTTCCCTAGGGACCACGGCCATATCATCTCATTTCATACGACCATGTGCTAAGACTGTAGAACAAGCTGTGCGCTCTCCCGGGAGAATGCCGGTACGGTATTTACCATAAATTCTTTGGCAGGTCCGTTCCAAATGGATATAGGACTTAGCATCTATGATTTACATTGCTCTTAACATCTGCCATTATACGAGCCAGCGCTCTCAATCTTGAGATACCAACTTCGTCCTGCCTACACATCGAGAGGCCGTACAATTTTCATCGAATTTGCCTCAACCAAACACCATGTACATAACGTTCACTGGACCAATGCGGATTGTGTTAATCTGTCACAGCCATTCGTTTTTGCGCATTGTGGTTTATTTCTATTCTCCACCAGGCATGTATTGATCAAAGTTCTCTTACAGGCATTAAACTCGAGACAGAGCATGTCATTCTGCATGCTCAATCATTTATAATTACCGTCGAGTACTTTCTGTTGCTTAAGTGTATTACATAATCTGCTGTGACATCTCTACGAGAGAGGACTCAAACGCGTTGATAATCCACTTATTGATATTAGCATTACATTTTACCTTTTTATAAACGTACCTTCATCATGAAAGGCCCAAATATTCGTGGTATGTGTTTGGTTTTCCTTTTCCTGCACCCCTTTATCCGTGGTTTCTTTTTCACACCCTAATGATTGGTATAAAACTCAAATGGCTTATTCTGTGCTTTTGTATTCTTTTCTTCATTATCATCCTGCCTTTGGTCCTTCTTACACTCTACTTCAAGTCAAAACACATAGATAATGCATTTGTAGATGCGATCAAAAAAGCCCCGGCCACTGAACCAGTGTTAAATCACATTCTTGTCAAGGACTCGAAGTTGTACATCCTAGAGACGGTAGAAGCAGGTAAAATGGATGAAATAGATTTAGGCGATGTTTCAGAGGATTGCATACTGGATTATGATCATTTAAAGCTTGAGAAAGCGCGTGAAAGCTTCTTGACCAGCATTCTTGGCGAGTTTGGATTGAAAATTTTCTACAGAAAAAGCTTGGTGATCAAATTCATACGGCTGGTGAATTACATGCGCTTTGCCAAGTTTGAGAAGAATGGTGCCGTGTTGATATCAGTGAAAGATAATAAGCTGGAAGTGACAGCAAAAGCGGATGATAAGAGCGAAAAACACGAAATACAGTTCAGAAAATCGGATGAGCCACTGTTAATATGTAAGTATATTACGAGTGTTTTTAAATAAAAATCTTGTTTAATACCTGCTGAGTACAAGGCTTACGTTTTCGTGTGCTAAAACGATTAGTGGTAGTGTTCCATGTATGATCTGTGTTTTATTATGTCAACTACTCCACGAATGAGAACTCCCTTACCAGGTAGGTAATTGCGCCATACCGCAATTATTACCATACTATGATAATCGATATTTGATCGATAGATGCCGTAATTCGTGGTGTGTAGCAGCTCAAAATCGGTGCTAATTGATGATTTTGATCTATTACAACGGTGATTCACACGGGTGATGGCAATATACCTTAGTACGAGCAAGGTTTTTGAACCTCTTGTGACGGGAAAAATAAAAAATAACGACCAGGTACAGGTGTAGTGCATTGTTTGACATTTATTAGTAAATACGGATGAAAAACCTTGAACAATATCGCGGTGCCTGCAATCCTTTGCTCTCGGTTGTGGGCATCGTACGAAAATATTTGCGAATTTTTTACCCTCAAGCGATGACGACCCTATGGACCGAAAAGTACCGCCCAAAATTTCCAATTGCCCAAGGCCATCCCCATCTTCTTCTTCACGGTCCGCCATCAACCGGAAAGACAACCTATGCACACCAGATTGCCCAGCCACCTGTTCTTGAACTGAATGCAAGCAATGATCGCGGCATACAGGCCATCCGATCGCTAAAAAACGTAAATAACCACACGATTATTCTTGATGAGTGTGATCAGCTGACTGTTGATGCACAGCAGTGTTTAAGACGCATAATAGAGACCAGCAGCAACAAATTCATTTTTATCGCGAATTATCTCTGTAAGATAATTCTGCCTCTGAAGAGCCGTCTTTATAAAATCAAGTTTGAGAACAGGGGCATGCTGGTAAGGTTGAAGGATATTGCACAGTTAGAAAAACTGGATGTAAATGTTGAACGAATTTACAAGGGGTGTGGCATGGATGTGCGCAAGTCGCTGAATATCATGCAAGCCCTAGCTGCGATTTTAAAAAACAACTCGGATGCCGCAGATGAATTAGATAAGGACTCGTTAATTGATGATTTTCTTGGTGTGATACCTGCTAAAACTATCAGTGATTTTGAACTGCTAACTTTTGGTGGTTTGAAAGGATTTGTTACCGATTTTATGAACTGTTCTTATTCGCTAGTTCAGTTTATCATTCAAATAGTTGATCGAGATCTCCCCATAGAGTTTTACAAGGTGATTGGTGAAGTGGAAGAGATGTGTATTAGGGGCGGTGATACTGAACTACTCCTTTATTTTCTTTGTTCTTCCTACATAAAAACTAGACACTGTTCGCAACATTTGTGCTAAATTGTTACTTAACATGATTGTTTGTTATACCCAGTTATCAATGCTGTGCTCGTCTTCTTGATCTTAACGCGTTTAAACACAGCCTTTATCTCAGTAAATTTCATTCTTCTGTTATTTTATTCATTTCTACCCAATGCCGTGAGCACCTGAAACGTAAGAATTATATTATCACAGCAACACAGATCATGTTGATAAAAATGACGCAAATACTTTTAGTTGGATAAATGGACGTGACACCAATGCAGGTATATGAGTACATACGTACGCGCAACAAAACGTGAACGCTAACTGAAATGCATTTTGTTTCCCCATTCCTTTAAAGTATTCATCATAAGAATTCCCAATAAATTTATTCGATTATTATGTCTATGAGATAATGCCACAGCTTTGATCTTAAGTGTGTTTGATGCGTTATTTAACGTGAAAGAGCGAAATTACTGCGGGCCCTTGCGTGTTTTATTCAGAACAATTTTCATTTACTAAAATTAGTTCTTGAGGTGTTGCCGTGATACAACTTTAATGTGCGTAAAATGGGGCTGAGTTGAGGTGGTATGTAAATTTAGTATTTATTTTACTTACATTGTTACGTGAGGAGGATTCTTCATTTGATGCTGACATGGGAGCAACGATTTTGATTTTTACGATCTGTTAGAAATACGGGTGGATTGGCCTTTTACCATCCTTTGTTCCATAATTGCCAATGTTACCTCCCCGATAATAAAAATACCAAGCTGATTGCAATTAGGAATTGTAAATCTATCAAATTGCAACGTAGCAAGGACATCTAACTGGGTAGCAAATAAATTTGACGTTTGTTTGTAGAAAAAATATTGAACTCATAGCTGAATAGATGCACTAATGGAGCTTTAGCACCAAAATGAGAAAGGAATCGTGGAAACATCCAATAAATGCATATTGTGAGATTAGTAACACAAAAAACGGCTCTCCAAAAATGTATTAGGATGTCTTAGAAGATCTTTTGGAAAACAGCACGGAACTGATAGCTTAGCAGTTCGTGTGGGTTTCCATACCAGAAACAAATTAAATGTTAATATTTAGTTGAATGGAAAATAGCAAATCTATCCGTTGATCTACAAACCTTAAACATTCTAAAATGTGCTCGTAGCGCAGTTAAACGGTAATAGGGAGTATCACCACCATCTATTAATTTATTTTTCCTTCTCGATATGTTTAGATCATCGTATACATTAAATCACGTGTTTATCCAAGTCTACCTTCAAAACTTCATTTGTCCCAGAAATTTTGTCATTTTTGCCAGTTGATGTTTCTATCACCTTCTCAACCACATTATTACCATCAGCATGCACTTTCAAAACATTCTTTTCTTCATTATCTGTACCATCCAATGTTTCTATCACCTTCTCAACCACATTATTACCATCAGCATGCACTTTCAAAACATTCTTTTCTTCATTATCTGTACCATCCAATATCTCCATCATTCCAACTCTCTTTCTATTCATACAATTTTTCTTCCCGCACCCACTTCCCTCCTGACTCTTTCCAGCCCACATCTTTACAACAATGTTATTACCCGTTATGCTCTTCACGGTATAGTCTACTAACCTGAACCTCCGTGTAAGCACCTTACATACGCACTTTTCATCGTTTGTTGACGTACTTAACTCGTTTTGTGGTTGTGTCATGGAATAACAAGCGTGTTGGTTTAAATATTCTTTCTGTTTTATATTTGAGTTGATTTGATAGCTCATACTCTGCTATTCTGTTGATTAGATAATGTTTCAGCCAAGTGTTTCGTGATTTGTTCTGTATTGCACCAAGAGATTCAAAAAAAGTATCTTTAAGTTCAAGTACTAGCCGTGGAATACGGCATTAGTCTTCACCAACACTTCTTGAATACAGTACATCCATTTGTACGTACAAGTGCCGTAATATTTTTTGTTAAAGTTTGTTTGTTTATCGTCTCATCATCAACACTGCACCAAATAATAAATTTACTACCACTCCGGCCGCGCTACTGCGCACGCACCCCAAGATGAAATAAAAATGCAAGGTAAAGGATTGCGAACATTTGCAGCAAATGGTCCATCCATCCGTTACTGACTATTCTTAGCGTTTTTATTTCTGAGCTAGATATTCTTTCAGTAAAGGTCATTTGCACTTTCATGCAACAGCAGATATAAACCGGTAGATTGGTTCATATTGGATAACATTTCCGGTTCAGGCAAATGTAACGTATCACAGGCTACCAAAACAGCGTTTTGTACTCAATATCATTCTATATTGTTAATTTAAAACGGTTGTGGTTTTACGTATCATTTGTATTTTAGGCAAGAGAGCATTTACCTATACCGTTTCCACCACTCAGAACATCGCTTAAACCATCAAACAAATCATCGCTGCGTTTTGTACCAACATTCTTAGCAATTCTGTTCATTACACCGGCAAGGCAATAAAAAAGTACTTTTTGAACACGTAGCGCTGTCACTTCAAAAAGTTTAAATTTTTAGAATTACATCGTCTTAAAAACCTGTTTGTTCCGATTTTGCAGTATAAAAAGATGAACAACGTATTTTAGCAGAAGAAATGAATACAAACAAAGAAGTGCTGGGTGTGCGGATGAGGTGATAAAAAACGTACTTTTAATGGAAAAGAATTGCAAATATAATTATCTCGTGGCGTACACAGCAAAAAAGTATAAATTATGGCACGATTAGTGCTAAAACATGTTTTAAATACATCAATAATGTACAATCGTGGTATAAATGAGCTATGATGATTATTTGTACATACCTACATTGAATATTTATCGTTTTACTCCTTAGAAACATAGACATGCACATTCTTTACAGCCATGTTGCCCATTTGCGCGCGTGAGCAGCATCTACCGAGTATGAGTGTGCTGCTCAAGCACACAAACGATAATTTGTTGTACTATGTAAGAAGAATAAGCACGTAACACAATATCAGTTTTGTATGCAGGAACAGCTACCGAGCACTTCATCAAATTCTTTTGAATGCCTTATAGAGCTCATTCAACCCGGTTACCACACTAAAGCAGCTCAAAACATCATCGTCCTCGTTTACAGCTCGCTTGATAACCCCGAAAAACATTTCATAGTCTCGCACCGCACACACAAAGCAATCAGCGATTGAGTATTTGTCCGCATCGCTCTTTTCTAAATGTGCGATGTCCATGACAATGTTATTTATTACAGGCACTCTCACGCCATCACTCACGTTCTCCACTCCGTATTCCTTCAGACTATCAGATGCCACAAACGTATTATTCTTGACCACTACTGTCTTAAATCTTCCTTTTTGCCTGGCCATGTGTTGTAAAAAATAGATCCTGAGCAGCTTTTTGTAATCGCATTGCATCAAAAAGGCGTTTAGCTGAACGAATATCTTTTCATTATCCAACTTTCCCACATACTTCATGTCTTTGATGAATCGATTCGCCGTGTTCTTCCTGTAATTCTCGGTTTTCACATCATTCAGAACGTTTGATCCCAAATTATCACGATGATGCCCATTCATCATTTCCTCGCTGCCAGATTTACCCACACTTTCGTCTTTGCTTGCAGCTTTAAAGCTCAACTGTTCATCATCAGCATTCTTTTGCCAAGTCTCTTCAACCTGTACCGCTAATATATCCTTATTTTTCATCATCTTGCCATTTCCTATTTGCTCATGTTTGCTACTCCTGAATTCAAAGCTCGCCAAATTCTCGACCTTCAAACCTTCATAAACTTTTATTTCATTTTTAGCACTGCTCACCTTACACACACCCACCGATCCGTGTACTAAACCCTCTTCAACCATCCTACACACCTGTTCAAACACTTCATCCTCGCCAACAAAGAGCACGCGCTGTTTCATCGCGTCAACGTTAACATCACAGTTCTCCACCCTCATCTCGACGTAGATCAGCGGAAAACTTCGATTGGGGAGGAACGGCTTGTAAAGGCTGTATAGCTTTGATTTTAGGCTCTGACTCTTCACAAGACGGTTATTTATAGAAAGCATGAGGATGAGATCCTTTTGGTGATGCACTGGTGACGAGTGAATTACCAAAATGTTGCTATCCGTTTTGCACGACAGGTTGTTCTCTGTGTTGAAGTATTTGTTAAGGATTGTCGTTTTCAGATTTATCCGTTCGTTATCAAATGCGCTGTCACACCCAGACGCATTACATGATTGGACATGCATCAGCGTAGGTCCTTCGTTTGGCAGTCGGATGCTCTCGTCTGTATGGGAAGATGGACGCCCTAGCAATTCATTTCGAGCATCTCCTCTCAATGCACCAGGAAATACCAAATCTTTGCCATTCACGTTAAAGTAAAGCTTTTTTGTTTCGTTTATGACCTGGTATCCTACAACAAGTCTAAAAATATCGACAACTTCGCTCTTCCTGTTCCTGAAGAAACGTTTTCTCATTGCGTTGCTACCAAACAGATCGTTCACGGTTACCACTGTGCCATCGTTCATTCCCTCTCTCTTCTTGGAAATTAAGACACCACGCTCATACACAAGCACGTGTCCATACGCACCAATCTTCGTTTTTGTGTGCACCACCACCGTGCTCACATCCGATATAGAGGCTAAAGCCTCGCCCCTAAAACCATAGGTGCACACATCCTCAAGAATATCAAATCGGTCCTTGCGCTCATCTCTAAGCTTTGATGTACAGTACCGTGCACACAGCAGCTCAAAGTCTTCCTCAGCTATACCTGATCCGTTATCCACAACCACAATGTTCTCGCCGTAAGTAACTCGTATTATGGTTGCACCTGCATCTATGCTGTTCTCCAACAATTCCTTGACTACCGACAATGGACGTGTGACCACCTCGCCTGCTGATATCCTGTTTATGATGGACGGTGGGAGTTTTCTTATTGTCATGGGGTTGTGGTTTAATTCCGTATTAGAAATGGGGAATGTGGCAATACGGCATGTCCTTCTTCCTGTAGTGGGCGAGGCTTTTATAATCCAAGGAATGCCAACACAAAACAATGCTCTGTACAGTGTATTTCAATGGCTGCTCCGTTCTCTGCGCGCACGAAACTGTCTGTTCCAAATTTGGTGTGAAGATCGGGCCTATAAAAAAAATGTTTCTGAAACCCACCATGTCACATTTCTTTAAGGAGGACAGCACAGAAGAGAAGAAGGTTTTCACCAAGAAACTGCCCAAAAAACAGAAAAATAAGGATGAGTTTGATATAAGGCACCTTCCAACAAACGAGAAGCAAAAATTTAATTTCATTTCCACGTATTTAAAGCAAAATAAACAGATTGATGATGATTTAATCGACGAACTGCTAGGAATAGAGAGGCTACCGCGCACTCTCAAAAACAAGCTGATGAAAATGAAGGTGGACGTAGAAGAAGAGGAGAAGGAGAATTGGGTGGTTGAAAAAAAGGTTGATGATACGGTAGATTTTGACCAAATGATCGGCAATTTGATGGAGAAGGACTTAGCTGAGGGAATAAAAGGATTGCAGGAGGCTGAAGTATCGCTGGGAATAGATGGCTTTAGATTTGTGGATGAAAACAAGGAAAATGATAGGCTGCTGGTGAATAAAGAAAAAATATTGAAGGCCAAATTGGGTCTGTACAACAAGAACATCATGGAAACGTCGTACGATGCGTACAAAACAACATTACAGGATTACATAAAGGTTAATGAGCTGCTGTCGAAGGACGGAAATATCGTTTTCTATGTAAAAATGCTTCTAAGGATAAAGCACGACAGGCTAGACATGATAAAGTTTTTGAGCACAATAACAGAGGCGCGCAAGATCTACCAGGACCAATTATTCTTTTATTCCTCTGGACCAGGTTCGAAGAAGGAAATATTGCGGATTGATGGGCAGGGTGACAGCGATGCATTCTATGAGTCCCTTGATGAGGAATACAAACTGGTCTACCTTCTGCGTACAGACTATGACAGGGCGATTCAGTACTTTTATGATAAAGAAAATGCTGATGTGCAATACAACGATAAAATATTGAAAGAGTTTGCCGTTCTTTCCTTTCAAAGAGAAGATTTAAAGGTAGCTGACAATCTTATCACACGAATTTCTGCAAAAGAAGACGATCTTGATGACATTATTGTAGTGCTTGAAATATTAGGGATTAGAAAACCGAAAATTCTCAAAGACAAATTTGTGATACTTGAAAAGAATGAGCTGATGCTGAAGTCAAAGAATAGAAGAATGGAACTCATGAGGGCGTATTTTATGTGCGTAAACTGGAATTTTGATGAATGCTCCAAAATTATCAAAGACGAGATGGGGATTAACTGCTACGACATTGTCAAAGAGCGGTATTGTAATGTTGACTAATGCGATCGGTAGATATCGTATTTGTGACGCATTTGTGGAGTTGTTTTTGGCTGTCTAGTAAAGATAGTTGCTTGTTCACTCTGATTTCGTTTATTTTTCAACATATCGGTTTTGTTGCAGATTAAATCCTGTTTTTCAGGTAATAGGTATGATCAAAATATTACAATGTTGTACTCCAAATTTTGCAGTCTTAATCTCGTATTACGTTATTCCTTACATTTTATAACATATTGAAAACGGTAATGGTCTGTAAAACAGCATTACATGCCGCCCATACCTGATGAAAGAATGGAAAGCGCTATTCAAATAAGTACATGCAATATTGTCCTTAACTAGCAGCATTGATTGTATAATTAGTCATTCCTTTGTAATAATCTGTTCGTTCTGCAGTTTCGTAAAAATACCAAATTTGTGATCACATGCCCAACAACAAAGAATTCAAGCACAAGGATCTGCTCTTAACACCCTGGCAACAGATTTATCTTGTCTATCTACACGAATAAAATTCATAACAAATACTTTAATAATGTTTGACGGCCCGGTCTACAGCAGCAGAAGATTCTTTATCGAACATAAAAATAGAACAACCAATACTACCGCAGTACAACACAGGTAAATAAACTCGTTGTCCTCCGTTACAACCGGTTTGCTAGTCTGCTTATCTTCCACAAACAATATTTTTGTGCACACAGCCTTCGAGCTCCCTCCTCTCAACGTCTTTTTGAACTCATCCACACCCTTCTTATGGTCAAAATCATACACCTCTACCATGAACTTATGGTTTTTCGATGTGCATTCACTTTGTAAAATAACATTTATTGTTATCGTCTGCAGTGGTTTTATAATGCCAATGTTTGGTCTGACCGAATAATCTTTTGGGCTTGTCGTGCGTATTTTGTACGCTCCACCAGAGAGCACGTTGTTCTGCAGTGTTATTGTTCCTTTTTTTGTAACATTATCTATTGTGATGTACTTTGATGGTAGGATCATTACTGACGAGTCGTTCATTTTTCTACGGCTTCTTTCTTTTATAGGATGGGTGATTTAATTCGTCAATTTTTAGGAGAAATTTTGTGCTGAGCACGATGGCTGTCTCTGGCAGCAGATTGTGATATTGGCGCTGTTATCGGGAGCGCTTAAACCATAAAGAGACAAACATTTCTGCTTAACTCCTTTTTTGCGTGTGCAGAGCACTTCAAAATATGATAAAAAATGTTTTTTCGCGTTTAGTGCGTATTTTGCAAGGAATGAATAGCGAATGGTAAGTATCGGGATGTGATCCGATGATCAGGCGATATGCTTGTGTTTCCTGCCGTACAAACGTTTGTTTCGCCCCAATGCATGAGCAGAGACTTAGCACTATGCTAACCATCAACGTGAATACGCGCCTATACTACCAAAGATTCGTGCGGATGTCTTTGAATAAGAACAAATATTCGATTCAAATCCTGTTTTAGCATCAACTGATAGGTCCAAATTCCGCATTTACTCGTAACCAATCTAATTGGGGAATCGCTATCCAATTAACGCATAAGCTGTTTTCACATTTAATAGCATTTTCCTCATCAATCACCCTTGGACCGCTAATATAGATGAGATCGTTCTTGGACAAGTCTTAACAGCTGTTTTTACCTGATAATCAAAGCTACGTCACCGATTAATTTTGCTTTAATCACACCGGTCCAAAGTTACTGCGTGAACGGGCAGTGACACTTACTTTTTTCGCTAACTAAGTTTATTTATCTTCTCGTGCAACATATCTAAAAAACACACTTTTTTGGTCTGATCATAATTTCTTGCCTGCTAAATTTATTTATCACTTCAAAACTACGATGCGCCACATTTTATCAGCTAAAAAATCCCTCGAATTTACGAATACTTAAACAAACCTATGAAAGAATTGAGCTGGCCCTAAAAGAAACACACCATAAATCACGTTTACCTGCTCCTACAGAATGCACCGCACCTGAATATTTGGGACAATAAACTGTGTAATTTTTATTGCAAGCAATTCGTGCAATATCAGGGAAAAAGAGATAATAGCAAATATCAGAGTAATATCTTACAATTGTGTTGATAGCATCCCTGTCATGAATTATAGCGGCACCTCTACGTACCATGCAAAGTTGTAGGACCGTGATAAAATATGATAGCAGGTAATAAATACGAACTAAATTAGATTTGATTACGGTTATTGCGGTGTATGAACAACATTACTCCTATCAGCACGTGTTAAATGCAACAAATACGATAATTATTGTGTTAGGAATGGAGAAAGACCCATTTTACTACAGCAGCTACTGCCAGAACAAAACCAGCATTTAACTCATCACCCCGTGGTACACGCTTGCTTAGCACTATACATGTGCTTAATGCGATATTCGTGTTAAATAACGGTCTTTATTCGAACTTGTGCGTTCTCTAGCCTGAATGTGATCGCTGTTCAAGAATGATACCCTACCCGGTGCTGATCATGAACAAATGGTGGTTATGCCGGGTTAACGGTGACCCTAATTTGCTTATTAGGGGTGTTATAGGGTAAATTTAGTTTGAAGAGCTGTGTAAATGAAAAGATAACCATTTCAACAACGCTCTAGCCTGTTGCCGGTTCTTCCTCTAATCGTTCCACTACGGTTGCAATACCATGCCAATCGTTATCAATCGCATGTATAACGTGAATTAAAAACGTTTGCTTTGTCCGTTCATAGAACATCGTGCTGCTGCTATCTATGCTGAGATGCACGGTTCTCGTATGTAATTAGGAGGTAAGCTCCGTAGATAACGGTGAAATGGTATGGTACCGATTCATACACCAATAGAACCGTTTTAAATGCTGCTCTTCATATCAGCAATGACATACATCAATAGAACCGTTTTAAATGCTGCTCTTCATATCAGCAATGACATACATCAATAGAACCGTTTTAAATGCTGCTCTTCATATCAGCAATAAACAAATCATTTTTTCGCTGCAAGAACAACTCATTAGCAGTGCTAGAGTGCACTTGTAACGATGATCGCAGGGATGATAAGCAAACCGCATTTACTGTTACCTCTCGTGCACCATCATAAACTTATGTTAGTGTAGCATTCATTGTTAACTAAACCTGCCATACCGCCAGGATATGACATGCGTAATGGTGTTGCTGCCTTTACGATGCAAATATCTTCATCATATCGTAGATCGTTAGAGTGCGGCAGACCTGTGTCAACGACACGGTATAAATTGGGAAAAGAATTGCCTTTCAGCATGTTGGTGCGCAGTCTCACGATCGGAGAGAAGAGCGTTTTTAAGGAATGTATTACATGATTGTATAGGGCAATAACTTTGTTTGCAGCGTTATTTGTTGGCATAGGAGGAATGCATGCAGCAATACATCCTTACAGGTACTTTTCCTTTTTACATTTCAAAGACGGGATGAATGAAGGGGAATAATAGCTCAGCAGCACTCATACTGGCGCGTAATTTTAGTTGCAGTGGTATAAACGGCCATTAACAGACTCGGTTTACAAAAAAGTATAACATTACTAAAAAGGGATATAAAATAAGCGCTTCACCAACATACGAGATTCGTAATACACGCGGTGCAACAAACAACAGCCAATTAATTGCTTAGACTTTCATTGTAACGCGTGCCATAAAATAAAATTTTTGTTGGCAGGGGCAGCAGAGCGTAACACTTACTAAACGATGAACAATCAGAAAAATGTTGCTCGAAAAAATGGTGATGGTGCAAAAGGAGAGAACGACAGAGAAACGGATTACATTCCTTTGGTTTTAAACACTAGCAATTACTATGTGAACCATCGGAGGGATTATATAAACGGGTGCAGGTGTAATAATGAACACAAACATGGGAAAAAACATAGATGCTGTGATGGTAGCATGTTTTATGGCTATGAAACAGAAAGAAAGACAGAATTGGAGTATTTGAACGAAGCAGGGAAACACGGCAGCGTTTATTTGGGCGAGAGAATGAATGAAGGGCTGTTGAACAGGTTTGATGGCGGGGATAATTGGGGGTTGAATTTTTGTAACGGGCTTAGATCGCAATTACCGAATAACTTGAGTGCTGGGCATGCAAAACCTGGCGACAGGGGGTATAATGGGCAATTTAATGGAGAGCATGTGGAGAAGATGAATGGTAATATGAGTGCTGGGCGTGCATATGCTAACATGGATGGGAGTGAACGGGATGAGAAGATGCTACGAAGCAACGATGGGTGTCGCTCGTACAACGAAACATACTTCCACAATATGGAACAACACTTCAGAGATGGGGATGGAAGGAAGAGAAGTGGCACAGATGAGAGTGACTGTAGGGTAAATGGAAGGGAATTGTACAGCAGATATTCAGCATGGGGAGAAAAAGGAGCAAAGCACATGAATTATTACACAGGTACTTTGAAAAGAGGTGCATGGGGAACATCTTTAGATAACCACAAATATAACGAGACTTACGCACCAGAGAGTATTAATGGCACGGTCACATACCTAAAAGAAAGCAACGAACGATATGAAGCATATCAAACGGCGTGTTACAACAACGAGCACATGACTGGCACGTACAACCAGCAGTTTACACAAAATAGGAAGTGCTACGTATCTGCTAATTCATTAGAGAATGATATCTGTCAAGGAGAAACATTTAGCTCACCAAGGCTGTGCCAGGATCGTTCAAACCGGCAGTTTGGCAGCAAATGTGATCATCAAGGATTGGCTGTACATGCTGATGATTGCGGAGTAGCAGACAAGCATGCGAAAAAATTTGACGAGCAACACAAAAAAAGTAGCGATGAGTTCACGGACAGCACGATGCACCATTCGCTCAATAAAAATTGTTATGGAGCAAAGCAGTGCAATGAAAAGAAAGGAGGAGGCAATGAGCAACATGTTGCAGGTGTGCATGCATTCACAGTACCGGATGAAGAGAACAAATATTACGGGCACGTTATAACGGGCGATGATGGAAAACAAAATCATAATTTGGAAAATGAAGCGGTTTATGTGTCTAATAATGGAGCAAAGATAGAAAACCACGATAATGCCAAAAAACTGGGCATAGCGGCACATGAAATGGTAATAGAAGAAAAAAATGAAATTGTGCGCGATGAGTTTGCAATGGAATCGTGTTCAAAACAACAAAAAGAGGGCAAACACTCTGCCTCAGATTATACGGCAGAGCTACGTGCAACCGATCGCGGTATGGAAAAATGTTGCAATCTGGCCAAAGATTCATTATTTGAAGTTGTGGATCGTATGATTACACTGGAAGATGACAGACAAACGGATAGGTGCGATATAACCGACAGCGTGGCACAGGAAGTGACAGATAAAGACCAAGGCTATGATTCTGATGGTGGTATGCCATACAATAGAGGAAGAGTTGTAAATAATGAGGAGCAGAATGTAGCTGCAGGATCACAACCAGATCCAAGGATCTTAGATGAATACAAACAAAGCCATCAAGGGGATCAGAAGCGTATTAAAGCAGAAGAAACAGAAATTGAAAAAGGACCTGCTCATCACAACGAAATAAAGAGGCAAGGTCTCATCAAGAATGCCGTAAATGACAAAATAGCTTCGGCAACAGGGCTGTTAGAATGCGATTATACGTACTACTTCATCAATACCAGTCGGATTCATGGCAACGGTTTGTTCGCTTCCAAGCTCATACCCAAGGACTCAATGATCATCGAGTACCAGGGTGTACAAATAGGCAACATGATGGCAGATAAATTGGAAGAGGAGTACCAACGTAACAATATAAATTCGATATACTTATTCAGACTTGATAAGGATCTGATCATAGATGCAACTGTTTATGGCAATAAAGCACGGTTTATCAATCACTGCTGCGATCCTAATGCTGAAGCACGCGTTACGATTCACGATGACCGGCTCAAGCTGCTAATCTACGCTTTAAAGGACATACGGGTCAACCAGGAAATAACGATGTACTACAATTTTAGCTCAGAAGCAGGCGATGAGGAGCTGAAATGCAGCTGTGGCAGTGATAAATGCAGAAAAGTTATGTAATGGCAGTAATAATGTGATATGCGTGGAATAGGTACATAACAAATCGTAAATTTTATAGAAATTACTTTTTACCTTGCCTTTGTGGTACGGCATTCACTATGAGCTGTTCATCGCCATAGTTTTTTGCGAGCAAGGATTTGCTCCATACCAATGGTAATTCAGCACTCAGCAGAATATGTTGATGTGCACCAGTGCTACGCTGATGTTGATACGGCTGGGAATGGCTTGTTCAGGCTGCGTGGCTTGCAGATGGAAAGGGTTGACGGTTTTGAATGAACACTTGTTATGTTGAAAGGGATGAATTGCACTCTGTCCAGCACAGACCAATCAGGAACACCTGTTTCAGGCATGTCCTTGTTTATCACGGATAACAGACATGATGGCAACCTACACAATAGATCTATAAAATGGTCTGTTTTCTCCTTTGTAGCAACTCTCTTCTTAAAATAGGTGTAATTTAATTAAACGCTCTTTTCAGCAAAAGAGCAATGCTTTTCCGCTGATAACTCGAGCAGCGCAATAATTCTCACCGATTGGGTCAAAACATTTTATAAACACCGTAATTACAGCATCAAGCCACCATAACAGGGTTAATTTCTACGGCATACATCCATCGGTTGCTAATGCACTGCTCCCACAGAAACCTGCGATCACAAGATGCAAAAATTTATCCCAGAACAATTCAAACGCATTCAAGCTAAGAAACAGCAATCAGCCAGTTCACCATACGAAACAGGATAACTTTATTGACCACTTATCGGATAAAAATTCGCTTTACCCGTTTGTATAATCTAACCGTGTACATCCTGTCCCAGCCAAACACCTGAATATCGCCGCTCCGTCTCAGTTTCTTTTCCTCTGCCTTATTCACTCCCTCATACTTCCTTCTGTTGATCAAAAATCTCATAAAACTTACCAGCAGATCCGTCAACACCGCGATAAACAGGATGAATACCACCAAATTTACATAGAAGAAAGCCTTTGCCTCCGGATTGATCGGTACCGTAAACTTGTCCTTTAGCATCAGATCGTATTCTTTCTTGTGCTTGTTTAGGATGTTGTACCCGTCCGTTATGATCTTTTCTGCCAAGTTTTTTGGAAGATCGAGATCAGGGAATGGTTTGCTTTCTTTCACAAGCCTGTAGAATTGTGAGCGTATTACTTTGATGTCCGTGTTTTCTTTTACGTCGAACATTTCATAGAATGTGCGAAACTTCGTCTTTTTGTGTAGTGTTTGGATAGATTTGAATATGTTTGAGTTGTTGACGAGAGCAAGAATCGGGAACAAGAAGAGGAACATTTTAGGGGCTGTAAAATTACAAATTTAATTTACGGCATGTAAATATTAACAAGGATAAAAAATGAGTTTTAGATCTTTTATCGGTAAATAAACTATTTTCAAACATAAAATTAAAGGGTGAAAGAACCGTTTCATATTTCATCACCAAAAATTGTACAGAAAAGATCTTTACCAAATACACAGATAATCTACGGATGCACACAAATATAGCAGATAGTTCAAACATGATGGACCGTAAGAAAAGATGCTACGTTACAGCTTTTATACTCCTTTCTTACAAAATAATTTAATTAGTAACAATACGAGCACCGTTTGGTACTCAATCATACGCTTCAACCTTTCTATAAATTTGTTTTCAAATCAAGTTAAAAAGCGATTATTGCTGTTAAGATCGGTACCTCGTCATGTCAACACCAAATAACGTATACTTCCTGAACAATGATGGCTAATGATAGTTCATTAGCAAGAAAGGAGGTTGTTCTATTGCATGTTGGGTAAAAGGAAGTACTGCCCAGTAAGTTTACGTTGGTGAAAAGTGTTCAAAGGCTGTGCATGGTGGTATTCTTTCATAATATTATGGTGTATTGGTATTTTCAAGAAGAATATTCTATTTAATGTTGGCACGAAGGAATGGTAACGTGGATATTTGTGCTGATATGTGAAGAATGAATAAATGTACGTTGTACGAATGAACTTGAATATTGGTAGCGCACTACATCGTATGCTAGCGTGCAGCTGTTGGGCCGTTTTTGTTCTTTACAGCTGATCGTTCATCAACAAATATTCGTGGTGGCAATCGACACGTTAGCGGAAAAGAGCCTAACCACGAACGATACTCGCGAGCTGCACACAGTGCTCTTATGAGACTTGGTACCATATTTCGTGCTATTTTCGCTGAAAATACGTTTACTTATCTTCTTATACGGCAATAACACGTTATATTTTGTACGAACGGGCAATTTTATGACTATGGCAGAGAATAACCTGCAAAAATGGTTTTACCACAGCAACAAAGATATGCGTGTCATAGTTCACTTATTGCTGAATTTTGATCATTTTTTATGGACAGTTATTGCTCATTGGTTTCATGTGTTAACATTTCTGACCCCCTTCAGAACGAGCCGCTGCCGAAGATGTCCATAGGAACAAATCTGCTATGTCTTCTCGAATCGAGCCAATACTTTGACTTTGATATACTACCAGAAATATCGGCTGAACTTTCACTGCAACTTATAAAAGAGGGAAACATTTGCACACTCAGTTCGCAGGTATTTGTAATCGATATTTGTGATGAGGCGGTGACCGTTCTTTTCGTAGACGAAATGTGGAATGAACGATTTGCCTATCTAAAGCGGTATTTTGAGCTATGTCTTAGGAAAAGGGATTTTCTGCTGTTCTTTATTCTTCTGAGGCACTTTCTCAGACATGAGGACCAGGATAAAACGTATGTGCTGGACAATGAGCATGAATACATACGAAGGGTGAATGCCATAAGGTTATATCCAGGCAGGTGCGGTAGGAATGTCTTGTTCAAGCACGGGTTATTTTTCTGTGAATGTGTGTTCCATTCATCGACAGCGATAAAATCACTGGAGCACAGCCTTCATGGGAACATCTTTGTGCATGATGAGAAGGTTGAGCCAAAAAATGATGTCTTCGAGATCAAAGGAAATTCTTTCTTTTTTAAGGGACAGCGTGACAAGAAGATGAGCTTTCTACTAAAGAAAGGATTTACGGCTGAGGAAATATTCAACTTTTTTGGTGTTGGACGCTAGGAAGCGGACTGTCTGTTAAGTAACTGTGAGCACCGTTTCGATGAATGTGTACTGTGATTCGTTAAAAACAGCGATTCTTCAAACAATCAAGCATTTTATGGCTGACTTTGTTATTCTGTGTTAATTGTGATTAATATTCGTAGTGCCACGTTTTTAAGTCTATGCAACGATTCATTAGCAGCACAGATATCGCTTCATTAATATTTGCACTTTTGTTGCTCTGGTTTTGGTTCAATAATGACACGAGAAGACAAGGCGTGTACAATGCTCCTTGTGCACATTCCTGTTTATGTCTGCCCTAACAATAAATATAATGCTGTAAAATTGGTAGCTCATAACTTTTTTATGAAGATGTCAACGGCGTAAACCGTCTTTTACGGTGTTTTTCTCGCCATGAGAAGAAAAAGGCTGTATACCACGCCACTATCTGTGGTAATTCTGTGTATCTTAATGCAGCCCATGTGTGCAGTATACATCTATAAGTAGCACAAACATTTGTTGTGCCGAGGTTGGGTGGCCGAGCGGTCTAAGGCGCTAGTTTAAGGTGCTAGTCTCTGCGGAGGCGCGGGTTCGAATCCCGCCCCAGCCAATTTTGCTTCACACGAAAATTTTGTAGTTTTAGGTGCTTTATGAAGGACAACGTAGCGCGGGTGCATAAATTCATGCAGTACAAGCACTGATCCACACTATTGCATCAATCTTGGCATTAGAGATTATGATTGTGACTGGTTCGTTCAATTTAATCAAGCTATGTATCAAATTTTGCAATCAATGTACTTAGACCACAGGTAATTGCTATAGCACAAGCAAGACAGTACGGTTGTGCGGGTAAATTCTCGTTCTCAGAATGTCAGCCCTGTTACAACTAAGTGCTTCTTATTGCTCTGTTCACCGTGCCATGGTACAAAAATACCACCAAGCATAATGCTCAACGTGAATTGGCCTGGGATCAAAAACTCCTCCAAAATATACTTTTTAATAACTTCGACCAAACAAGGTGTACTTGTCGCACATCTCTCCACATTTCAAACATTGCATGTCCGTGCGCTCGTTATTCTCAAACGGAACACACAGGCTCTTCGCACCCTGCTGATCAACAGTTCCATCTGTAAAAACTGTTGTCTCCTTCTTGATGGTTTCTTCGCACTCTATACGTCCACAAAACGGTATCATTATCATGTTATTGTAACTCAGCTCACACTTAAAGTCTTCCCAGCTGCTCGCCCTCCTTATTCTCTTCATCTGTTCGGCTTTGGCCTTCTCATACATCTGATCATGGATCTTGTTAAGCTCGCTAAGCACGCTCTCACCGATATCCACAGAAGATATTTTTCTTTTGTTGCCGTTCATCCGTGTTACCATAACAACCTCGCTGCTTCGGTAATCATTCATCCCGATTTCCATCCTCAGTGGTACACCCTTCAGTTCCCAATGGTTAAACTTAAATCCTGCAAGAACGTTTTTCCTGTCATCAAGAAGAACACGAATGCCCTTTTCCTCCATTTCCTTCTTAATCCGTTCGATGTACCCGACAACATCGCTATTCATCGATCCGCACGGAACTATGACGACCTGTACTTTGCTTACCCGTGGCGGCAGCACAAGACCGATGTCGTCGGAATGTATCATCACCGCAATACCGATACACCGTGTTGTCAATCCCCAACTGTTCTGATAAACATGCTCCTCGTTGTTACACTTGTCAACAATCTTGACATCGTACATCTTTGAAAAGTTCTGCCCAAGAAAATGCGATGTAGCGGCTTGTACAGCCTTTCCGTTTATCGGAATAAATGCTTCCACCGTCGTGGTGTACTCTGCACCGCCAAACTTTTCATTCTCTGTTTTTTTTCCTTTTATCACCGGAATGGCTAAAAGATCTGTGTATATCTTTTCGTAGAGATCAAGAATTTGCAGGACTTCCTGCTCTGCACCTTCTTTCTCATAATAGGCCGTGTGTCCCTCCTGCCAGAGGAATTCTCTTCCTCTTATGAACGGTAGGGTGCTTTTCACCTCCCACCTGAGCACATTACACCACTGGTTCAGTTTCAAAGGAAGATCGCGATGAGAAAAAAGCCATTTTTTGAAGTATGGATACATCACAGCCTCAGAAGTTGGTCGTATAGCAACCGGCTCAATATCGTTTTCACCGCACTTCGTGATCCAGGCCAATTCCGGCGCAAAGTTCTCGATGTGATTGGCCTCCTTTTCCAATGCATCTTTTGTCACCAAAAGCGGGAAGTAGCACTCGTCCACACCCATTTTCGTTATATCGCGGGTAAAAGACTCCTTCACGACACTCCAGATGAAATACGACCACGGCCGCATAATAAAGCAGCCTTTTATATCGTAATATTCAAGAAGTTCTGATTTTATCACAAGCTGCTGATACCACTCACTAAAGTTCTCTGCTTTTTTGTATGTAAGACCAAATTCTGGTACTTTTTTCTTTTCTCTGATTGTGGTCATGTAAGGGGTAACTTGATCTGACGGCTTAAATGCAATCAAATGATTTAATCAATCAAGAACAAACAACACACATTTGTGAAGTGAGTATAGTTTACTTATAATAAAAACGTAACACATCAATACAGTGCAAAGGCTTTTATACCGCATAATACAGAACAAAAGGAGTATCGTATTCTCATAGTAACGCTAAATGAAGAGTCCTTTTCAACAAACCGTAAAATTCATCATAACCTCTTTTGCACCCGTGAAGTGTCGTAATTCTTGTAAAATGCTTCATTTGCAGGACTAGAAACTGTTTTATATCGAGATTCTATTCATTGTTGATGCTAGGGGCTAGCAATTTCCACAAAAATGATTCGTAGGTCTAGCACCAGAACAAGCGCAGTTTTACGATGCCTGTTGTTTTGTTGAATGCTTCCACGATATGATGTTTAAAAGAGATTTATTAACACGGATGATAACTGTTTCCTATGCAGTGATAATTATCAAATTTAATACCTCACAATACAGCACATGTAAAATTTATCAAACCCACTTTTCTACTCGAGGAATGTGCATATAAGGTTATATCTACAGCGATTTTATGTAGATAGTTCTCAGAATACTTACGAGCCTTACATTTCTTTGCTATTTTTGATACAATCATATTCTTGAAAAAATACATATTGTTTTACTTTTCGTTGCCTAGCAATTACGTCCCAAACTCAGTGTTTTTAATATCCTCCTCCGTTTTAAGGCAAGGTCTTTCTCCGCTTCAATCATCAATTTGCCTGTTTTGCAACATCTGAGGCATTAAACTCGAATATTTTTTATTAATCACGATAATTTAGTTACATACTGCCATAGCGACACGTAGAGAATACCCAAAAAAACAATAATGAATTGATTGTGCGTTCCAAAACTAGGCTAATCATGGTGTATTAGCGTTACCTTTCCCACAGGTCACCAGTTGGTAGTAAAATGCTAATACAAGATATCACGAAAAGATTGGTCAGAGAGTCTTAAAATTTACAAGTGATAATACGATGTACTGTCTACAATTCTGAGTGTGATGGCGTAACTTATGTTTAATTTGCTGTCTTAGGGTTAGTCAAAGTAAAATTGCGATTCATAGGTTGTAAGCTTGATACGTGCTATAAAATACATTAATATATTAGTACGTAATTACCAACGAATATATTATAGGTTTAGGATGAAAATGAGACGCTGTATGGCTACTGCTAGCAAGGAAGAGTTGATCAGTGTGTTTGAGATGCTATCATTTAAAATAATGAATTGTGGAAAATGCACACAATAAAGGAGGTGCTAGAACAAACTACCAATAGAAAAGAAGGTCTTGGTGCGCACTTCCAGATTTCAAACGAATAATAATTACCAGTGAATAGTATAAGTTAATTAATTACGGGTGACATTATTGGAAACTGTTATGAGCACATACCAAACGGGTCGTATAACGATATGATTGACGTATTTATGAACAAAACCAATCATTATTAATAAATCACGGATGGAAAGTATCCATATAGAAAAAAATGTATTAATTTGTTACTTTCGTGGTGACAAGAATATGATTGATACCGGTATGAGCACTTTAAAGCAAATACTATGTGTGTAGAGACACACAACTACCTTCTTAGGTCTATGCCGCTCGAAAATGGCAATATAATTCCACCAAACTAGTAAATTTCTTTAATATGTCAAAGCGTGCAGCATATTTCTTGTGGTTAATTAACGAAGGTGCATAAAATGCAAACGTTTACATGATCATAAAACGTACAAATTGCTTATCGCGTTCGCAGCAGGTCTCACCTCCATAAAATTTATCACGGTTATAAAAACTCAAAAAAAAATAAAAAATAAAAGGGTATGGAGTACAAAGAGGTATCAGTTGACAAGATAATATCAAAACTGTTGTCGGTGAAGAATAGTAGGCCGGGCAAGAACGTTCATCTGAGTGAGTCTGAGATACTGTTCTTGTGTGAGAAGACAAAAGAAATACATCTTAGTCAGCCGATGCTCTTGCATATTAAAGCGCCGATAAAGATATGCGGTGATATACATGGGCAGTACAGAGACCTACTGAAACTGTTTGATTTTGGCGGTTTTCCGCCCGACAACAATTACCTATTCTTGGGCGACTATGTTGATCGGGGCAAACAGTCGCTGGAGACGATTTGTCTGTTGTTTGCGTACAAGATAAAATATCCGCAGAACATTTTTCTGCTCAGAGGAAACCATGAGTGTGCGAGCATCAACAAGATTTATGGCTTTTTTGACGAGTGCAAACGTAGACACAGCATAAAAATATGGAAGAATTTTACTGATTCCTTTAACTGCTTGCCGATTTCGGCCATAGTAGGTGAGCGGATACTTTGTATGCACGGGGGAATATCGCCCGAGCTGAAGAATCTGGACCAGATCAGGAAAATAAAACGACCTACCGATGTTCCAGACGATGGCTTACTCTGTGATATATTATGGGGCGACCCGGAGCCATCGATCTCTGGTTGGGGAGAGAATGACAGGGGAGTGTCCGTAACGTTTGGTGCCGATGTGGTAAAGGAGTTCTTGGACAGCAACGATCTTGATCTTATTTGTAGAGCACATCAGGTGGTCGAAGAGGGATACGAGTTCTTTGCGGATAGACGATTAGTTACCGTGTTCTCGGCACCGAACTACTGCGGTGAATTTGATAATGCTGGCGCCATTATGAATGTGGACGAGGACTTGACGTGTTCGTTCCAGATTCTAAAGCCGACCGACAAGCTCAGCCCTGTATCTGATGGTTTCATTGGTATGGCGGATTCTGTTTCAAATTCGACAACATCAGACTCCTAGACAATAATATTTATGAATAAATGGTTTATATGTCTTTAATGAGTGCTTCTTGGGTAGCGGATCCTTATGCTCACCCTCCTCTGGGCTGTCTCTAATGATTCTGGAAGTATTCACGGTAGTGCCCTGTATTTTATCGTGAAAGCGTTCAATATCGTTTATCCGTAGTATGATGGAAAAACGAGACAATCTTTCTATTTTATCGATATTTAATTGCGCAGTGCTATGCGGTAAAGTGCTGCTGTGTTTTCGCTTTGAGCGGTTATCAAACATGCACGTCTTCCTTTGAATTCGGAAAAAGGAGAATTTGGACCAAAAACAGCTAAAATATATTCAGACTATGAAACAAACAAGTTGTCCACGGCAACGCTAAAATTTACTTCGCTTGAACACATGGTACTCTGCTATATTCATTACACAGCCGTATCGCAACACTGTTCATCACACGTGGTTTAATTGTGAGGAGTTTTACGGAATTAAGCAGATGTGGTACAATTTTATTTACGATTTGTACGTGTTTGTAGAAATAGGGAAGTATTCCAAGCATAATTATGTTTGTTGAGCGCAAAATGCTTTTAGAAAACATGTAAAACTAAGAAGAGAAAATTTATCGGTTGTGGTTCTAATGGCAGTGAACTTTTGAATATGAACGGTACCTGACATTATTACAAGTTCTGCTATGTTTTACAGCCTGAGCACAGAATTAAAGCAAAAAATACCACAACAAGATAGTGACAACCTTATCAGACAAATTTGGCAGTTGTAATACAGTTTACACGCATTCCAAATATACATGCATTCTCTCATGAGTGCTCCTTACGCTATGATGGCATCTCTTAACCAGGTCATTTCCTCAGCGATATGATTGTAAAAGAAGTGTCTGTTCAGTTGTGCAATCTCATATGTGTAAAATCGAGCAATAATATTTATTTATAGTTTAACCTGGTCACTGCTTCCGGTACTACGATATAAGATTGTTGTACAAAACAAAGTCATCTTCGGTTCCTCTCAGCTCCACATTCACTTCTGCCAGTTCCGCTTCCACATTATTACCGGCTCCCTTAACATTATTTAGCAGGATCATAATATCGTCAAAGTCTGCGCTGTAAGTTAAAGCGTCAGAATAATCGGCAGCATCGGAAAATACTCTAGCTATTTGACTTTGTGTCAGCCCGTTACATGCGTTAACAAGCTCGTGTATCTCAGTATCACTCAGCCTGCATTCATTATATGTTAAAAAGCTTTCTATCAAGAGCTGTATCTCATCAGGAGATGGCTTATTGAACAGTATTTTCGTGTGAAACCTGCGAAGAAAGGCCTCATCGAGAGTTTTTGGTAAATTTGTCGCACCAATAAAGATAAGTCGATCTGATAACTTTGAGCGCATGCCGTCCAGGATACACAGAAACTCTGATTTTACGTTACTGCTGTGTTCAGAGTTTTCCTCTTTTCTTTTACTAAAGAACGAGTCGATCTCATCCATGAAGACAATCGTGACGTCGTGTTTCTTGTTTTTGATCGCAAAATCCCACAATTTCTGTATATTTTTTTCCGTTCCACCAACGTACCTGTCGTTCAGAGAGGAAGGCTGTACAGCAATCAACCTCACACAAGGATCCATTTTCTTTAGTTTTGCCAATAAATCTGATTTTTTCATTTTATTGATGTTTATTCTGCTCTTTTTTAGCTTCAGTAATTTCAAATTTTGGTCTAGAAGAAAGGCTAGCTTCTTAACCAGCAGTGTTTTTCCTGTTCCTGGCTCGCCGTAGAACAGAATGTTTTTCTTTGCAGCGGTTATCTTGCTATTCAGCAGCTTTTTGTTTTTCTTGTCTATCAAATTCACAATACGTGTTATTCGACCGACCAGCGTTTCCATTATGCTCTCTTTCCCGAAGTAATTGGTTGCGCTAAAAACGGTTGGATCGTTGATGGTTTTGTACGCGTCCTGCATTTTCTTCTTTGCTATGAACCTCAACGAAAAAGCCACCAGACACGCGACTATCGCACCAATAACGATAATTTTCAGTAAAAGCGAATTCTTTCCTCCTTTTTTGCTTTTAGGTTTTTTGAACAGATTATATCCCACAAGATATGTCAGTACATCCACTGTTATGTCCCTGTTCAACATTTCGTTCCTGCTGCTTTTCACAAAGTACAGCATTTTGAGCTCCACGTCATCCGGCTTTTTGGCTTGATTATTCGCTTTTTCCATGGACTCAGCTTATTGTAGCGTATTTAAATAGCTTTTAATTTGAATATTTAGAGCAAAATTCATTTGCGGATTAATTTATTCAATTTTACCCATTTCGGACAGGAACACAATTGGTGCGGCAAACACACGGCACATCCAAAATAGAACATGAGAACGTGTACACATTCTTTCCATATATTTTATAGACAGAGCTTGCTATTTATGGCTGTTACGCTTGTTAATTGTTCATTTTTCGTATCATTAGGGCACTCCTAAGATGATAATGTCCGACTAAAGTATATTCGAGGTTCTTTATAATTACGTCAACAGTAAATTCAAATAACCACCTCTAAAATATAATACAAGAGAAACGAGGATACTAATTTTTGAAATTGCAAAATTTTCGCATGTATATAATACGCTCAAATCTACCGGTTGCTCTACTAGCACTTACAACTAAGAACTGGCGTGGTTTAGTGCAATAAAAATTATTCGTGTGCGATGCAGCGTAGTAAAACGTGACTGAGACAATAAGTGAAGCTGGTATTTATCTATGTTATTTAGCTACATTGCTTCACACCTGGTAACCAGAACTAAACAAATACGGTGAAGCGGCCACAGCACGAAAGTAAAAATCGCAAGTTACTAGAATGATAATATTTACATGTTTTTATATGTGATGTACTTCGTATGGCAAATTTAACTAGCACGCATGTTTCCTGGCTGTAGGATGGCTAGCCATTGTAGCACACGTTAATATGATTACAAGTATTATAGAGTAGGAATGATGCGCCTTGCAGCTCACGAGCCTTGTTTTAATACAGTATTCTGTTCAGCATACAGCGCGTACATGAATGCTTTCTGCGAACAAAGTGCTAAACCGGAAAGACTTTTCCACAAATAGGTATATTAATGGACAGAATGTATAAATTTTACTTTTACATGAAATAAGACGGTCTGGAAACATCGATGCCATACTCCTCTAACGCCTTTTCTAAATCGTTCATGTGTAACGTGAGCTTCTTCTCTTTGGGAAATCGCTTATCTTTTTGTGCCGCTTTTTGGTGAATTTTGTGGAATTGAAACGATGAGGTTGCAACATCTGTTATGAATTTCTGTGCCAGTAAAGAGATTGCTTTCTTGGTCTCTTTGTCGGCACAATCGATACCGCTTCTCTCCAGTAAATGGTCTAAAACTATATCTGGAATGAGGGGTGTGAAATCATTTATATTTATATCGACACTTTCATCCTGTGGCTGCGCGGGTGTTTTATTCTCCTTTGGTCTTTCGTTTTTTTCTAATTTTTCATCCATTTCTGGGGGGTATTAAAGAATATTTTTTAGCAGCGGTAGAATTTCTGAGCAGCTGTCAGTATAAGCCGAGTGCTGGTACTTCGTCTATTCACTGCTATTTTATACACCAAACAGTGATAATTCGACCATTTATCAATCAATAAACATGTTAATGTTCATATGTTGTCAAATATACAAACGGCTCAAATAAAAACAGCAAACTCTTCATTTTGGCTGATCATAGTTTGACTGCTAGGTACCTGTGACGCATCATACTTTTATACTAACCTGAATCAGCTCGGTAACTGATGTAAATGTCTAAAAAAGCTCTTCAATAGTGAATAAGAGCGTAAATATTCTTTTCGTGTAACCAATGTTTTTTTAATTGTTTAACCGCAAAACGTTTGTCATTACCTTGGATATTTTAAAATTTGCTATTTATACTTTTGCACAAATTTTTAAGTATTTTTCATACAGTTAACGCCAGGCAAGCAATATAATGTAATTTTATTGATTAATGTCATAACCAATCTATTGATCAAACGTGAAGGCCCATTTATTGAATTATTTGCGAAGCAGTTTGATGCCTATGCTGCGATCCTTCTCAGCATTAGTTCGGGTCAGTGCCCGGTACAAACCAGGTCATATAACCGTTTATAAATTGTTTGTTAAAAACAGCATCATTTGCAAACCCTGGACCGATGATTATCAAAGTAAGGGACATCCCGTTTTTTAAGTCTATAATAAGGTCAATGACCAATATTGAGTATCTTACCTTCAGAACGACCAACAACAAGCTTATAATCTCCTCGGCACTCATAAACATCTACTATGTAGAAATAGATTCGACGCTTCTAGAATTTTCAGACTATCAGGTCACAGACTTCTCCGTGAATGCCAACCTGTTGAAGAAGATTCTCAAGTTCTTCAAAACACAGCTTATCATAAGGATGAACGGTTCGTTAGAACTGTGCTATGAATCCACAAAAAAGAACTACGACATCTCAGTTCCTTTCATAAAAACGATAAAAAATGAGCTTAATGAGATGGGTGATGTGGAGACACTCTTTGTTGTCCAGCCAGTCGATTTAAACTTCCTGCAGAACTTCAAGAAAACAACATACAATTGCACAGATAAGCTGGTGGTTAAACAGAATATAGAGGGTGGTGCTGAGGAGATGGAATTTGATGTTGATATTCTGAAAGCAAGCGGTGTGCCCTTTACTTGTGATAATTTGTGGTTAGGCCCGACAAAGTCAATCAGATCATTTGTTGAGAACACAGTTTTTATGTTCAATCATTCAATGCTGCAGGTAACATTTGTGTTTAAGAAACAGAAAAATTGTAAATTTATTGTGCAGATTCCCAAGCTGTACGAAAAGGATTAAATGAACGTTGTATATGGCCATCACCTTTGCTATTGCTACGTTTATATCTGCTAGCAGGTCATTTATGCCTATCGGTACCTAAACACACGCTACAAATTTATTTACATAATTTTTTTCATCACAAAGCATTAATTAAAACTTCTTCGTCTCCACACAACAGACAATTCTTTCCAATTCGCAGAATGAAAGCACAGTGATCATAAGGCCTTCTGTTTCAGCCATAAAAATTAAAATGATGGTTATCACGCAACCAATTCCTAAAACAAATCTTTAAATCTGCGGTGTTCTGGCTCAATCTAACAATATGTGGTAGATCAGGTGTTGTGTACAGCAGCTTCGTTAGTTCCAAGATCACTGTTTTAACTTAGCACCTATGTCTGCAGTCATACAATTTTGGTTTTATATGCTTGCACACACGTATTCTATCTCGTTGATTTTTGCATAATGCCTCGTAAGTAGCCATTCACTCCGTATATATCCATTTTTTTATTTGATATTCTTGTCATTCGCAATCAATTCCCAGTTTTATCGTAAAAAAAGCACCCGATCCCTTATGAACGGCGACAGCAAGGTAAATTCGATATTGAAAGAACTAATGGTTGACTGGGATGACCTGGCACAGGCGGACTACAACCCTTTAAAGAATGCGCTGGAATTAAATGACGACAGTTCTTTGGTGGCAACCAATTTCAGAAATTTTTATCACAAAATAGATGCTGCTATGGCGGAGATAATAAAAAATAAGTACCGGGGATTTAATGACTCAGTGCTGATATACACCGACATAAATAACCTCTATTTGAAACTTAACAAACTGATTCTGGACATGGTTGAGAAAACTAAGGACTGTATGCACTCTCTTGATTTGGACATCAGCAAAATAGAAAAAGAAAGTATAGAGATAAAGAAGCAGCGGAAAATACAGGAATATGCTTCGGACGTAAATGAATTGTACAGGACTTATGTAATATATGAGAAGAAATTGGCGGAAGAGGACTTTGAATTCTGCACAGAGACAATAATAAAGATTTTGGAGACAGATTTGGATGAGGTAGAGGCCGTCAAGGAGATGAAATCCGTTTTTTACCACAAAAGAAAACAGTTCTTGAATGTGTTGCACAGGAAATTGGATGAATATATCTTTGAAGAAAATGAAATGAAAAACGAAATTGAGCCTTCACAGGACATCGAGAGCGTAATTTTTCGAGAAAGACGGTTGTTGAGCTATGTGGTGCAATTGGATGGACTGCTAGAATTTGATAATCACGTGTTTTATAATCTTAAGTTCAACTTTTACAGGAAAGTTAACGAAATCATTAGTTCTGGAATCGAGCTAGCAGATGTTTTTCGGTGTACCATCGATCTTTTCTTCAACATAATGAAGAAATTATGTCAATTCTCTCACAACCTCCAGATGGACGATGAGGAGAATTTCTACGGTGAAAAATACACGAAATTTAGAATATTTTGCCTGAACGGGCAACAAAATGTTAAAGGAGAGCTGAAAGAAGAACTATTACGCCTTGTACACAGCTATTCAAGAACAAAACGAGTCTTTGATACGAAGTTTAAAGTTGAAAATTTGATCGATTTCGTGAATTACGAGGGATTGTACGAAAACAAATATAAAATCTACGAAAGGATGGTGGTGAGAGATGAAAACAAGTGCTTATACGCGGATTATACACTTATAAAGAAACCATCAATCAGCAACTTGTTTTTGTTCTATGACGTTTTGAAGGGAAAGTTTGGGAATTCAACCGATGAAGAGAAGGGCCAAAATTTGCTTTGTAATGATAAGGCAGAAGGAAGATCAGCCAAGGCAGGTAGTCATGCGGAAGACGGTATGAAGACATCGGAATCACACCAAGAAGGATCTGTTGATCAGGAAATTCACAAATTAACGAGTTTAAAAGTGACAGCTAAAAAACTAAGATCAGAATGCAAAACAGAATTGCTCGGTGAAATAGCACGTTATATCAGGAAAATGCTTAAAAAAGAGGACAAAAATCTGAAGCACAGGATTGTCCGGATATTGAACAAGGAATTCTCTATGGAAAGAGACTACAAAACGCAGCGCCTTTTTTTCTTTACACATTTCATTAATTACTTTAAGCCATTCAGTGGTCGAATTTTGTTCCTGAAGAATTTTCTGTGGTCTTTTGAGTACGTAACCAAGAAATTTGAGGATTGCTTTGCATCATTCTTCCGATCGCAGGTGATTCATGACTCAGTCTACAATAACGGGCATGTAAACAGCAATGAACAAATATTTGAATGCTTTAAAAGGCAAATATTAGTCAAAAACATCGTATACGACAACTTAGCCATTAAGAAATCAAATTTTGATAAAATAGTGTTTGCGATCTTGAGTCTGAGGGATCTCATAGATTTTTACAAATTGAATGTTAAGGAGCTGGAAATAATTAATAAGAATCAGAAAGCCGAGAGCATCTTATCGAACTTACAGGACATTTACAATGCATACAACGTATCGTTGTCTCTGGAAATAGTTTTGAACGTTTTTTATTTTTTTGACAAATTTTATCGTGACAATGATCGGTCGTTCGCAGAGCTGTTAAAGGTTGTAAATGACATAAAAAGGAGTCTATGCTACCTGCGTGTAGAAAAGGAACAGTTTCTGTACTTTAACATTTATCTGTCATCAGAAATGAATGTTTCTCCCTACTTTATTTCGATATTTGATGTTCTGAATTTTTACATCATTAAAAATATCAGAAAACTGAAGGTTAGCAACGACAATGAGCTAAAAACATTTGTTAATGATCTAAAAGACGTTGAGGAGATGCTTCAGGGATTGAGTTTGGGACAGGTTGAAGGCTTTGATGAGAGTTTCAGCTTCTTTGAAGATGTGCTGAAGGACAAGTGTGCGAGTGAAGAGGCCAAACTTCTTAGATCTAAGATCAACTGAGAATGTGGCGCTGCATCGGTGTAAGTTGCAAATAAACGATTACTTATGTTTTTCAGGTGATCACCATGGCTTTAGCAGCATGGCGATCATGAATACTTCGTATTGTCAGCGTTTTTCTTTCCACAAATAGGGAAATTATTACCACGTCTTTTTCAATTATCAGGAAAAACACAGTGAGAGTGTCATTTGCTTCATCATCTTTCAATACATGCCCAGCTCAAATGCTTGTATAAAATAAACATCATATCCAGAGAAAATGTGTCCGCTGTTTATGGCCTTTCGGCAGAGAGAATGGTATTAAACCACTCATCTCCTAGAAATGCATCGGCAACTGCAGCTGATATTAACCTTGAACAACAAAGTAAACATATACATCGTTCTAGATGGAAAGTGACGCGATCGACTGAGATAAAATTAAAATTAACCACAGATAAAGGTCCAACAGACCAAATGCTTTAGTTTCTTCACAAATTGCTTCTATAACTATGGATTGCGATGGGTGTGCGTCATGTGATAAGAGTGTTTCGTATTCATTCTCGGTGCAATCATTTAAATTTAATTTACTTATTATCTTGGATTGATCATTGCAGGATAACTTTGCATTCCAGCCTTGCCAGATGATAAACAAAGATGGTAACAAAGAAAAATGTTCGCTTGACGAGCAACTGCCAGCCACGTTGAGAAAGTGGTTATCACAAATGATTTAATCGTAAAGGATGGTGGAATGTATGGCTGCCAAGAGATTGTGCAACGTGTTTTCGTTACATACATCTTCACATGTGTCCAGTAAATGCTTCCTAAAATCAAGCTTGCCCATTTTATACAGTTCTAATTCTTCCTTTGTCAAATTTTTTTCGTCCTCTACCCTCTTAAGATAATTCATCGCCAGGTCTTTCATTTTCCTGCTAGTCTCTTCGGATTTCAGCCTCCTAATCCTCAAATTATCTGTCCAACTCTTTTTGTGCAGATTTAAAAGCATCTTTTCCTCCATCTCAGTCTTCTTGTACTGTATGTTAAACGAGTAGTAATTTCGGTTAAGCCCGTGCAGAAGTGCTATCACCGATGGACTGTTGTAATACCCTATATTACTCGTAACCTCCCTGTACTCAGACACTGTCAGTCCCATCTGGTTTGGAATTAACCTGAAAGCATCCAACACAACTTTTCCCTTCACGCTCTGTATAGGATCGATGACAACGGCCACTGCCCTCTTATTCAGCTGTTCAAACGCGGACTGTGTGCTTATATCGACGTTACTCAGCCAACACCCGAAACCCGGGTGGCTGTGATACCAGCCGACCACGGTTTCATTGCGACCGGTTATTGCCAAAGTATCCATCATCTGTGTTTGAAATACGGGGTCAACTGCTTCGACGGTAACACCTGTGCCGCTTTGCGGCATAGCAAACACGTCTACCACCTTTATTGTGAACTCGTCCACGAACTCACCAAGCATGAGCCCCATCACCTCCATGGGTATGCCTGCACGGCCGTGTTTCAACATTTTCAACAGAGCCAATGATGATATTTGAATGGTCTCGCTGGTGTCCGGCACCTTGTCATGTGAATCCATCATTGTAAATTCCATTGAAGGGCTTCCCTCTTTTTTTTATTTTGTTACTTCAGATTACGATGATTAATTGGCAGTTGACAGCCCGGGTCCGTATTAAATGTTAAAATTATATTCTCGTACGAATGTGTGCTATGATAGCAACCAAACGAATTATTTTTCTTGAATTGCTACTAAAGTTCGTATTTGGCACGTATCTACTAGCTGTTCTCTTCTCGTTGCTAGATAACTACGTGTTATTACGTTCATTTCGGATATTACATCGTGTTGTTGATAAGACCTCGTTACTGAAGAAAAGTTTAACCGGTAAAAAGACCTTTCGTTGGCACTTGCTTGTCTAGAATGATCATGCCCGATGCACCTCTTTACCAGGATGATTATTCGTTCCTATACCCGAAAGGCATACAGTACATAACATGTCCGATCACTTGTTGTTTGTACTTTGTTAATTCCAATCAATTGGCCAAATCATCAACTTTTTTCCGTGCCAGAAATTATTGCGTACTACCTGTTATTTCTCGTATAAATACAAATTCTTATTGGCAGGTGCAAGAATTAAATTGGTTGTGCAGTTTGTATCGTGTTTGTGATGTTCATGGTATTTATTGAAAGCTCTCATCAAACAAAAGCACATAAATTGTTCAATTACACATTCATTTTATGCCTCATTCCTGAGTTATCTACTCTCCGGTATTTACAACTCAGCAATATAACCGATTTTCCGTGAACCAAAGGCTCGTGTCCACGGTCTGTGGCGCCATCCATAAAAGTGCATTTGTTCGGATGTTTTGTGTGAGAGGAGAAATAAGCGTACTTTTAGTCAAATTCGATACTGTTTGTTTGTAGACTGTTTTGGTTGTCTGGTGTCACTGCTAACCTTCCTTATAGATCAGTAAGAACAAAACTGGCTCAAAATGCCATATTAATCAATTTCACCGGTGCAAATGTAACTCGAGCCGAAACCGGTCAATAATTTACAAAAACTAAAGCATATGTTCACTTATCTCACAAACTTTTCATGTGCACACTGAGTACGTCGTTCAAAAACGTCAACACTGTCAAAAAATCTTTTACTTTGCTCCGCTCCACCACCCCCCTAGTCACCGCAATGATATCGACCTACCGGAACAATATTTACGTTCTGAACAACAACCTGCTCCTTATTTATGACGTAGATCTGAATCTTACGCGCATGCAAAAAGTAATGGCGGTGTTCACACCAATACTACACAGGAATTATGTAGCTGCGTACAAGACGCTTTATAAAATATCGAATGGCGAGCTTGCTGCCGTGAGAACATTTAAGAAGAAAATAGCGAGCATACAAACGGATGACGAGCACATTGTGATATCGGAGAGCACAGGAAACATTTTAATTGCACGGCGAGGCGAGCACCACTTCAGACTTCTGCTTGGTCACTACCTCCAGATAAACAAGATGATAGTGCATGATGGCGCAATAATAACGGCAGATAACTACAAAATTAGGGTGAGTGAGTACGATGGGAGAATACGGAACATTTTCTTTGCCAGCAACCACAATGTATTTTACGGCGGAGGTTTCTTTTACGTTCTCTATGACAGCAATCTGCAGATATACGAACGAAACACGAATACAGATACGAAAAAAGACGAAAATGAGTACGATGCGCTTGTTCTTCTCAATACTCTTACGCTTCAGGATAAAATAATAGACATACTTCTTCTTAATGATGCAATTTATTTGATCACCGATGGAAGTAATTACTTGGTAAAAAACTCGGGGTTCACTATTAGTGAGCCAAGTCCCTACAATTTCAAGGACGCCTTCATAGATGACGATTCTGTGTACTTCTACACAGAGGAAAGTAAGTTACAGAAATTGAATGTTAAAGATTTGAAATGAAAGGCAAGGATTAAATAAAATAATAGCATAGTAATACGGTTTGCTGAGCATGGATGATTTATAGGTCATTTACTCTTTATTACATGCGTGTGGCGGACAGAGCAGGGAAATTTACATTTGTGCAACGATATCACAATATAAAAATTATTTGCCTGAGATAACATGATATAGACTAGTTAGAGGCATTGTGATTTATCTATTTATACTTGACACGCCACACCGTATTATCTTTTTCTTCGACTAAGAATGTATTAAAGTTGTTTCATTTCTGGTAGAAGCATTCTGTCTTCATGGTTTGAACAGGTATAACTCAATGTATTAAATCCACCTTAAACAGTCATATTGACATTTCAGGGATCGGTGATCACATCTTCTGTCTGTGAACGGATTGTGCTGGACTTGTTTTTTCACCCTTCTTGTCCGTTATAAATCACCTAAAAATATTTGGCCCTGGTCAAATGGCTTACAAATCCACGAAGACATTCCTAATCGTAGGAATGGCAGGAACAGGTAAATCCACCTTTTCGCAGAGCTTATACACATGGATATCATCACAATATCCGCCTATAATAGATTTCAAATCGTGTTTAAACAGCAACATAACGTCAATAAATTTAGACCCGGCCACACTGAAGGTTAAGATGCCGCTTGATCTCGACATAAGAGAATATTTTGATTACGAAAATGTGATGGAGACATACAACATTGGTCCCAACGGGGCAGTCACCACCATCATCAATCTTTTTCTTATGAGATGGGATGTTAAAATTACGAGCAATTTTGTGATTATTGATACACCGGGCCAGATAGAAGCGTTTGTGTGGTCCAATGCGGGTAAGGTACTCGTTGATAAGTTAGTATACTGCAGAAGTGGTGTGAGCGATAAAATAGGCGACAACAGCGTTAAAAATGATCTTATGAGCGGTGAAAGCATCGAAAGTGGCAAAAGTAAAAGTGCTAAAGCTGGGGTCAACCCCAACAGCGTTATTCTCTTGTATCTAATAGATTCCCAGGAGTGCAAGAAGCCAAGCGTGTTCATGTGCAACATGATATACGCCCTAATTCTTAAATTACGTTTCAATGTTCCCATCCTCATTGTGTTTAATAAGGTGGACCTATCCCCTATGCCCGTGGAATGGATCTCAAACTATGAGAAGTTCATGAACGATGTAAATGATGACAGCATGTGTAATTCGTTGCTGAGTTCGATGGCACTTTATTTCGAGGAATATTACCGATCGTTTGATTATATTGGTGTCAGTTCTATCACTGGTGAGGGCAGAGATGAGTTCTTTGAGCGTATAGAGAAAATGATGGACAAGAATGTTTAAATACAGGGTTTTTCGCTTTTGAAAAGAACAGATTAAATGCAATTTTACACACACGGTAATAAGCGTTTATTGCAATCCTATTTTTTGAAAATCTGTTTAATTACCACTTCACAACCACAGCATCCGAATACGTTCCTATTTTCAATATTTTGTGTATACGGAAGAGTAGCTAATATTTTAACCGAAGCTGCATCATACATTCTACTGATTTACTGTCTTTTGCTCGTTTTTTAGCGTATGAAATGTTCGATCCTTTTTCATCAATTCTATTCCGTAGCACAGCTTTTTCAGAGTATCATCCTCCAGATAATCCATCATTTGTACGAAGTAGTAGCCTTTCCAATTTCCCATAGAAATATAAAAGTATAAATTGTTGAAGAAGTATTTCAAAATTCCATCTCCATCAACATGCCCGTCACTACACTCTTCAAATAACATGGAAAGCAGCGCATAGAAATAAATTATAAAAAAGTCACCGTTTCGATGCAAAACATTCCCAAGAATGTTCAATACATCGCACTGCCATCCCGCATATGCGCCGTTAATGATAGTTTTGGCTTTAAAGTACAGACTGATATTCGAATTAGAGCGCATAAAACTGATGCGGTGCAATTTGTTGGTTACAAACAGGTACTCATGGTGCAGAAAGGAAGATTTCGTTGCTTTCAAACCACTTTTCAACACTTGCACTGCTCTTTTCCATTCATCGTTTCTCTTCAAAAAGACGTATTTCTCATAAAAAACAAATTCAGTCTTTCTTATCCGGGCAAAAAAGGCATCAAAACTAGAATTGTCATTGATTTCTTTCATATATCTCATAGAAAATAAGTTTAGCCCGTCATCATCCCATTTCTCGGCCATGTTACACATTTTAACTATGCTTAACCGGTAATTTGCATATGTTTCATTCACCTGCTTTCCATTTCCACCTTTTTCACTTTGTACCCCAAGTTTTGCATTCTCTGTACTATTCTTGATTTCTTGCTTGTTATTTTTGTGTTCGTGTGGCAGCTCAAAATTCATAACAAATGCTTTACTTTTATTGCAAATAACACGTAAACGTAACATTTCCAGTTCTTTATCCTGTCTTATTTCCAATGCCTTATCAATTTCGTTTAAGGCCAACTCCTTTGATATTTTGAGCATGCACCTGTATTTTCTGTTGCTTTTCTCTTTTTTCACCAACTCTAAAGCACTGATATAATCCTTGTTCATGTGATGCAACGTGAACATTGCATCTTTATAGATGTGCCGTTTTCTTGGATATTTTTTTACAAACGCGGCCAGCGTCTTTTTGACACGGTTAAGCGCTACGGTTTCAGCAAATGCTTCTTCCTCATCATAATTAACAATTTCAACCGTGCGATCCTGGCACATCCTATCATTATCATTAATAGTTTCTGTTACTGTATCCACTGCCCTTGAACCTATTCTATGACCAGTACCACTTTTAACCATCTCTTTAACGTGTCCTACCACATTTTCTCTATTTTTAACAACTGTACGGTAATAAATCTTCAATAGCTCTCTGATTTTCATCATCGTAGCATGTTCGTCACTGGTAACGAATAATTCCTTGACAAAGTCGTACCTTAATCTGCAATTCTTTATCGTATTGTAACACTCATAGATCAAATCGTCATTATCTCTGCACTGCATACAAAGAGTTTCAACGTATTTTGGAAGTGTCTCTCCTTTCTTTAATTTGATCTTCTGCAGCAAACTCGTAGTGAGCGCAGCACCCGGCAGTCGTATCGTTTTTGTACTTGCTGCCAGAATGCGAAGAATATTCTTTGGACTGAGACGAACAAAGTGCTCTGCAAATGTTTTTATAAGAGAAGAACTGTCCAGTCCTGAAATATCATCAATATGGTTATCATTCTCAGGAAATGTACCGGTTGATAAGTTAAAAGCTCTGCTATTATTTTCTACTGGATAAACAGTACTTCCACCGCAATTAGAGTAACAAATTGATCCATCTTTTCTATGTTCCGACTTTAAAGAAATTTTTCCATCATCCGCCATATCAATGCTAATAACGTTACCATTTACGTAATTTTCTAGTATGTACACAAATATTTCATTACATCTTATTTTCTCCTCAACAAACAGTCCAATAACTACCTCTACTTGTAACTTCCATGTGAACAGCCTTTTCATCATTTCTTTAGTTCGTATTCCCGAAGCTACGACATATTCCGCCTTTATTTGTTCATTTTTCGTACTATCTATGAGAATCTCCCACATTTTTATCTTTTCGTTTAATTTGACGTGAGGATCTAAGATGGCACGATGCAGAATTTTCACATCTTTCTTCCTAAAGTATTCGCGTATGTATCTTGGACGTTCTGCGGTAGATGTGTTGTATGAGACACCACCTCGTTCAGTGAGCGAGTTGACAGTAACATGAGCATTACCAACATCACATCCGTTCTTCTGCATTCTCCTGTTAATTTTTTTGATCTCTGCTTGCAACTGCTTATCGCAATTCACCATTAGCAGGGCTCCGCAAATACACAGTTGATGCTCATCTGCCTTTTTAGATTTGAGTCGCGGTAGTTGAGCGGTGAAGTGCTGCTAAAGCTTGGAAAACGTTTTAATTACTGCTGTGATGGTGTGTGTTATATTCCGGGATGTCCTTTGAAGAAATGGCGACTATTGATGCGTTACATTCATACATGTTATAACATCTCTGCGATTCTCTAATAAAAGTTTCTTATCCACGTATAACACATAATATATTCGTATTAAATCGCCTGACCATAATTTCGTGCTCATATTTGTGCCACATCTCATGAAATCCATCATATTACGTGCTAAAACTGCGTAAATGCGTTTTAGAATGTCACTCGATAAATATGATTTCTGCACCATCATAGGACGTGATACCTTTCAGCTCCGTATTTTCCTCGGATTATATGCCTTATTAGTGCTTTCCAGATTAATATGGAGTTTTTCACTGTTCTATAACTATGTTCTCGAGAATGGTGCTATAACTCTGCAGCGAACGAAATATTTCGTTGGCTATAATATTTTTACGTACTGATTGCGCTCAAGTTCTCTCATTTACCATCAATAGCAGTGTTTGTAGAAATAAAATTGAGAATCGTCACACATACTGAGCAAAGCGATTTGTTGTGGGTGTCAAACGTGTTTAACAGTCTTATACGTTTGTAGTGCCGCATTTAAAGCAGCGTAGATCACTCACCGACAAGTAAACATCAATTCTAGCGCTTAAAAAATATAATTAATGGTAAAAGCGATGAATGCCACATCAAAGCATTTATAACACGAATAAAGTACGTGTGTGCAAATCAAATACGATATCGTTTTTAGTCAAAATATAATATTTACAACTACGCAACTGAAAACCATCAATAACCCTGTTCAGGTAGTGACAGATGTGTTCTATGTTGTACCAGCACTACACATACCAAACACGGCTCTTTACATTTTGCTTTTTAGATCCTTCTTCTTCATTCGACTCCCTTTAAAGTAAAACTTGGCCGCTATCAAAACGTGATCGGACGGAAAGTGTATACTCGGTAGGCCTACCATCCTATGCACATATTCATTGTCGATGGCTGACAGCGTAGAACACAATATAAGCCGATCATTGTGAAAAATGTAATCGAGAACGCCTTTGAAATGTGCCGTGAAATTTGTAAGTTCCAGTTCCTGTTCTCCGTACGCATCTTTAACACATAAACCGTGCGAAAAACCGTCTGTACTGAACGGCTTGTAGTTGTAAAGAGAAAAGTCTATATTGAAGGGGTATATACGACCGTTAACGATCAAATCGTACACAGCCGAGTTCTTCATTGAGTTGAAATCTCCTAGCAATATTATTCCGGCCATGGGATATTTTTCTTTGAACTTGTGCACCGCTTCAATCAATATTATTGTCTGAAAAAGCTTAACATCCTTGTAATCTGGGTTCCAATGGATATGTGCATTGGAAATGATCAGCAATCCCCCGTTAGTTTTCTCAAGAACTGTTATCAGTACTATATTGTCTTTTCCCGAGTTTCTGTTCATAATATCCTCGTTTTTGCAAAATCTTTCGTCGGTAAACACCAGATCAGAAAACTTCACACATTGCTGGTCTATAAGTGTAAATTTGTGCCTTTTCCAAAATGTTGCACAGCCATCCACACTCATCTTCTGACTTTCTGGTAGCGATTGTGAACGGCCAGATGGATAGAATAACGAATCGTAATTGCATCGATGGTCTAGCTGGTCTTTAAAATTTTCTATAAACGAATACGTCTCCATTTCCTGTATGCCCAGAATATCCAAATTGTACGAAACTATCTCCTGAAAAATCATCTCTTTTCTATTCTCCCAGTGTAACACCCATGAAGGCACGTATCCGAAAAGCTGTGACGTGGCGTAGTGCGGGCTGAGAATGTTGTACGATGCCACTGAGAGCAACTCGCCCATTCCCTCCGTTTTGTTATGATAATCCACCCATGTTCTATCAAGCGGCACGGGATATGATGTATTATGCTCTCTACAAAAGTGTATTACGCTTATCCCACCCTTGCCCTGGTAAAGTGTAGCAAATGGTTCTAAGAGAGGGTTGTTGTCGATTGAAAACGTTTCTAGTTGGTATAACGTCCCCAGTTCCATCGGTATGAAACTCAGAAAATTGTCATCCAACTTGAGCACCTTCAGCTTTATCATTCTTCCTAGCTCTTTCGGCAGAAAAGTCAGCTTGTTATCGCTTATATCCAGAACCTCCAAATTAGAGAGCTCTGTGATGCCTTTTGGGATGAATGTCAGCTCATTATTCTGCAGATGGAGCTCTTTCAAAAATCTTAAGGTAAACAGGCATTTTGATAGGAATTTAATACCCTGTGACACTAAATCAAGTCCATACCACTCGTCTTTCTTCGTTGACCTCGTAATATTTCTATACCTCTGTGGAGTTCTAGTCTTTTGGTTTTTTTTCTTGGGTGTTGAAACATCCAGCATGTCAAAGGGTGCGCTAATTTGCAAAATATTAAGAAATTAAAAAGATTACGCGTAGTAAACAAAGAAAGGAAAGGAGCGGGACATGTCAACAAATCACATATTGCTCATTAATGAAATAAATAGCAATAGTTGAGATGATGTCTATGCTCTATCTATGAAAAGAAATTGTAATCAATTATGTTTTAGATTTAGTCTTTTGCAAACAAAAAAGTTCTTTCATGGTGAAGCAAGGAGTAACGAGTAATAGGTAAACTTAGTTTAATAAAAACGTTCTTCTAAAACAAATATATCTACTCATGTAAAGGAATAGTTTAGTAGTATAATGGAACAGTTTCTGAGCAGTTAGGGATAGTGAAACAAAGTTGATAATGACTGTAGGTTCTGTTTCATTTCATTAAGAACATAACGATGGATCTATGTAAGCTGATTAGCAGTAAATGTTGGTAAATTTGTGATCAAATTACAGCTCTCAAAATATCACCACAATAACCAAAAAGGAAAGTAATATAAATTACACTCACCTAGACAGGATAAAAAACGAGTAATCATGGTTAACATATCACAAAATACAACTATTTAGCAATTACCACTGTTTTTCCATCGTTACATGCTAACTTGCGAAGTATGATAGGTGTGTTGAAAAAATTTTAGCGCAAAAAGTGCTTGTGGCGGTGCAAGCTGTGCTTAAACACAATAAAACGTGCTAGATTTTTTCTTAACAATACTAAAGATTGTATTGTTTGAATGGCATATAATAGCAACTAACAACAAATTGCTAAGCATTTCGATCCTAGGGTGTATAACAAACTATCAAAATACGAAGTATGTGTTTTATTTTGATTTGTAGACAGTGATGTATGAAGAAATATGGTTACAACACTTACATAAGAGATTTTTCTGGAATAGGTGCCTTGTACTTGTGCGCAGTAATACCTCTTAACCATAGAACAAGAAGTAAGTACAAAATTCGACAAGGTTATAATGATGTGTTCGATTGTTTCAGGAGCATTTTTTGATCCATCAACATGCTTTTCGTCGGGTTATGTGTATCATACAATAAAAAACATAGACAATACCAATAAGAGCAGTTTATGATATCATTGAAATTATTACTACGTAAATACGTCAGATGGATGGCAAAAACGGCTAATGATAGAGACATAAATTTATGTGTTGGTCGTTTTGAGCAGTATATGAAAGACTATTCAAAAAAAATCATAGCATAGCTTCTTCATATTAAGATGCTTCCATTGCAATATAATCATCCACTTTCCACTGTATACCCGTCCCCAAACCATTATTCTGGTATCCATAGGTATAAATTCATCATAAAATGCATAGCAATAGATCGTAGAATCAAAAACGATGTAATAATTCTTTTTTTTCACGCACACCGTTATTAGAAACAATCTAATAGAATCATCAGCAAATTTTAGAAAATTGAATACCACCTTTGTTCTTGGACGGGGATATCTGTTCAACGTAAGAGAATCTTCCAATATTGTCGATAATTCTGAAATCAGCAGGCTCAACTTTTTTTTCATTCTCCTTGTGAGCGGTTTTCGCATATTTTTTGTTTTATGACTCTTGACAAAAGGCCTGACTCGCCAATGAACAGATTGCGTTTTAACCACATACGTTCAAAGTCGTTGTGAATAATGGTGTGGCAGGGATTATATATGTGCAATGAAATGTTTACATATGGCAATTAAACAACGTACAAACAAAATAGGAAAATTTACATAAATGCGTATTTGTCAAAGTGCCTCGATTACATTTTATCAGATGTACTCGTAAAGCACATGATCAACTGATTTGACAAAATTGCCTTCTCATGATCTATCCACGAGTGAAAATACAAATCTAATGGAAATAAATAAAATATTTTGGAACAACAGCGCAACAAAATAGGCCCACAAACATTTTCATAAAAAGAATCACAAATAAATTTTACGTATATTTATCCAAAAACAGCAATTTTCATGTTGTTCAGAATTTCTCCTACCATCGCAATTTCACAATATTATATGTTCAACACCATTATTTACGAGTTATGTTAAGTTACTGCAAAATTAGAACATATGATAGCTTTCTGACTATAAAACAGATCATAATATATCGTGTTGATATCTTTGTTTCCAAATTTTGGTCAATTATCAAATTATTTGATTGTTTCATATTATGAGTTTTCATTGAAGAAGTAAACAATGCTATATCCTCTTTTCATCTTAAAAGGTTGCTTGACTGCTGTTACCGATATTGCCAGGTCCGTTAAACCCTACATCAAAGAACTTTCTCGCCAGGAGAATTTTTGCAATGTCCATGTCAATGTCTTTGACCCGTGTGAAATTGAATATTTGCGACGGTATTGTCTGAAAAAACATTGTATTAATACATTGACACGTGCAGATGACAAAATAAGCTTGTTAGCTAATCCAGAAACACATACTGGATACCGATACGGGGCTTCTGATATATGGAAGCATATATATGCCATAAGCGATGACTTGTTCTACAGGAAAATCGTAAATGGTCTGAAATTCTCCATATTTGTCCATATTTGCCGTTACTATGTGAAGATAGACGAAAAATACTTTGTAAACACCAGTTTTTTTTTCAAGCATTTTCGGAAAGCGGATTATGAAGACTTTCTTTGGCTCTTGAGATTGATTTATTCTGCTTTTGCAAAACTTGATCTGAGTAAACTAAAACTGGAAGAAAAGGAAAGGCAACTTGTGACACAAATGAAAAATATTTTGAACATTAATGACAAGCAAGTACTTAATACACGACTCATAAATAATATTCATGTATGCTTAGATGTAGTTAATTGTGTATCATGTGACAAATGTAAGTTATGGGGAAAAATTCAGTTTGCCGGTTTGATAACAGCTATAAAAATACATAACAATACATTTGATAACAAATTTGACGAGTTTGTTTTTTTGGTAAATCTTATGACCAGGTTAACAGTCACTGCAAATGCAACAAGTAGATTTTTTGATCATAGGAAGCGATAAAACAACCAAAAATAAAGTACGATTATCATGTTTTGTATATTGTGAACGGTTTTCATATCATCACTGGTATCACAGCTTGTGGTTGTTGGCTGATATAAAATTATTTAAATCATTAACTTCCTATTTCACGTTAAATAAAACATTCTTTAGAGCATATGAATACTTTAGACGTAAAATTTGAAGCTGATTTTGATCCTAAGGACTAGTCGTATAAACCAGCAATTTTCTGCTATGAGCATGAAGATCTTATTGTAGTAAGATCATAACAGCAATTATATTTATAACTTTATATTTCATCAAACCACAATAAAGATGTTGTCAAGCGTTATGTACGCCCGTACTACTATGAAAATTTTGTTACAGAATAAAATTACAAATGGTAATCATTGGTTGGCTTAATATGATTCTTCATCAGGCAAAAAAATAACTTTTAACCTTTCCTCTAACCCAAATATCGCAACATGATCTATTCAGCAAAAATTATCATTACAAAAGTGTCTAATTTAGTACATAAAGCTTACATACCCCGTGAAACTTTGGAAGTTATCACAAAATATGTTAATTTATAACCTAAGCATTTTTAGCACAGCAAATTCTTCAATTGTTAAAGAAGAATTGGTTATATCTTGGGATTTTTTCTAATTCTGTCTAGTTACCACCTTAAACCATACATATCTGACGTGTTAAGCACTTATCATGGCCTCAGAGGCCTTTTATTAGTGGGCTGATCCTATGGTTATCTAAATCGACCATTTCAATTTGCCGGTCAACAACAGCAACATTTTCAGGGATCTGATGATGTTGTCACCGAGTTATAGAACAATGATGTGATTGCTGTGCAACGGAAAGCACAATAAAGCGCAATACAAAACGAAATCACAAATAATTGGTAAGTAAATCTCCTGCCATTTGGTACACAATGGAGCCTCACTTAGATGTAGGATGGATTAGTAGGGTACCACACGTATATAACGTAGGAAACAACAGATAAACATCACAATTTGCTTAAAAACCAAATTTTAATCAGTAATGCCTCAGTGCATATATGACTGTTCTGTCTGTCAACGTCTTATACGCATTTTCCATGTTTTTGAAATCATCCTGCAGAAAATCACACTTTCTTTCAAGCATCACCTTCTCAATTTGCACTGTTCCTCCATTTTTTACCTCGGTCATCCTGCATTGTACTTCAGCTGGGTAACAAAGATCAAAAATCCATCTTTCCTGCACATTCCTATTAATACCCTTTGAGAGCCTATTGTATATTGGTTCTCTAACACAGAAAATATTATAATTCTTGAATATATTAGCCAGATTCTTCTTGAATGAGGTAAAATTCTGGTGTATGATGTCCAACACTTTTATTGGCATCACAATTATCATCGCTGCTTGTGTTTCCTCTTCATTATCTTGCACCATTTGTATTTTGATGTTTTCTAGGCTGTCCTTCACCTTGTCATTCATTTGCGTAGAGAACAGAGAATGTATTAGGTTAGAGACCTTCTTTTCAGATGTGGTTTGTGACATTGTAGGGGCGAAAATTTTTTCAAATTTTTTTGCTGTGTATAAATTACACCTTGCTGAGTCACCGGTTCAGATAGGTATTCCTACTCGAAGACGCAAATGGATGATAAGAATTATTCATATAGCACTCGATCATTAGGTAAAAAATGAAATGGCTAAGATGTTGCTTTTTGCATAATTTTGTGGGGTATATCTCCAGACCAAATGTTCAAAGGTAATCGAGCATAATACACTAGCAATATGTGGTGTGTTTAATAGTTTTAATGAGTAATCCGATAAAATTTTCATGAACTTGTAAAATGTGCAGCAGTTATTTCAGTTATTTTCATTAGATAGAGATCAATAACACATAAGAAGATGTCATGGATCTCTTGTCTTACTGGTCGTAGGGTCTATTTTTAGATGATCAAAGATGCATTTTCTGCAATATGCTAAAAATGTATTGTTCTCAAGAATGATTTGGTGAGAAAAATCATCGCTTAGAAGAATATATCATTGGTTAATGGTTGTCATAATTAGTCTCAATGCACCGAAAAATATGTTTAATTGGCTCATATTGAATGTAAGATAGAATGTGAACCGATTTTTATAAGGTAAATGGATTTGTTATTATCTACTAGCACAGCGAACTTGATGTAAGTAAAGACGGTAGTTATATTCACAGCCACAATAATGTTTAATGTGTGTATGCAATTGACCAGCAAAAAAAGCATCTTTGTCACTAAAAGTCGTTTAATTAATAGTAAAAGGTATTCTACAGCCAAAAGGTTGCAATGTCATTCGACTCCCATTTATGGCGTGTTTCTTATCGATGTTGGCAGACTGATAGTAGTTCCAACACCAAGGGCCTTTAAAGTTTTGTGAGTCGTCAAAATATTCACTTGGACATACCAAAGCTTCTCTGCAATAATAACAGTGATGCAAAGGAGAGTATGATCCATTATGCAGATATTTATAGCTATGATTCCACCCACATACAAATATTTGAAAAGCATTTAATCAATTTTTTAACAATCTCAATGGAAGAATTTACGAATTCTCGCGAAACAGATTTCGCAATTAAAATACGTTCCAGGGCACGAAGCGTGGATTATATATCAAGTCACTGTACACAGATGTTTGAACACATCAAACGATAATATATCACAATAGCATGATCTGTTTATACTCCATACGTCATCTGCCAACCCTGTATTACCTTGATCAATAAAGACTGTGAACAATAACTGCCACAAATCAATATCCAAGAAAAAAAGGAGAGTGAGCCAACATCAATACATCAAAATACAACTTAAGTTTTATTTATAGAGTTCCCAAATAACTCTCTCTTCATCATACTCATTTGACCATTCATATCGCATCTTGACGGATTTAAATCGCGTTGAAAAAAACTCATCGAGACAACCGATCATTTTTCTAGGCATTATATCATTCATATCATTGATAATTAGAATTTCTAGCCTATTGAATGTCATGAAAATATTCTCGATGAGAACATTCAACTCCATTCCTTCATTTCGCTCAAATGATTCCGGATGTCTGCCCACATTCCATCTATAACGATACAATCCATCTTTTATCACCAATTTCTTTACGTTTGCGAATTGTGCAAGGCTAAGATGTGCCATAAATTCAATTAACTTCGGAAAATCTCCATCTGCGTGAATACATAGCATTTCTAATCCTGACTGCGCTAAATTTCCATGATCAGGACTTGACATGTGCCTACCATTTTCTAAGAACTGTATATCGGTGCTAATACATGATAACTCTACCAATTTACTGTTTACGTGAAATACCTTCACTTGCTTATAACGATTTATCAGCGTTATCAATTCCTTAAATGGCAGATAAGAACTGATGAAGAGATCCTCCAATAAATCTTCTAAACCACATTGTTGCAACAAAAGTTTATGATTATTATCCTCATAAGCAATCAGCTCCACTTTGAGACATTTTAACGCTTGCTGCTCATTTATCATTTGAATGAGTGCTCTATCTGCACGCCAACACTTAATTTTCAGTGATTTTAACCCTTTCATATTTACTATACTGATGCGATTATTCTTCAGCTCTAAATCACAATCGCTAGCATCAATTTCCAAAACTTCAAGGGCAACAAAGTCTATACCAAAAATGTCAACAGCATCAAAATAATGTTCACAAGTGGAATAAGTTAACATCAAATGTTTAAGTCTCTTTTTGTTGATTGTCTTCAAAAATTTGACTGCGAGCCTTACGTCCAATATTTCAATTGATAAATACTCTAATCTAACCCTAGAACACCGAGAAGACACGAACAGCGGTTTTTTTCTTAACCTATGCAATGATGCCTGCCGTGGATCGATTATTTTTTTGTTCCTAAGCACAACATTCACATATCGACCCGAGTTTACTGTCAGAGTACGTAGATTTATACAGTTACTCAGTTCAATGATAATTGTTGCATAGTGCGATTGACATATGGTTTGTGATTTTATGTCTTCAATATATATACTGCACATGTCGAAGCAGACTGCTTTATATGATTCTCCAAATGCTAACTTAATTTTTTTCGGCTGTTTCTCAGTACCTTCTGAAGTGAGAAAAATACATTCGGTAAAACTCAGATTTTCCAGTGCTGTATTACTTATTTTCTCTAAAAATTCATCAGCAACTATCATACGGATAATTGTTAGCGTTCGTAATTTTGGAGTTTTTTCAATATTTATAAAATCTTGCACTGTTCTATGAGGTTCATAGATCCGATCTGTATATTCATGCGTCAAGTTATGAAGATATAGATCAGTAATGAAATAAAATTGCTGTATCATATCTCTGAGATCAGATAAATCTTCCAACAACCTACGAACAACAATTTTCAAGAACATAATACGGTATTTTGCAAAAATACATTTCACCATCTCAATGCTCGTCTTGTCAATAGAAACATTCAATCCTCCCGGTGGCTCTGTGCTGTCCTCTTGCTTAACAGAAAAATGCAAACCAAACCTCATAGTCTCGTAGACAAATCGTACTGTCTTTGGAAGCTCGTGATAAAAGGTTTGCAAGTTCTTGTATACACCCATTTTTGCATCCTCACGGAGTATTCTGTCGTTTAGAATCTTGAGGTATTCTGCAATGAGAGCATGTCTGTCATCCGATTCTTGCTCTGACTCATCTTGCACGTACCCCGGATTATCCATATATTCTTCGTCTGGGTACACACATCCTGAGCTGATACTGTTTTCCTTACTATCCGTGTTGGTACATAAGAAGTGATGGATCAGCAATATGTTACTGAAAAAAATCATGGGATCCACAGAATTCTTTCCTTTTATAGTTTTAAATTTGCAAAAATAGTGATTTAATCCATTCTTATCGGTACGTACTTTTAGTTCATCTTACATGTGAACAGTCATGTGATTAGAGGAGAATGCCAGCACTAAATTATGATCTTTTTGATATTAACAATGATGCTGCTCACA